GCGGATGTTGTCTTGGTGTTGCTTCGATAGGTTGTTTCCATAAAGGCGGAGACCAGGTTAGCTCTAGCTACGCCAATGTTGGACGAAGGTCCGTCAGACAAGACTTGTACCAGGACACGGATGATGCCCGAGTCTAACAATTCTGAACTTGTTATGCTCTCCAGAGCGTCTTCGTCAAAGTAACTGGCAAGGCGTTGAAAGAGCTTGTTGCCAGCTTCATTTGGGTTTGGCTGACGGTAGAAGACTTCAATGTCGGTCGCAAGCTTGTGCAGGTCGTTTCGAATGTTGGCTGCCTTTTCCTTCATCTCTTTACCCTTGGCCGTGTCATACCTGGCCAGGAAATTCTTCGCTCGCATGATGACCAAGTCAGAAACGCCAGCGATGGCAAGAGGCGACGGAATATCTTCATCATCGGAGGAGTCTGAACTTTGGGAGCCGTCCGTAGCATCATGGAGGCGTCGAGCAGCAAGGTCCTCGTTGTCTCTCTCGTCATCGTCATCGTCATCATCTGGATCGCCATATTCATCATCCTCGCCATCGTCGTCATTGTGTTCTCCGTCGTCGTCATTTTCGTGTTGACTGGTCCCCAGCTTCGCCTGGATGCCGGCACTTCCTGCGACAGCATTGGCATCATCAGCATCAGTGCTTTTGGGTGGCTTTGAGTCCACCGCGAGGGGTCGGTCAGCGAGCTTCTTAATCTCGCCAATGACACCTTCGCGATGGAACTGATACTGATAGATGTCCTCAAGTCTCTCAAAGAGCAGCTCCGAAGCCTGCAAGGCGAAAACTACAAGGCTTGGGTGATCTTCTTGAGATAGGATCGATGCGAGAAATGACGCATATGGCACTGGTCGTAGTGCCTCCTCGACGACATTCGTCTCCAGGTTGGACAGGATTTTGAGCTGAGCAATAAGCACCTTCTGGCGGACACTCAGGTTGACAGTGCTTGAATAAGCATCGGTCAACGTGGGCAGGAGGATGGTCGCAAAGCGGCGTGTCTCTTGCTTGCAGTCTGCCAAGGCTTCAAGTCTCTTCTCTGTTTTTGACTGCTGGTCAGAAGGTTGGCCGTCTTCATCCGACATGTAATCATCCACATCGTCGTAAACTTCGGAGCCTGACTCGCTGGAGAGCTTCGGGCGCGGTAGAAGTTCGCAAATAACATTCAAGGTCTCGTATACCTGCTCTCTCGGTCTGTGGATCAGAGCTTGCATGATGACAACACTGTCAATCTTTGAGGCATCGTCGTCACTCTCGCTCGGAGGGGACACGCCAGTAAGAATCTGGTACAAGGTGTCCACGACGTTCATTTTCAACAGATCTCCGGAAAGCTGAGGGCTTGCTCGCGCCACTATTGCGAGCACGCGCAGAAATTCCGTGTGAATGTTCGCCCCGATGAGGTTGGTGGTGCCTGGCAACAGAAGTCCCAGAACTGCTCGCAGTAAAGGGGGGTCCACCAACTGCTCCAGCTTGTCCGGGCTATGCTTGAAACTATCGATGACTCGGGTGACGCATAGACAGCCTTGTTCGACGACTTTTTGATCGTGGCTCGACAAGACGTTGAGCAGGATCGGCATAACGTCTCGAATGACCGGGAAGGAATCGTGAGGGATGTTACGACAGCAGTTTGCCGCGGTAGTGACGGCGGTTCGCTGAGTGCCGGTAGCAAAGAAGTCAAGAAATTGAAGACATGCAGTCAAACCTCCCTCGCGGACGATTGATGCCGGGAAATCGATTGAGACTTTAGACAACGTGCTCAAGGCCTGCTCGGCGACGTCGATGTACTGAATATCAAGCAGCTTTTGACAGAGTACTGGTACAGCCCCTCCGTAGACCACATTGGCCACAGAGCCTCGTAAAGCCTCCATCAGATTGGCAATACAACGGCAAGCCAGAAGCATCATCTCCGGGTTCTCCTCGCCGGTAATGGGATTCGGCTGCATCAAAGCCACGAGTTCTTTGACATAAGGATCTGGTGAAAATTGACCCGAGAGATTATCTTCATTCGAGACCAGCAAGAGGTTCGAGAGCTCTTCGAGAGCCACCATCTGCATGGTTGGATTGTCCGATTGCCGGAGGCTGTTTAGGATATCTCGGAGTCTCGAAGACATGCCGCTCATCATCCCACTCAAGGCTCTTAGGGTGCTTGATAGCCCTGACGGCGGGCCGCGGCCAGAGCCGAAAAGGGCTGCGGAAAAAGGATCTGGGCCATCATCGTCATCCATGCCGCTGTGATCGTCTCCGTCGTTGCTGTCACTGTTCGAACGATCAGGGGCAGGAGAAGTGTCATTCTCTTCTTTAGCAGGCTTCTCGTTCTCGTGTTCTTCGTCCCTCATGTGAACATCCTGGTCTTTCTTGCCCAAACGTTTCCTCTGGCGACGTGGTTGAGGAGTCTGCGATTGTGCGGATATTTCTGTCGAGGCTATCAGCGAAGGAGAAACTCCGCCTTGAGACTGTAAACTACCTTGTGTCTTGTTACCTCTGCTAGACTGGCGTCGGGAGCCTGATTTTGCTGCCAACGGCTTCTCGGATTCTTCGTGGTACTTGGACGATGAACTAATGCAATTAGCCGATGTTATTCGTAGCTTGCACTCTCTGAAGACATACGCATTATTAGACATTGCCGGTTCTTTCTGGCCGCTGCGTCTTCGAGTCGATCGAGCCGCAGGTTGCGGAGCTGTTGGCTCGTTCTGCGGCGGCTCGGCCAATTTCTGTCTCTTGCCGCCACGGGTCGAGGGAGGGCTCTTCTCTTCTGGGTCGTCGGTAGGGTTAGAGGCACGACGGCTCGGGGCTTTCCGCTTTCTCGAGGTTGCGGCAGGAGGATTGGGTATCGAAACCGATGGCGATGATTGCAGGGGAGCAAGAGGTGTTGAAGTGGCGGGGACGCCAGACTCTGCAGCGAGCCTCGCAGAGGAACGAGTGACTCTGCGGGACATGAGCAATGGTTCTCATCAGGCAATGCGGACGACGTGATAATATCAGTGGTAGGAAATGAGGGAAGGAGGATGGAGTGGTGGCACTAAAGTTTGTGCAGTTCAACCTGAGGTGTCCTTCAGGTTGTGTTGAGGCCCGAGGCGACAACAAGGCGGAGAAATGACTTTGAGCCAAGCACAAGGCAGAAATGATGAATGAAACAGGAAAGGCAGTAGTACCTGGATCTCTGCGAGGAGGGTGAATCATGCGGTTGCGAGGAAGTCGCGGTGTTGGTTGCAGAGGCCGGTCGGTGATTAGAGGCAAGAGTCGCAGCACGCTCGTTGATGTGATTTAAATGTGAATTGCGTGCAGGTTGCGGATGTGCCATGTTAACCCGCCATCTGCAGCGGGGGGTATCTAAAGGTGATCAGATGGGAAATGAATGTACAGATACCAGATGCGTGAAATCAGATACGCCGTCTTGACGTCTGGTCATGGGAGTAACAGAGGATGAGTTTGGGGAGCCATGCGTTGGACAGATGCTCGACGACGTCGAACCCGCAGCCGTAGCCGTTGGCCCAAGAGTGGAACGCCATGCCTACCTAGGTAAGGGGATTTCGGGTCTCCCTCCCTAATCACGGGCACGTCAGAGTATTAAAGGCAGCAAAATCCCCCTCTTCAATCATGAACAGCCGCCCCCAGTGGCTCATGTGTAAGAGCCTCACCGACTGGCCTTTGACTGCGACGTCGCTGGGTTGCTGCTTCCCCGCTACATTCGAGACGATTCTCACCAGCCCTTGTTCGTGCCAAAGACCTTTCGTGATGCTCTCCGCAGAATCCAATTCTCTGCAGCATCCGTGGTCATGATGTGGTTTCCTTGCATCTTTACACAGTAAACGTAGGAGGCATGTGTTGTGGCATGCACCAGTAACTCACCACGTGAATGAGGCCGCGATAGTTCTCGAGGTCCGTCATGCATATGCATGCAGCAACTCGACAACATGCGAACAGTTGTTGGCGCACCGTGATGGGTAAGCTGCAGCGGCGAGCCTTGCCTTGCCTTTGCCTGACATGACTGCCTGCTGTGCAGGACTGGTCGTGAGTCCGTTCTGCGGCCACCACGGCTGCAGCGTTGATGACGCCAGATCGGAAAATATAAGGTGTCACAAATGCCCTGGGTCCCTGTGTTGTCATAAATGAAGACGAATGGAGAGCTGCAGGGCGGCCACGATTTGCGGTTTTCTTTCAATGACCGATAAGCAGAGGTGGATTCATCGCCGTGATTCTGCTAAGAGAAACTGCCGGCTGAAGAGGCGGGCAAGCAGATCGTCCCTACACACGACACCGTACGCAATGCAACAATGAGGCGTCTGAGCTTCTTAAAAGCCAGGACTCCTGCTGCTCCTGCTGACTAGGTGCTGTAAGAATTAATTCCCCTTCCTATCCCATTTGCATCGTACCGACTCCTGGTATCACAGTCTCGATCTTCCTGTTTTTCTTCTTTCCCCACTCGACAAATCCGGGCGTTGCCTTTTCCGGTTGGCGACGAAGCGAAAGTCCCGGTTTATCCAGAATTACTCACCCTCTCCGGCTGTTTGAGGCTTCCAGACGACTGCCGCCGACGGTCGCCTGCCGGAGAATCGAGCGTGGCTTTCCACTTCTCCAACGCGCCGCGAGAGCCTAAGGGACCTTGACCCAAGCCCGCCTCGTGTCGGCTTTTTCTCCTCCACTCCGCACAGCTGAACGGATATACCTGCCTCGCCCCCAAAACCAACTCTCTCAGCGTGGGCGATGAGGCCCTGATGCTGGATCGTTCCTACAATCTGCTCCCTCCGTCCACCTCAGTCAGATCCTGTCTCCTACGCAGGACTTTCGCAACCAGAGTCGGTCTTCAACGCCGGCAAGGCGCCGTTGCCCCGCCTTACGCCTTGTCCATTTCCACCCATAATACCCCCCTTGACAAATCACTGTTATCCTCGGCCATCCTTCTGCCTGCCTCTCATTCCTCCCGAGCTGTGAAGAAGGTCAATTACACCCTGACGCAGACCAGATCGACCGTCCTCCAAGCAATCACCGGTGACGGCGACACGATGGACGAATATCACTTTCCAGAGTCTCGCCTCAAGAAAAAGATGGACGACCCGGAGAAGACGCCTCTTTTGCTGATAGCTTGTGGCTCTTTCTCCCCCATAACTTTTCTACATCTTCGCATGTTCGTCATGGCCGCAGACTACGCCAAACACAACACCGACTATGAAATGGTGGGCGGCTACCTGTCGCCGGTATCGGACGCATACAAGAAGCAAGGCTTAGCCCCAGCAGAACACAGGTATATCTCGTATACTCTTCACGGCGGAGTTCCAGGCTAATTCTTCCATCACAGAGTTGCAATGTGCCAGTTAGCAATTGATAAAGCCTCCAACTGGCTAATGGTTGACTCCTGGGAAGCCGAGAAGAAAGACTACACAGCCACGGCCAAGGTGCTCGACCATTTCGACCATGAGATCAACGTGGTCCGAAAGGGCATCGACTGTGGCAACGGCACACGCAAGCAAGTCAAGATTTCTCTTCTTGCCGGAGCGGATTTGATCCAAACCATGTCAACCCCAGGTGTTTGGAGTGAGAAAGATCTCGACCACATTCTCGGGAGGTACGGCACCTTTATCATCGAGCGGTCCGGCACCGACATCGACGAAGCCCTGGCAAGCTTACAGAACTATCGTGAGAATATTCACGTGATCCAGCAACTCATCCAGAATGACGTCAGCAGCACGAAGATCAGGCTGTTCCTGCGACGAGGCATGAGTGTGCAGTACTTGATCCCGGCCCCAGTTGTAGAGTACATCGAGCAGAATCGCCTCTATAGAGACGACGCCCGCTCGGCCAGCAACGCCTCCATACACCCACCGGACAGCCACAAGGGCAAAGCCAAGGAAGCATCATCTGCAGAGCCATCGTGAATCTTGGACGTCCGCCAGATTGAACATCGTGTCTGACACTCGCCTGGCCTAGCTTGCTTCCGCCGCTAGTATTGTCCGAGGCTTCATGAACAGCGACCTACTTCCGATGCCCGCCCACCATGCATCCAGCACTTGACAAGAATAGAGAGGAGCACCCTTCAGAAAAAACAAGCGATACAGCCGTCGGAGTTCAGTTTAGGGGTTCTATATCGCGTCAGCGCAGCAGTGTATTAGTCCAACTCTGAGTTCGATGCGCGTTGACATGTCGTCCAGCGTGGGGGCCGCCAGCGATGTTATACTCAAGAGACGAAAAGTTTGGGCGCTGCCGTTACAGGGAGCGCGGGTGGTAGACGCGAGCACGACAGAAAGCTCGCGGAGGATATTTGTGCGTAGAGAGAAACAGCACAGACTACAAAGCCGCCCCGAAGCATACAGTGCCTTCGAGTCAGCGCGGGGACGCACAGAGCCCAGAAAGCAGACGGCGGCTAGATACAGCACAATATAAAGACTCCACGCCATAAATGACGTGCCATCCGTGATATTCTGGATACAAAAGGATAGACGATCCGATGAGTCACTGGGTCCATAAGCCGAAGAATGTACAATCAAGGTGTCTGAGAAAATCAACATGGCCGCGCCAGCTCTGATCCTTTCTTTTTGCCACAGGTCCAGCCCACCCACTGTCTACCTTGTCCACCTGTTTCTCTGCGTGTCCTAGAAGATTTGGAGGCCGATGTCGACAGGATAGTCTCTGTGTGGCGCAAATGGCCTACCCTAGCGCACTGGTCATCGTTGCGTTGCGGCACTCTTCCCCCAGTCCACGGCTTGCGTCTGGTCTTTCACCGCGTGCGCTTCGGGCTGACATACGTCGCACCTTCGATCTCCGTCGCTCCCTTCAATCACCTTCCTTCCTCCCCCCTTCTGCGTCCCTAACTCCAACTCGCTCCCGCTGCCAACCCTTCCGAGCCCGCCCGAGCGGCCACCTGGTTTCCGCCCACACCGGGCCTATCGCGCGCCCAGTCACGCAACTCGTCCCTATCCTTCCCGGTGTACTGAAGCACGTCCTCGTCGCTTGGCCCCGCGCCTCGCTTGGCCGCCTGGTAGGACGCGTATTTCTGCCCGAGCCAGGAACCCTTGCGCTCTGACTTGGGGGGTTCGTGGACGTCCTGCTGGTGTTGGGTGTTCAAGTCTAGGCGGGTGCGGTGATCTTGATTCAGAGGATCAGCAGGGTCGTTTGCCCTGGCGAATGCGTCTTTGGCGTCGCGGGATGTCGGATCGTTCGAGTCCTGGTTATCGCGGAGGTCCATATTCGCCGACCGCTGCTGCGGGTTGGAGTTGGAGGTGTCGTTGTCCCAGCCGTCCCCGTCGAGGGTCTGATATGGTTTCAATGCCGTGTCGGGGGCGGCTTGCGCGGCGGTCGAGCCAGCTCCGGCGTTCTCGTGAGGAAATCCTGCTGATGAACCCGGGTTCAAGTCCGGTCGATCGGGCGCCAGATCATTGTTCAGAAACTGCTGCTGCCGTTGTTCGGTTTCGTAGCCGCCGGCTTGCTTTTCTGCCGACAAGTCACGCGACTCTTCTCGGACTGGAGGGGGCTTTTCGTGTGGTGCATATTCCGTCAAGCGCCGCGCGTGGCCGTCTTGCTCGTAGTCGACGTCTGAAAAATTGGTCCTCACCTTTTTCATCGGTTGGACCGATGAATTTGACGTTGTGGTGTTGACCGGTTGGCTGTTGAGGTCAGGGATATCGTCCCCTTTGAGGCGTGAAGAGCCACAGCCCATTGTTGGCTGCCGAGGCTTAGAGCGAGACGGATATTATGGAGTGTTTTGCTGCTTCGACTCGCGACGTGGTCGCCCGGCGCGCAATATGATTGAGAAAAGTGAATGTTTGGTGGTAGGATCGGTATCTCCGGCTGGACCGACTCCAGTCCTTGGGGTGGTGCAGCTTTCGGTCTTGATGTCGCGGTTAACCCAAGGCAATACGGAGTGTGTGGATCAAGACACTCGCACGAGACTTGATGAGAGCGACGACGACGCGGCACAAGTCGCCACAAAAGCAAATCCGACCAGTCTGGACAGAAGCAAGTAGGTAGCACTGTGACAGCAAGCTCTAAGTATAGATGAAAGCTGAGAGTCTGCCGTCAGTCGCCGAAGCGGCATAGCCACACAGGCCATCTAATAGCCAGATCAGAATCGGTAGCTTCGGGGTCGGACGAGCACAACGTGACGCTGACGTCCGGGCGGTCTCCTGCCCACTGTGCACCGGATCCACGGTTGGCGCCACCAGACATTGGGAAGCTTGCGACATTCTGGAGGTGGAGCTGTGGGGTTATTACTCCGTACTGGCAGTTACGCCTGTTTTAGCCGAGCTCTCGTGTGCTGCGATGCAAGGGCACAAGCAGTTGCGGTTGGTGCTTGGGTGACGTTAACATCCAGATTTCCTTTCAAGGACGCGCAGCAGGGGTTGTTGCGTGCCTGAGCCGCAAATACGATTTGGACAGTGCAAGAGGTCGAACCCACGTTCAATCTATATATGGCAGCTGCCGAACTTCTTACTCACTTGAGCGATTTCATCGCGGTATAGGGAAAAGGTAAGCGCCAGAAATATTCTAAGTGGCAAATGCGGACCGTCTATTCCCGCTCATGATCCAATGTTCCCTATAGTACATTGTGTTGGTACGGACCAGTGCCTGAGTGGCGATGAGCCCTGGAAGGCGTGGGTAGCGAGTAAAGACTGGCTTTTATCACCTGCAGGCGCTCGATCCCACCCGTGCTGAAAAACGACGAGCTGCGGCGCACGTGTCGTCAAGAGTTCCCAAGAGCATCGCAGGTCGACAAGTCGACGGGGGTGAAACGAACGCCCTATGGTGGCCTCGGGGGGTGTGGTAGAGATAACATCTCTGGACCTGGTGGGTGCAGATGAGCTAGACAGTTCGACACCCATTGTGCTGCAAATAGAGCTCGAGAGCGGTACATGTCCGTCGCCAGACTTCCTCGTCCGGCTGGCGTGATCAGATGGACTCACTGGAGTGAGACGACTTGGCCATTCGGCAGATCAGAGGGGCTTCACTCCTCGATGTATGCTTGCGATGCCTCCTGTCAGATTCTCGTAGCCTTTACCCGGCGCAATGAAGCCAGCAGCTTCAATCATGGCTTTGAATTCTTCTTGCGTAGGAAACCGTTCGATACTCTCCACGAGATATTGGTAGCTGTCCCGGTCTCCGGCGACCAGCTGCCCTATCAAAGGAATGGCGCCGAAGCTCCACCTCTTGTATACAGCATTGAATAACGAGCTGTTGACATGGCTGAACTCGAGACACGCAAACACGCCGCCGGGCTTGAGGATTCTGAAGGCCTCGCGGATAGCTGCATCTTTGTTGGTGAAGTTTCGAATCCCAAATGCGACCGTGTAGAGATCAACCGAGTTCGACGCAATACCGGGCATATGTTCGGCGTTTCCTTGCACAAAAGACAGTCGTCCTGAATTCCAGTACGGAGTTTCCTGAGCTCTCTTTCGCCCTTCAGCCAGCATATCTGGATTAATGTCCGCGATGGTCACTCTCGTTTTGAGATCGAGGTTCACATTCGTCGCGTGGTCAAGCATACGGAATGCAATGTCACCCGTTCCACCAGCCACATCAAGAATGCTCCAGCCTGTCTCGCTGTCCCGGCTGCCCGGGTTGAGGCTGCGGACGAAGTAATCTTTCCAGAGCCGGTGGATTCCCAGGGACATTAGATCGTTCATGGTGTCGTAGGAGGAGGCGACTGAGGAGAAGACGGCGCCAACTGACAGAATTAGCGGTGAAATAAGCGTCGCGGAGAGTGACGCCTACCTCTGGCTTCCTTCTGTGCTTCCGATATCGTCTCGAAGCCAAAGTGAGTTGTCCGCTCGTCTTGACCGGGGAGCTGCTGCGGCCGGACATGGCTTGTTGTCAGCAGCCGTCGTGATGACGGCAGCCGCGACGTTGGACTCGACAGGCTCACAAGCCGTCGGGCGGAGAGACGCAGCATGACCGTGATGTCGGCTTGCTCTCTTACATGTTCAATAGATGGTCGAGAGTTTTCTTGTACATGGTCCCCAAAAGAGGTTTAGCTTGGAGAAGGCGACCATGCAGCCAATAGCGGCAACTTCAGCGGGTCCCTTTCAGCTCTGTTGACCGCGGATAACCGAAGCCCTCTGCTAAGGGTCAAGTACTCGCATTCCTGCTTTCTATTCCTCGTCCATCTTACTACATTGCTTCGACGTGGTCTGTTAAATTTTTCTGTTGAGGGCGGCTTGTCTGGTCTGGGCGGGTCATCATGAAATATCGGGCTGTTCTAAGACCATTGGCAACAGGCTGCAGATACAGGCCTGGAGTCCTGGTACGGGGGCACAGCATACGATGGGCAAGCGATACGTGGTCAACGGGGCCTGCACAAAAGGCAGGATCAGACTCGTGAGTACCTGCTTGATTCTGATCCCCGTGCCTGTCGACCAACTGAATCCTTGTAGTGTTCATTTTCCAGGAGCCCTGAACAGCAAGTTTACCTCGCAGATGAGGTTCCAGAATCCGGCCGAGGAGATGGCCATGCCCACATATCGGATTATGGATGCCGATGGCAACATTGTCGATAATACTAGAGACCCACAATCAGCCTCAGATGCAGAGATCACCCAATGGTATCGGAACATGCTAACTGTGAGCATTATGGATCTGATCATGTTCGATGCGCAACGCCAAGGACGAACCAGCTTTTATATGGTATCGGCTGGTGAGGAAGGCATAGCTGTTGGTTCTGCTTCTGCCTTGACGCCCGAGGACGTGTGCTTTTTACAATATCGCGAGCAAGGCGTCCTTGTGCAGAGGGGTTTCACGCTGAAGGAAATGATGAGTCAGCTTTTTGCGAACAAGGACGACCACGGCAAGGGACGCAATATGCCTGTGCATTATGGCAGTGGTAAGCTTAATGTGCATACGGTTTCGAGTCCCCTAGCGACCCAGATCCCGCAAGCATCTGGAGCAGCATACGCCTTGAAGATGCAGCGCCTCATCAACCCGAACGTCCCTCCCCGGATCGTGGCTTGTTATTTCGGAGAGGGCGCAGCGAGCGAAGGGGATTTCCATGCAGCATTGAACATTGCCGCAACGAAATCATGTCCGGTGGTGTTCGTGTGCCGCAACAACGGTTTCGCGATTTCGACGTCGAGTATTGAGCAGTACAAGGGAGACGGCATCGCCAGTCGTGGATTGGGGTATGGCATTGATACAATTCGAGTTGACGGCAACGACATCTTCGCAGTGAGAGAGGTCATGCTAGAAGCAAGGAAACGCGCCCTCGAGGGCGACTGCAAACCAATCCTTGTGGAAGCCATGAGCTATCGAGTCAGTCATCACAGCACCAGCGACGACAGCTTCGCATATCGAGCCAAGAGGGAAGTCGAAGAGTGGAAACGCAGGGATAACCCCATCACTCGATTGCGCAAGTGGATGGAAAAGAAGGGCCTTTGGGACGAAGACAAGGAGAAGGAAGCAAGAGCGTCAATCCGCAAACAAGTGCTACAAGAGTTCTCGGCTGCAGAGAAGGTCAAGAAGCCGCCCTTACGCGCAATGTTTGAAGATGTCTACGAGGAGATAACACCAGAGGCCCAAGAACAGATGAAGGAGCTCAAGCGGCTGATTGAGAAGTATCCAAAGGAGTACAGCAATGTGTCGCAGTATGAGGGAGGGATCAAGACGCTGGAATGATGGAATGATGCGTACTAGGCAATTTGCCAAAAAAGTGCACCACAAACCATAAGCTCCAATAAGATGGACATCGTGTACTCCGTATTCCATGAATCAAAGGCTGGACCGTTGACGGTGAAACACGTTGCTGATCGAACGTCGATCTTGTGTGAGTAATGCATGACAGGGGTGAAGGGACCTCCTCGAGAAGAGCGCCACGGTGGCTTAACGGGTGCCAAGCCGGAAGGCGCAGGGGTAGCGGGGTTAGCGCCGACCCAGCCACCGTGGCACCCGACAAGCCTGCTCTGAACCTGGTGATCAGGGTCTTTGTGACGAGGCTGACGGTCCGTCGTTGGTTCAGCCTCTTCATTTCTGTCCAATCCTCTCTCTCAAGTCGCCTTTCCTTTGAACAAAGCCGTTTTTCGAGAAAGCGAGCCAATGAGCGAATTTGTCACCGCCTGAATCAAGAGACATTCTCCTTCTTCACCCTGTCGACATCATGAAATCCGCAGCTTCGGTTGCGCGAGCTGACGTCGCGTCGTTAGGCGAGTTACCAGCCTCTTCAGAGACAAGTCACTTTTCTACCCATGGCCACGTTATCTTTCTGCCGCAGCGCTCACTGCTGTTGTCTCCTGTTTATTCAGCACATATCCGCACTGGGGACTCATTGTGTTACTGCCATGCTGCAATCTTGAGTTTCGCCAGTCTTCTTCAGCATCTTCAGCAGCTCGTGCTTCCTGCATTGTTCCGGCGTTGAGTCTTTCATCTTGTACACTATGCACACCACAGTGACGGGCTCAGTGCTCGCCGCATTGGCCCTCTCCTCCCTCCTAGCAACAACAACTGCACAGACATACTCAACGTGCAATCCGCTGCAACAAAGTGAGTTCCCCAGCGCCTGACTCCCTGCGACATGGCTGACTTCTCCCCAGGTGGGTGCCCCGCAGACCCTGCCCTGGGCAGAAGCGTCGATGTCGAGTTCACTTCCGGTTCCTCGAGCGAGTTCATGGCTTCAGGCGCAGTCAGCTACACCTCCGATGGCGCAGCCTTTACTATCTCTCAGCACGGCGACGCTCCCACCCTCTCCTCGAAATGGTATATTATGTTCGGACATGTCGATTTCGTGGTCAAGGCTGCTCCAGGCACAGGAATAGTCAGTGCCGCTATCTTGCAGTCTGACTGCCTGGATGAGATAGACTGGGAATGGGTGGGAGGCGACGACAGTCAGGCCCAAAGCAATTACTTTGGAAAGGGAATCACCACAACGGGATACAACCGAGGAGCCTATCACGGAGCACCCGGCAACCATGACGGATTCCATACCTACAGCATCGATTGGACTGCCGACCAGATTGTTTGGTCCATTGATGGCCAGACTGTTCGAGCGATGACCCAGTCACAAGCTGAAGCCGGCCAGTATCCCCAGACTCCGATGTACGTGAAACTTGGTGCCTGGGCAGGTGGTGACCCGTCCAACCCCGAGGGCACGATCACATGGGCTGGAGGTGTTACCGACTACTCCGCTGGGCCTTTCACCATGTATGTGAGGTCGATACATGTCACCGACTACTCGACCGGCTCCCAGTATTCCTACTCCGGCACCAGCGGCACATGGCAATCCATCAGCTCCAACGGTGGTCAAATCAACGGTCAGGGAAACGGTGCGCAGGTCTCGTCTGATTCAGTACCTGCAGTCACCTCATCGGTGCCCAACAGTGCTCCTCTCGCCTTCGGCAATGGCGGCGACAGCTCATCCGTAACCGCAACTCGGACCGGCTGGCCGTGGTCTGGGACGGCGACAGCGACAGTAGAGAGCGTGGTAAGCTCTTCAACTTCTGGACTGGCAAGTTAGTGGCTTTCCTCTTGTTTCAACTAACGTGGTGATCGTTTACTGACTGTCTTTCAGTCCGCTTCCAGTTCCCCATCCCCATCGCCGTCCTCATCGGCGGTCTTGTCCTCGGCGTCAGCTTCGGCCTCGGCTTCCCCTGAAGTCATTACGTCCTACGACTCGCAAGGGTTTCCGACGCTCGTCACCATCTATCCCACCACTTTGACCGCTCCAATTTGCTACGACGATCGTGGGTTTCCCACCACTTGCACAACAGTGGTTATTCCGTCATCGAACGAGCCCGCATCGACGGCTGTGACCAGCTCTGGATCACCAGATTCAGGAACAGTCGCAGGTCCATCTGGCAATCCGAGCTCTATTTCAACTTCTTCGGGAGCTACACCGGGCTCCACTGCAGCCACCATATCTGGGCCCTCGACGGCGGAGACCACGACCTTTGCCTCATCCACAACCGGTGCCATTGCGTCCATGTCGGAAAATCCTTCGACTGAGGCCCAGTCGACAGCAGCAGCCACCGGCACAGCCGAACTCACTTCCAATGCCTCCCCTAGCCCAACTCCCCAACCAGAAGCCACATCTTCGACGTCTCCTTCATCCACCACCGAGGTCGCTCAGTCGGGTGGCAGCAACACTTCAAGCACCTCTTCCCAGACGGTCATCACATCCAACGGATCCATCCTGACTGTCATCCTCACCTCCCCCACGTACCTCGCCAGCGGCTCGCTCACTCCCACCAGCTCAGGACTCTCGACGACCTCGTCCACCGCACGACCCAGCACGACGTTTTCAACGTCGGGTCCAACATCCAGTAGATCGTCTACTGCTTCTTCCTCGTCTTCGGCTTCATCATCTTCCTCATCTTCAGCCTCTGCCACCACCAGCGGCCCTTCAAGGACGCCTGCAGCGCCGAACAGTGCAGCTCGGCCAACGAGTTCCCTTGCACGGGGAATGATCTCGATGATGATGATGATGATGATGATGGGGACATTCCTCTTGCTTTAGAGAACCGCTGGCATCGGGGGCGTTTGGAGTCCGACGAGGAAACGATTGTGACATTGTGACATTATGATGATACCCCGATAGAGAATGGTAGGATACCTACCAGACGCCAGGACGCGGCAGGATACGCAGCATACGAGAGCAAAACATAGGATAGGATGGGATCGGATACCCCATAGATAAACTTGACTCCGTCCAACGCGACGTGACCCAAGTAATAAACCTAATAACGTTCACTGAACCGCTCTATTCATATCATGCCCTGGCCCGCTCCCTACTCCGTACTGTGTCCATGGACCTCCGAGATTACAATTTACCGCAAATTGGGACCAACGAAGGTCCGATCTTTCTTCAAGGACAAACCCTATCAAGTCGGACGAGACGGTGGTCAGACTGACACGATCGGAGCATGGGCCTTTTGTGGAGGTGGGCAATGAAATCATTCACCACTTACCAGAGACTGGTGTCCATGATGATGAACAATCGATGATACGTACGGGTCTGACAGAGGTATATCCCGTCAAGCCGGTCTTTGACAACCTATTGTTCATACCCAAGATCCCTCTCTTGCAGTAGGAGTCGGTGTCGACTAGAGATCTGTTACGGCCATCGCGGGGAAGTGGTGGCGGGCTTACGATAACTCTACCTTCCGCGCCTCGGGAATCTGGCAAGCAAGATCGATGGCTAGAGAGCACGCTCCCCTATATTCAGATTGTATGCCCATTGTGTCAGGGACTTGGACGTGGCAACGGCAACCATCATGACCCTCGCACACAAAAGCGCGCGGTTTTATCTCTCCTCTCACGCAGCATCGATTGCGATCTTCTCTTCCAACCACCAAATCCCTTCACTGTCTCACCTGGTCCCCTCTCTAGCCTCAGCTACGTGACAAACCACGATATCTTCACATAACCAGCACCATCCCAAGAAGTCAGCAACACCTAGCCCAGAGAATGAAGCCAATATACATTTCGTCGTGCAACAGTGTCTCCCACATTCGAACGCCAAAGCAGTGATGGTGATGGGGATAAAGGGCGTCGAGAACCGAGCCAAGACGGCACATGGGTCATTAGTCAGCGCAGCCCGGGTTGTACGATACACAGAGTACCAGAGCAATATTGTCAAGCTCGTCAGAGTACTTGCAGCCAGCGTCTGTCGACGCCTTCTAGAAAGGCTGGGCTTCAGGGATCTGTCGGTGCAGCGGCAGCACCAATACGAGCGAGAAGCAGCTATCATAGTACGAGGTACGTGTGGCCTTACGGAGTACCCGGTAGAGATTTGTACTCAATATGTTTCAGATCGTCTAGTGGCGATTAACGACCCATTCGAATTGTATCGCCCTCTGGCTGACGGGGTGCGGTCCACCATGACTCGTTACTCGTACGTATGCGCGCTGTGTGACGGTAAGGTCCAGAGGAACCATCACGTCTTATCTTCACCAGAGCAGTAATCCACCGCTCATATCCGTGGCTTTTGGACAGATAGAAGCAGGACCTCGGAAGGGCCGTGCGGCTGACCACACATTCTCGGCGCGGCCTTGCATAAAAGTCAAGCTTTGGTCAAAGGCTGGGATTTCACGCCCACCTCAGCACGAGCTCAAGGTACGTCACACAACCATTATCCATTTCGCTCGGATATCCGTCCAGCGCCACTCCGGTTGGGCTTCCTCTGAGGAAAACACTGCAACCATCAACTCACTACTATGAGCAGGGTCTGGTCGAACACACAATCTCCCACTCTCACTCTCACTGTCACTGTCTCTTCCCACCCCGGCTCTGCCTTTGCATCCTCTCCGCCCTCGTCATCCGTTCTCGTCCACCATGGCGACCGCTGCTGCGCCGGCCGACGTTTCTCAGACCCATCCTTATACGTGCAATTCCTGCGCGGTTGCCTTCCGTAACAGCGATGCCCAACGAACACACATGCGAAGCGACTGGCACCGATACAACCTGAAACGGAAGGTGGCCGAGTTGCCCCCTGTCTCCTCTGAGGACTACAATGACAAAGTGCTGGCTGCCCAGGCGACCAACAACGCAGTGGCTGCGCAGGCGGCGTTTGCAACAGTGTGCACCACCTGTCAGAAGACCTACTACAGCGAAAATGCCTACCAGAACCACCTGGCAAGCAAGTCTCACCGATTAAGAGAAGTAGCGTCCAGCAGAGGCTCGGCACGAGACACAAATTCAGTCGTCGACTCGGCTGCAGATTCAGAACCCAGAGACCCAGCCGCCGAAGCGGAATTTGAGAAAGTGGTGGCGGGCATGAAGGAGACTTCGATCCAAGAAGTCCCTGCAATCACGCGGAGACCGTCGGCCCCTGGTCCGGACGCTGAGCCGCGAGCAGACCATCCAATGTCCCCAGAGAAGCCCGAGGTCCCCTCAATACCCATCTCAAGATGCCTCTTCTGTAACTATGACTCACCGAACCTCAAGCTCAGCGTCATGCATATGGCCAAGATACACGGTCTCTTCATTCCCGAGCAAGAATTCTTGGTGGACATGGAAGGCCTCATCAGGTACATGCAAGCCAAGGTCCACCAAAACTTTGAATGTCTGTACTGCCACAAACTGAGAGGCAACGCGGACGGCGTCCAGACGCACATGCGGGATAAGAGCCATTGCAAGATTGCGTTTGAGACGGAGGAGGAGATGGTCGAGGTGGGACAATTCTACGACTTTTCGAGCACGTACTCGGATGCTGAAGATTCGGACACGGACATGGACGGAGTCAAGCCGCACCAAAACGGCGGTGTGAAACTGCAGGGTGGCGAAGCAGCTGAGGATGACGGCTGGGAGACGGATTCGTCCTTTTCGTCGCTCGATACCAATGATCTCGCCTCGGTACCAAATGATGACCGGACCTCGTCGTATCAACGGCTTCCCCTGCACAAACATCACTCCAATACCGATCCGAGACCGCACCGGACTGCCGATGGCTGGCACTCCCACGCTCACCACCACAACAATGCAGTCTTCTACGATGAGCACGAAATGCACCTCCCTAGCGGGCGAGTCGCCGGGCACAGAAGCCTGAGGAAGTACTACCGACAAAATCTGCACAACTACCCCACGGCTGCAGAACGGATGGAAAGGGCGCAAAGACTCATCGAAGAAGGCAGTTCGGAGGATGCTGAAATGGAGGACATGGATCTCCCGGCCACGCCACCTCGGAACAGTCAGCTGATGAGACGCGGCGAGGCGGGTATGCTCGGTGCGACAGCGCAGCAGAGACGTGATGTTCACTCGCAGGAGATCAGAGCGAGGCAAAAAGAGCGACGCGCGCAGAATCGGTATCAAGCCAAGCTGGAGAAGCAGGCGAATAGCCAGAAACACTTCAGGGTGAGTCACGAATGAAGATTGGACCAGCCAAGAATCATGCTGACTTTCTCACAGGATCCACTACTACAGTGATTTGACGAGTTCATACGATGGACAGCTGGAGGCAGCACCCTCGTTGTCTTACTTGAGATGTACGTATCGTTCTTTCAGCATAGCATGGGGGAAGCGTAAAAGCGGTGGCACGGCCACGCGTATGAGAATGATGCGGCGTGATACACCAGCCCAGAATATTTCAGACGAATGGTCCAGCGGCAGGGGATGTTCGGTACGGGTTGCTAAGTTCCGTATGAGCCGGTATCAGCCAAAAGGAGCGTCATAGGATTGGGGAACTCATGCAGATACAAGCTCAAGTCTGTAGTCAATTTGTCCTTGATCAGCCGCGGTGAGGAACGGCGTCTGTCCAAACCCAAGTCGGACTGACGCCCTTGCAGCATGGCAGCCTCCCAGCCTGCACGATCTGTGTCCATGATCCGCAGTACCTCTTCGATACAGAGGATCAAATCTTCAACCCAAGAAAATTCTTGGCTCGGATCCCTTAACCTCAAAGCTAAAAGCTTTCCCTATACGGAGTACGGCGAAGGGAATTGAACAATCTCATCCAACACTCAACCTGTGCTGTTACGAACCCGAAATAACACTCCCTCATCGCATCTCCCATTCCGACACGACCTGTTTAATTGCCCGCTCGGTCGCCGCCTTTCGAACCTACCTTTTCCCCCGGGCCACCAAAAAGCAGCCACCCAGCCGTCGATCGATCTAATCAACCTGCCACTCCTGCTCGCTACCTTCCTACATAGCTATATACCTAGCCGGTAGTCCACGGCCAAGCTACATTCCATACCTGTACCCACCTAGCTACCTACCCAAGCTACACAACCAGCCAGCAGCCATCTTCATCAGCTAAGCCTAGCTAGCTAGCTACTTTCTACCAGCAGGAGTCAGAGGCATGGCCAAGAAACCAAAGTCCCGCACGATCGCCGTGCGCCTCCTCTCGATGGCCATGACGGGCTACTACCGCACGATGGTCCGGCCCCGCGCGTCCCGACCCTTGAGCATGCTAAAGTACGACCCCGTGGTGAAGAGGCAGGTGTTGTTTCTGGAGCAGAAGAGGGGCGGGAAATAAAAGCAAGCAAGCAAGTAATGTAAGAGACGAGGTCGGAGGTAGACAGAGTAGGGCCATCAGGGCAGGCGTGTAGAACACCAGCAGGGTACGTGCTTGCCATGCATACATGCAGACGAGCTCATTGAGGAGTGGACCGGGGAGGGAAAGGGGGGCACGAGTGCACGGATGAGCGGCATCTGCCTTGCCTTGCCTTGCCTCGTCCCTACTACTGTGCCGCTGAATTGACGGTCGCGCAGAGGGCAGGCGCAGGCGGGGTGTGCAAGGCTTGTTACGAGTAGGAGGACCAGAGACCCGCACCCACGGTATGTACGCAGGTAACCAGGCTGAACGACGCAGGAGATCCGAGAGACACGTGGACCAGGCTGGACACACAAGGGAAAAATCAAATCGTCTCCCTGGCTCGGTGGCTAGCTGGCTGATTTGACCGTCCTGCCCTGTCGCACTCACCTTCCGTTCGACCACGCTGCTCGGCCACAGCAGCCCATCTGATCCGACGCGTCTCGAACCTATCCTGACCCGATCTGATCTGAACTGATCGGTTCAACCACATACAAGCCATCCGACGTACACCAACCGTGGTTTCAAACTCACAAACCCGGAACCCCCAAATTACCAAATCTTAAATGTACCCGGTATCTCTACTCCCAGGACTCCCGAGGTCTCGAATTCCAGCTCCAGACCCAGACAAAATCTTGATTTCGGCCCAATCACAACATCGACATATCTCTATCTATCTACACTCCTCGACAGTAGACATCCGTCCGACCAGCATGGCATCAATAACATCGGAAGTCGCTTGGAGAGCTTGGAGGGTGTGATGAGATGGTTGCGGTCGGGCGAAAGAGGCGTCAAGCATGGATGCATGTATGCACGCGTGGGGGATGCCGACTCCGTGGGTGCACACAGGCTTCGAAGACCAATACACAGACGGACATACAGACAGCGCACGAGGCGTGTCAAGTTCCAGAGTATGGACATTCGAGACAGCGTGAGCGAGCAGTCAACGCTCTCCAAACCGTTCACATTCTGCTTCCGTTGGTCTTCGTTCAGCGCATGTGCGGAAAATGATAGGTCGTACTTGGACGCGGTGTTCTGTTCAGACTGGCACAAGTACTCGGGCCGGGACTTCCATGGCTTGACCAGAAGGCCCATGCTGTCCGGACAAGAGGCACACTTCTAAGGACGTGTACGGAGTAGGTAATTGTGCTGAGCATCTAGACTTTACAAACTCAAGCTCTAAGTGCTGGCATTGGTCCTTTGACATTGAGGATACACACTATCTGCATATATACCTAAGATGGATAATTCTCTGGCTCCTGGCATTCCTTCCTCCCTGTACTCTAGTCTGTGAATGCAGACTCATTCCCTGCTTCCACTTCCACATACCATAAAGTGCTTCATCCCATCAGTACTCCGTATTCATATTTGCTTTCCATATCGCTTGGCGGTAAGGGGTAGTGGAACCCGACATAGGTGTAAGCCTGACCTTCCGATATCTTATTCTTCTGTGCCAAATCTTCCACCAGTCCGCTGTAGTGTTTACACTTCACCATTCTTGGAGCGGAGTCGTAAGATTGAAGGTGTCACAAGGGCACCACGTGAAAGATCAGCCACCACCTCCTCAGGCCTTTGGCGCAAAGCGGCTGGTGTACCTGTCCTGTCGAGACCCTTTGCGTGCTTGCTTAGAGGGTCTTTGACTCCTTCCCGGTGCTGGTGCATTAGTCCCCACGATCGAGCTGCTCTTACGCCAACGGCCTGAGCCCCGTGACGCAGTTGGTTGCGCGGCCTGCGTGGACGCACGATGTTGTGGACTCGTGACATCAAGGTTTGCCGGACTACGCTTGAGCCGCCTAGTATTTTCCTGGAGCGCATTCTTCTCGCCCTCTGGCTCCATTCGACGCTTGGCGGCGGAGTTTGGCTGGTGCTGCTCCCTTCTGACCGCAGGCGTGGAAGCGCGGTTGCGTCTGTGCTCCATACTTGGCTCAGGTGTAGCAGTAGGTCGCTGTCTTTGTCCCTGAGAGCCGCTTCTCAGCCTTCGCGGACTAGCTCCTTGTCCTGGGACGAGGTGACTGAACGGCATGACTGTGTTTAGAGCTGTGCCGGCAGCGACACTGTCTGCACCACTAGCATCTTCTTGACTGACTTGGTCCAGGAGCATTTGATCACCCTGCGACGAGTATGAGCTCGAAGACGGACGTACTAGGGACTCTTGGCCATTCGCGGCTCTCCTCACGCTCTCCACTGGCGAAAAATACCCCTGTCCACGGATGTGTGGCTGTGTACCAGCGGTGCGTCGTCCAATTTCGTCTTCGAGACCGTGGTCTTCATCTTCGCTGGGAACAGGGCTGAGGTCCGAATCGCTGTCTTCTTGTTGCTGGCCTGCAAGAAGTAAAAGGCCGTCCGGGCCGACTGGGACAGTCTCCGGCACTTCCAGTTGGGTCTCGGAGACCATTAGGATGCCAGCGGACAAGGCCAATGGGTCACTACCATTAGGCCATGCACCATTTCGGCTCGCATCCAAATGAGAACGTCCGAGTTGACTGTCGGGCAACACGCTCCTTGTTGCTGACTGGTCCCCACCGGTTCTCTGCACTTGGGCCTGTTTTGCTCCCTGGTCGAGTTTGGCATTGGAGAGAGCGCCTTCCAGGTGGAGTATCTGCTGTTGCATGGCAGCGAGCTTTCCTTCCATTCGTTCTCGGTCGTCTCTGAGCCTCTCCAGTTCGTCAGTCAGCTCGTTTAATGATACCAAATGCTTCCGCAGCTCTGCGAGCTCATCGTCCTTGGCCGTGATGATATCCTTCAGTGCTCCAATCTGGGCACACTCCTTGTTTTTCGCATCGAGATCTAAGTTGAGAGCAACAGCGTCCTGCTTGAGAGACGTATTAGTTTTCTGCAGCTCCTCGACTTTGGCAACCTCATCCTGAGCAGCAAAAAGAGCGGCTTTCAGCTCGGCAACCTTGAAGGTTGTCTGCTGTAGGTCCATCCGCACTTCTGTCAACGCCGACTTCTCCTTTTGAAGCTCTCTCATCTGAATATCGACGGCAGCTCTCTCCTCAACAAGCCTCTCATTCTCCTGAGCCTGTCCGTGTGAAGCTTCAAGAGCGGACTCCAATTCCGTGACTTTCGTGTAACTGTGCTGTAACCTCCTTTCTAGATCCGGAATAATCGCGTTCTTCTTTGCAAATTCCTCCAATTGGTTGTTGATGGTTGCGTTCTCCGCCGCCAAGTTGTCCTTTTCTCGGGCTTCTCGTTGAGACGCTACAAGAGCAAGTTCCAATTCACAGACTTGACTCTTCTTTTGCGCAAGCTCATTCTGGAGGCCAGGTATCACAGACGCCTCCTCCCGCGCCAGCTTCAACTGCTCTTCGAGATCGGACTTTTCTTCCACAAGTCTATCCTTCTCTCGAGCTTGTTCTGCCAACTGACCATATCGAGCTTGCTGGTTTTTGACCAATTCTTGGAGCGCCCGGACTTTCTGGGATCTGATCTGAATCTCCTGCTCCTGAGCTAGGAAATCCTTCTTGAGCTGTTCAGCACTTGGTGCCCATTGTTGGAAGACTCCTAGCTCAGCTTCGACTTCTTGCAGGCGTATCGCGGTCCGCTGGAGCTTGTCCTGTGTCCAATCCAATCGTCGTTCAACCTCAATGATCTCGTCATGTAACGCGTCTTGCTCTCTTATAGCCACAGTTGTTTCTCCTCGAGAGGTCTTGAGCTCTTGCCGGAGTTGTGTTTGCATAGTAGTCAAGCTCTGGATTTTTTCTCGGGCCCTCGCTCGTTCTTGAGCCCCATTGTCTATCTGGCCATGCAGGTGGCTCAACTGACATTTCAGAAAATCATCACGACCCACCTGGAAAAGTTAGCACATCCTTACAAACTAGGCGCAGCTGCTTACCGCCTCGTAATGGTCTTGTTCATGTTGTTGTTGAATCGCCTTGAAGAAATCTTCCGCCTTGCTCAACTCGGATCGGAGGCTATTCTGTTCATCCGATGCTTCGCTCAGAAAAGCAAGCAAGTCGTTCAACTCAGCTTGGTTCTCATCCATCTCCGCTTGCCGTTCCCGTTTGGATCTCTCCACCTCAGACCGTGCCGCTTGGTATTTGATTCTCCACTCACTGATATTGGTGGTAAGATCGTTGATGGTCTTCTGAGCCGCTTTTCTCTCGGCGTCTAGAGCTTTTTCAAGGTTGTCAGCTATGCCTCGTAGGCAAGAACCTTCCTTCTCCGCGGTGGTCCTCGCATCTTGAAGTAGCTTGACGATCAATCCTATCTGGCCAGCCTTCTGCTCCAGGCGTGCGAGCGCTGCTGAAACTTCATTGAGCTGACCAGTATCAGAAGGGATCGCTGAGAGCACCTTGTCTAAATGCGCAGAAATGTCTCCCCGTAGACCGTTCCTCAGATGTGCGACTGTTGCCTGCAAGTCCTGAGATATCGATTTCTCAACCATACTGAGTGATGTCCTGGCTGTTTCCAAGGTGTCTTTCAGTGAGAGCACGTCTGATCTCTTGCATACATCGGTGTCGAGAATCGACCGAATATGACCTAGTGACTCGAGCATTCGACGTTTCTCCAGACTATCTTCCATGCTGCTGTCACGGAGCACTTTGAGACTGTCAGACAGGCCTCTTAGGGTATGTTCGAGCTCCTCCTGTTCACTATGCATTAGGGTATTTTGCTTATCTCTCTCATGCTCCAGGTGAACAATATGCTGCTCCAATCTGTTGCATCGCTGTCGTTCCGCGCTCAGATTCTCTGCTTGACCTCTAAACAGCCCGTCCATGTAATTGATGGTTGTGAGACGCTCTTCTGCCATAAGCCTCACCTCGCAGATTCCGTTATGGACACTTGCCATCTGCTCAGATGCTCTAGTAGATGCGGAACGGGCGTCTTGGAGCTGTTCCATGAGCTGGTCTCTGTCTTTTGTCAGATCGGAGATAGCCTTCTCAAAGGCTGATGCTTTTCCTTGCAGCTCTTGACAGTCCTTATTGGTCTCCAGTGCCCACTTCTTCAGCTTGTAGTACTTCTCCCTGAAGTTTTCCAAGTTTTGAGTCAGAAGGTCGTATTCTTCAATGCATTCGTCATGGGCATTGATAGCCCGCCGTAGCTCTGCATCTGACTGCAGCTTTTCCTGCCGAAGATGTTTGTTCTCAAGCTCCAGACTCTCCGTTCTTGTCCGAGCTTCTTTGTTCTCGCGTGCTCTGGACATCAGAAGAAAGAGGAGGTCCTCTTCAGAAGGTCTTTGCCTGCCTCTTGCATTGTCATGTCGATTGACGGGCAAATTCGGGACTGGACGCGGTTGACGTCTTCTCGGGGCCTTTGAGGCTCTGCCATCGTGGATGGGTGCCGTGTCTGCCTTCGCACGGGAATGAAGGACATAGTGGGTTCTTGTGTTTCCCGTGGTAGAGGGAGACGTCTCACAACCAACTGCTTCGTCATTGCCAGCATTGTGACCCTGCTCTGGTAACTGTGGCAGGGGAGCATATGTACTGACTGTATTGCCTGGTTGAACGTCTTCGCCGGCTGATATTGTTTCATCTCGTCCATGGAATAGAATAGTATGCTCATTCTCCGTATCGCAGTCTTCTGTAGCGATGTCTTCAGCACCCTGGGTGACCTCCTCCTGTGCATACGAGATGTGCTTCCCAAGCTCTTGCTTCCTTTCCGCTGGCTTGGCATCAAACCCAGAGGAGCCATGCTGCGGTGTCAAGGCTTGATCATCTGTGTTCTCCACTCTGTCTCTTGGAGTTACGGTTGGAAGCTGTTCGCTGGTGATATTCGCCTCATGGATGAGTCGGCTTTCGGAATTTCTAGGTACCGAGGAGATTGTCAGTGAGCTCCCTCAACTACGTCGTCTCAAGCATACCTGGCCGAAGTAGGATAATCTGCCAAGTCGTCATACCCACTACCTGCTTTCCGTGTTACTGACGGTGTCTCGAACGTGAGAGGTCCGTTAGGCGGCTGCGTTGTGGCAACTTGCTGGTGTACTGGCATAAAAGAGAATGTTCCGTCGTTAAGAAAGTCGTCCTGAAAGGAAGGGAGCTGCAGGCGGCGGGAAGACACCACCACTTGTGAGGCCTTTTGAAGTCCCTCGACGTACTGTCGAGCGTGCTTGGTGGTCGGAGTCTGCTCGACGTCAAAATGGCCAGCAACCGCTGTGGTAGGTTGTTCCTCCTCCTGGGTTGGACGAAGATCATTGTCTGCATATGGAGATCGTCCAGCTTCAATTCCATATGCGTCGTTGACAAGGGTTAGTGGCTCCATGCTACCGTGGTGTTCATGTGACAGAACATCAGACGCAAGACCGTCAGACATAGCACAAGGAGGAAGCAAAAGCAGACGGGGTGCAAACTGGTGATCAAAGACAACACCAATGTTCACTGGACTCGAGAACACCAGATGCTTGCAACCGTGCGGGGATTGAGAGTACTGGGAGAGAAGCAATGTAAGAGCGAATTGAGGTTGTGACGAGGTGGGTGTGAGGCAAGACCGACGGTGCACCTGCACTTGAAATCCATCTAAACTGTTGCTTCCACCTTTGCACGCGTACGTGTCCCGACTTGTGCTGCGGGGACAGTAGACCGTACGAAGCGAAGCACCTACAGTTGTATTCGAGGCGGAGAGGCGCGACCTCGCACTCATGTCATACACCTTATGCCATGCGCTCCCTGAGCAGAGCTGCTCACTGATACTTGTCCAGGCCAGGTGTATCCGCAACTCTGTAGACAAGCTTCTTCGACGAGACCTTCCTGTCATACAGCGCCTGCACACCCTTTTCAACCGCCAGGAGACCATCGGGCTGCACTTCGTACGGATGTGGGACGAATCTACCCTCAGCAAGGAGGAGCGTCATGTACCTTGATGAGACAATCCATCAGCACAAGAACATCATGGCCTAAGGGGGGGGACCTACCTGTAGAAGACGTAGGCGAAGTCTCGATGGACCTTTGCTTGCTCCTCGTTGCACCATTGATGCGGCTCCCCATATGCCGATGAAACAAAGACCCGACTGAACTCAAGACCCTGCGGCCACTCGGATACCATAGGCTCAGGAGGATCGACCATGGTAATCTTTCCGCGCTCGGAACCTTCCTTGTCCAGAAGGTCAAGGACATGTTTCCAGCTATCGTGTTCAGAGACGGCGTCAAAGGCGTGGTGTAGTTTGACACCCTCATCATCCAGGATCTTCTGGACATCGGCCACAACGTTCTTCTTGCGGTAGTCGACGATATAATCGGCAGCGTTTATGGACTTGACGAATTCTGCACCCCCGCCTGCGATGGTGATGATGGGGCCGAGACCGCTCAGTTTGGCGAACTTGAGGGCAAACGTCCCGACAGCCGAAGACCCACCGTAGATCAGCAATGGCACTCGCTTGCCCTTGGGCACCGGGTTCCATGGTGCCGGCAGACCCAGGTGTTGGTAAAGAGCTAAAGCAGCCGTCATGCTCGCAAGCGGGAGGGTAGCTCCGGACTCGAAGGAGGTATTAGGAGGCAAGAAGAATGTTGTCGAAGCGGGTGCGATAGCGTATTCAGCATAGGATCCCGACGGGGCGAACATTCGATGGAAGGCGGCAACTCTGTCGCCGGGCTTGAAGTCGTGGACATTCTTCCCGACTTTGTGGACCGTGCCGGCGATATCGTCGCCTTGGTTGATCTTCACTGGTTTCGTCAACTGCAGAGCGAGTCAGATGACAATGCTAGGCTGACCTGGCCGTGCACTTGCCTTCCAGTCCTTTGGATTCGAGTCTGTTGCGACCACCTTGATCAACACTTCATTCTCGGCCGGTTCCCTGTTGTCTGCTCAGCGAAACCCTGGAAAGCGGGAGAAGGCATGTAACGCACGGAATAGGGACGTTGCGAGCCTCCGACGAGACGACTCCGTCCTTGCGTTGAACACCGATTTCCAGCATTTTGCAGTGTGCCTGTGATAGAGGTGGTCCAGAAAAGTGCGAAACACCGGCTCTGCCTGTCTATTTATGTTGCTGGAGACATATTTGTGTTCCTTTTTGCTCCGCTCCCCCCTGTAATTTGGGTTACCTCGATCCCAAAACAATCTTTCCAAATTGGGCGAATGCTGGGCTTGGTATGTTGGGTGTATCAAATTTCACCAGAGGTTTGCGACCCACGCCGCACGCTTTGTCAGCGCGAGACACCTGGCTTTGCATTGGGATATACCCGAAGGAAGTCGTAAGTACGCTTCGACCTTGCATTCTTTCCTAGATATGGGTGCTAACATCCGTCGGACCAAGGACCTTGCGATAGGAACAATACCAGGGCAGCCACTGATCGCCAATGGAAGCCTCCACTGACCGACCTTCGACTGCTTAGTAGTCGCCATCTGTAGACCCAAAGGCAATCACGCTCGTTGAAACTGACTCGCGATTATCACATACTGCAGCGACTGATCGTCTTAGTGGATCCCAAGGTGGAGGAACAGATATTGTACTTCCAGGGTAGACTGCCGACAATGCGAGCACGATGCGTACAAATACGTGAGTACATAAGGAGGTACGCAGCAAGCAAGGCCAATTGGAAAGAGGCGGCATTTCGACCCCCTATTCCCCTTCGGGCGCTTGTCCGTGCTGCCTCACCCGTGACGAAAGCTGCTAGTCCCTTTGTGACTAGCGCGCGTCCGTTCGCTTCTGCACAGTAGGGAGTAAAGATACACGATGTGGCCTCTGCGGCTTCAGTGGGTTCCTGGGCTTGAAGGGCGAGACTACAGAGTCTTCTGCGTACTCACCTACTCATCCGCTCATGCAGTCATGAAATGTATACGAAAGTGTAGTTCAACATGTACAACGTCCAGAGTACAGTGCACATACACAGCCCCAACGTCGGGGTAATTATGTTTCTTCCTGACCCATTCATTCCACATCGGCGTCAAATCTTCGTCCACCGCCGTCCATGTCGTCGTACAGACGGTTGCATCCGTCCCAAGTGGCCCAGCGCTCACAGACGAGCCTGCGCGTGCCGTCGAACACTACCGCCCAAACACCTTCTTCCACATGGGCGTCTTCGGACTATCCATCTCAAAAGCACTCGACGGGATGCTCACACTGGGCGGTCTCGGCCTCCTCTTGTCTTTCTTCCCGGTCCTCTCCCCCGAGTCGTCAGTCCCGGCTTTCGCCTCAATCTTCACTGCCGAATCAGGCAGACCCTTCTCCACATCCCTATCGCTGCTTGAAGAAGCCGAGTCGCTCCGCTGCGCTCGCTCTCTCTGTTTCTCCTTCGCCCCAGACCTCGCAAGTTCGTCGTTGGCTTTCTTCAACGCCACTTCGTTACGCTGTCTCTTCTCGACGGGCGAAAAGGTCATCTTCTTGGGTGTGATGGGCGTGGTGACGGCCTTGACGGCGCTGCCGACCTTGCGCGCAGAGCGTCGAATGGTTTCTTTCATCGTCCATTGCCGCTTCTTTGCCAGGAAGAAAAGAGTCGTCATGGTCACTGCGATTCAAGAAGCCGCCGGTCAGTCCAGAGACATAAATACAGAAGAAACGGAAGGGAAGCCCCGTGACATGAAAACAAAAGAAGAGAAAGAAGAGACTCACCACCCAGAATCACCACAACGCTAACTACCACGGCGATGGCAATCGTGGCCCCCCGGCTCAGGTTGACCGAGCCGGTATCCGGACCCGCGGCTCCCGCATCCCCAGACAGCGTCGGACCGGCGCCAATATCACCTGGTTCAACGCCTTGTGCGCCGCCGCCATCGCCGGATTGGGCGAGGACTCGTGAGGTTCCCAAAGAGTCCAGACACAGGAGAAGCGCAAGGCATTGTACTAAGGGTTGGAAATGCGGTGACTGCATTATGAGGAGGCTGGGTGGTGGCAACAGTAATCTCGAGGTTATTTGGCAGCTCCTCGACCAGAACAATAGCGTCCACGCTGTTTGGCGGCTTGCTCGACAAGACCACCGCGTTTCGACTCGCCGTTGTTCAGAGGCTCGAGCTTCGACGTACAAGGTACGGACTAATCACCCAGTGAGAGACCGCGGAGTGACTGTGTACGTGACAGTAGGTATAGCGAACAAAGGATCAATGGAGAGAGAGGAAATAAGTTTGCAAAAAGTAGAAGCAGAAAGGGAGGCTCTGTCTTCAAACCATCGACTCACACACTCGCCTTACATATGTCTTTTGTGTTCGAAGCCGAGAGGGCGCCTACAGGACCTGCCGCTGATTTTCACCGGGCGCTACCCTCACCTGCACCTGGACCAGCTGCACAGGGTCCCAGCAACCTGCACTGCCCTTGGTGACCGTCGGCCACGGCGGTCGACCGCGAGCGGCGTACAAAGGGTGATAACGGCCATTGGAGGTGTGCTGGCGATGGTGAAACAGGTGAAGGAAACGTGAAACGCGAGCCGGATCTTCGCATTACGCGCCGAGGAGCTTTGCCAAGATCAGGCACCAGCCAATCATTGCATTACCGTGGCTTTAGCGAAGCTTGGCTTCCACAGAAAATCGGAGGTGGCACTGTGTCACGTGAGAGCTGCCCCTCTCGTAACGAGGCTGAGTGCTGCCTCAAGTACTCGTGCTGGGGTCTCTGCATGGCGACGGCCGTACCTGGATTATCCTTTCTCATTACGTCGTAGCTCTAACACATTAATACTGCCTCGGCCATATGTGTACATTCATAATCCCAATCACACCAATTTGCATCGTGCACGACCTGTCGCCCACCCAATCAGCGCCCCGATGATCAGTCCGGTTCCTCTCACAAAGTCTCCCAGCCACCAGCGTTGACCTCGCTCTCCAGCTTCCGAGCTATCGTGCTCCAGACGCTGCCATTGGTCATTAGCCAAGTGTCTCTCAAGAGTTTGTCGTACCTCTTCTGGTTCAAGATCAGCTGGTGCTTGGACCTCAGCCCCGAATCAGTCTCGCCATGCTTCGTCAAGTACGGCGCTGAGAAGAAAGATCCATGACTCAGAATGGAAGCGCTCGGTGCCAGCTGAAGCCGTCGAAGTTCATCGCGATCGTTGCTACCCGTCTTTGGGTCTTTCGCGACATGTAGCAGCGCCACGTGACATTTACGGATAAACAGGAACATGCCGATCGGGCTCGAACACTTCTCCACGTGGGCATTGCATCCCCCTCGCATGTCTTCCGTCAGGCAGCAGACCGTCTGGGAGCAGAATATTTCGCCGCAGAATAGACAAAGCGCGGGGTCCGATACGTCTTTCCCAGTGGTTGGACATTTTCGCCGCTGGGATTCTTCCATCAAGACGTCAAAGTATCGGGGAAGCCCAATCAGCTCAAATGGTGCTGGGTGGAGAAGCTTGACCCCTAGGGGTCGCGGGGAGGACTCGAACTGCGTCAGCGTCGATGCGTTTCTTACCTGGAATCGGATACAGTCTAACACCCAGATCGTTGCCCGATCTTTCAGAACGCTAGATGTCGAGTATTCGCCAAAGCTGTTGAGGATGTCGCTAATGCCAGGAAGCTGTAAGAGGTGACAAAGCCGCTCGAGCTCTGACAAGCCGGCTTCCGTTCCAGCAGTAGTGGGAAAATCGACACCGTGCGCAACATGAAAGAATATGGCGGCCTTTCGCAGGAAAGCCAGACCATACACCTTGCATAGCTTGAATAATGCCCCTGCTGTGGTTGGGGACATAGCATGCAGGAATTTCCGAACACGCTCCTTCTCGTCAATCACCTGGACTTGAAGGTTAATCCAGGAGACCATGCTTTCAACGCCGCGAAGCTGCTCTGGGTCTGGATTCAGGGCCGTCGCATGCCGGATATGTCCTCCCGTCAGCTTTTCGCTAGCCGTCATAAAAGCTTCCGAGTCGAACAGGAACGCCAGGGTGACTCGTAGTAGCTCTATAGTTAGAGCTAACTGTAAGAGGTGGCGAGGCTCAAGACGCCGGATCGGGCTCAATACCATTGTAGCCTGAACCAGAAACTGGAACGGGTCCACGGAGAGCAAAGGGGGTACTGTTGCAGAACTCGTCGACGACGCAATATTCCCTGTCTGTCCGGCTAATTGGCGCTCAACCTGGTCGCAAAGCTCTCTGTACTGACTCTCGACCGAGCCACGAACAGTGAAGGCACCCGTAGCTGCATACGCTCTCAAGGTCGACGACGTGATCTGCAGATGGCTGAGGGTTTGCTGAGGTATACTTGTTAGCAGAGAGGTGCCATATTCTGCTTCGCGGCCTCTATGCCCGATCTCGACAGCAGCTATTGTGTTTATCAAGGTGTTGACAAGGAGCTGAAAATGATTGACGTTCCAATCTTCTCGAGGTATCGAGCCCTGACTGGTCCTAGAGACAATCGCGAGTGTCTCTCGAAGACGCCCATAGATGCTGGCGAGTTCAGCAAAAGATGCCAGTTCCGGTCGCTCCGCCCAGGCTTGACTTGTGGGGCTGATGGAGAGATCACCTGCTTGCCAACTAGCTATGGCAGGGGTCAAGGAGCTGTTAGAGAATGTGGCCAGGGTCTGTGAGTGCACCTCCGACGCTTGGGCCTCGAAGGAGACGTCTTGGCTTGCGGTTGTCGAATCGGCCGAAGGTACGTCGATGTCCAGGAAGAAGTCAAACTCCTTCGAAACATCAAGCGACCCCGGATAAGATTGCTCTGAGTGTCTCCAGATGATCGGCAGAAAGCTGTTCGCAAGGGCTTTGCAAAGCGGGCAGACAAATTCTTTCAGGGATATTCTTTCAGGATGGTTTCTGGCAACCTGCTGTAGGTGTCTCCGTGTAATGGACTGATAATAGTTCTCGAAACAGCTGAAATGCATGATATGCCCACAGCTCGTAGAAACCGGACCTTTCATGGTGCGGCCCTTGGGCCACCCTTTTCCCAGGCCTTGAAAATCGACTTTCACCTCATTCCCTTCAGACGTCATCCGCTTCACTTGTTCGTGGTTGGACCCCGACACCCCAAAGGGCCGGATGTTCTCAATCGAGCGATCAAGATTTTCCGGAACCGCAAAGAGCTCACCGACAAAATCGTCATCGTCCGTTGGCGTCTCTCGGAGGATATGGGCATCGCTAACCATAGCGAACGTGCCATACAACCTGGAATCCGATGTGTCCTCACGGCATTGTATGCATAGTCCAGACGGATACTTCCAGTGGCGGGTCTCGGTTGATCTCGGTAGTTCGTCCTCGGCGGAGTCAAGGTCGTCATCCCCCCAGTCGATTACGCCCTGTTTGTCCATGAAGCTCTGTTGTTGCTGCTGGAACTGAGCCATGACTCTTGCTTTTCGCTCCATTGCCTGTTTCTTTTTGGCTTCCAATTCGCTCTCGAAATTAGCTGGAGACGCAGTGTCGAATCGGCCCGATGGGAAATCCAGATGCTGAGTAGCAGCAGTGAATTGATGCGGCAGCTTCTGGTTGAAAAGTCGTAGCATGTGTCTAATTTTGCTGCGGCACGAACTGAATTCTTCCATCAGCCAAATCTTGCATAGAAGTGCAATGATGGTCGAAGGCGGGCCATCGTAAGACTCCAGCTGAAGGGTGATGGCGTGACGAATGAAGGATGGACTATCGACGCTGGTTTCTGCCTGATCCTCGAATGTGGCTATGAGCGCCAGCTGCAGGAGAATCTGGAGGAATGCCTCCACTCGCGTTGCTGAAACTCCCTGTTTCTGCTTGTGACCGTACGCAACGTAGAGCAACGTTTTATGGATGACGTCGGCGAACACAGTGGTGTTGACAACCGCACAAAGATTGACGTAGGCCTCGCATGGGATGGGATGCAGCTTAGGCTCCATTACAATGTCATCTGGCGGTTTGTTCAACTTCTTGCTCATCCAGTTCTTGTAGATATTTTCCGCCTCGTCTCTTTGGTTTTTGCTAAAGTGCGAGTTGTACGGATCCAATTCTTGCAGATACTCTTCCTTGAGCTCAAATAACCCGGAGTCGTGGAGTCCTTCAGGCGGCCTATATTTGGTCATCTGCTCAAGCACAGCTTGCAGGTGGTCGTAATCTTGCGCACGCTCTGTCAGGCGAGAATACAGGTCTGAGTACGACAGCGGCTTGAAGCACAGAGTGTGGGCTATGTCCTTCCGCAGCGTCAGCAATTGCGATCCCGGATTGTCTTTGTCCGTGATTAGGGCATCTCGGTCCGAAAGCAGATTGATCAGAAGGTACACGAAATCCTCGGCAAGGTCCAGCATCTGATTGTCGTCACAGATCTCGAGAGAGACAAAACCATTGTACATCCAGGCTGAAAGACCAAAACGATCGACCATAGAAACCAGCACCCGGCTGGGATCGCAGGCCACGAGGGCCGTCTGGAGCAGGAACAGGTCTCGATGGTGCCCGACGTCCCGATGCGCTACGCTCTTGTACTGCACCATCTGATGGCGGAGACTCATCCCATTCCGTACCCAAAGATTGGCCCTCATCTGCGCCAGCCAAGCGCAAACCCTGAGTGGGAAGTCAAACATTGCGAGAAGTGCATCGTCGACCGAATTGAGCGCAGCTTTGATCGTGCTATCACGGGGTGCTAGTGGTGAGTCGTGGAGATGGGACAAGAATGTCTGCGCGGCTTCTCGAAGCGCCGTTATGGACTGGTTGAAATCTTTCCCTCCCTCTAGCAACCAGGACAGCGTGTAATGAAGCGGATGATGGAAGCTCAGAGGGCCTTTCTGGACCACGAATTCAACAACACTGAAACCGAATGGTGCCACAATATGGAAACGAACAGGCTCTTTTATTTCTGCTTGATCGAATCGCCGCCTCTCAAGCCCAACAGAGTTGATGATAGCTATCCCTGCAGCGTGAGATATTGCATCCCAAGTCGCACGTAACGCCGAAGGGCTGCTTTGCTTGGACAGATGATACGCCTCGGCGAACTGTCGGCATAATTTGTTGATGTCGCGAGTCAATAACGACGCGCTAATCCATGCATCGGTTTCATACTCGACATGTTCACCGACCGCTCTCACGTTCGGACAGATACCTTGCGATAATTTTGCAAGGTCGAGAAACTGAAACAAATACTGTGGCTCGTTGCGGGCTTTGGCCTGCACGTACGGGGATGCCAGGAAGTATCGGAGGTCAGAGAAGAAGTGATACAGCCGCCGGTTGGCAACAGAACCCGCATCAAAGCCTAGAGTAGCTCCAGGATCGAGATCTTTGGGCAACCCGACCTGCCTGGTAGTCAAAAATGTGTAGAGAATAGCCATCAGGTTCGTCAGGAAGTTCCCCCGCTCTATCACCTCCTCAGTGATTGACGGCGTGGTCAGAAGCTGCAGCGACAAGTTGATGATGGAATGGTCTGGTTCCCGATCCGCCACCAGATAGAGCTGCGCAAGCGTTGTGTACAAGCCGGAGAATCTCAACCCCAGGATTCGCTTGAATTGGGGGATATTGACCAGCGTGCTGATGAATAGATCTCGAAGGCCCGTCCGTGCAAGTTTCCACAACCGAAGGTCGAAAAGGATCATTGAGTCTACGCGTATATTCTTGGTGAGGTCTTCGTAAATGGGAAGAGCTGTGTTCTGCGCAGACTGCGGCGGGGACAACCTCCAGTGATTTGGCGGTGTAGATTCACGGCGGGTCGTGCGAACACCGGCGGCGGGCGTCCTTGGGATATTGAGGTAGTTGAGGTTGCTGTCAGGACCAGCTGGAGAGGCATCAGCACCGATAGCCACCGTGTTTCCAGGATCCCCGATGTCTTGAGGCACCGGTGGCGGTGGAGGCGACGGTCCGTCCGTGTCCATCCGCTCTACAACGTCCAAAAAGTCCGCATCTCCGTCCGTGTCCATCTCTTCCGCGTCGTCTGTAACATCAGGATCGTGAGTCTGTTCTGGAACTGCGAGTTCAGGGTCTGCCTCCTCGAAAACGGTGGCTCTAAGGATGAAATCATTCGTTTCGCGGTCTGCATCTGCATCGCCGATATCGTCGTCGTCGTCATCGTCATCATCGTCGTCATCTTCTCCGGGATCATTGTCATCACTGGCTCCCTCGTCGTCCAGGATCTCCACCTGTAATGCTCTTTGCATTGCGAAGTGGATAGGATCAAAGTGCCTGAGTCTTGACATCCTGCGATACTCCCGGTCATCTTCATCGCCGTGATCATCTAGGTCTTCTCTTCCCACTTTGGCGTTCCAGGCCTCACTCCCAATCTGCCAGATCTGGAGCATCTCCTCGCACACGATACGACGCAAGATATGACTGTCACCCGCAATACTGCAGCTAGCAATATCGGCCAGCCATTCAATGATGGTACCGCACATCTGTTCCCGAAACGTGTCCCTCGAGGATCGAATTGTGACGGTGATCTTGATCTCCTCGATAATCTTGGCCATGCGAGTAAGTTCCTTGAGGTCGCGCGAATACCTGATGATACTTCTTCCGAGGTCATTAGCCTCTTCAGCTTTACGCAGACCAAATGCTTCACGCTCTCGACATGCTCTTGCCACTTGCGATTGCACCTCGCGGACTGTGTGCTTCTCGTCGTTCCAGATGATCAAGCAATATTCGGGGTTCGTCTCCATCTCATCTCCTGACACGTAGTGCTCTGCAGAGAGCCGACTTCGCGATTCATCTTGAGCCACCGACTCCACCGTCTTTGGCAACCGTAGGTTTTCGGGCGAGCATGATATGACGTCGCAAAAGTAATCGAGAGCCTTGCTGATGGTTGTGCGGATGGACTCTTGTAAATCGGTTGGTAAGGGGGAAACATGCTCGTCCGTGGTGGCCCAGTCATCACTGGCTGTATGAATGGCACACTTGACAGGTCTCTTCCAGGCCTCGTCGTCTCCGCAGTCGCAACAGCCACTGTTCCCTGCACTGACGTTGATAGTGTACTGATGACCCTCGTGGTCGCTCGCAACAAAGCACCGAGCGCAGAGCACTGCGGTGTTGTCATCGGTGCACGTACTGCAGTGGTAGTTGGCCTCTCCAGGCTTGAAGATATGTCCACATGGATGACCGCGGGCGGCTGCAGTGTATTCAGCATTCTCTTGAACTCCTTGCGCGTCTTGCAGCTTGTATGAGGCAGGAAAGCCGTGTGGAAAGAGGTCGAGCAAGTAGTCCGGTCGGTCGTTGGTGAGGGATCGGAAAAGCGTCTCTAAGAGCCCCTGCTGGGCAGCAACACCGTACCGATGGCCGTGCCGCCACGGGTGGTCACATAACGCCTGCGAGAGTCGAAGGGCAAGGCCGGGGATTAGTGCGCTCATGGTCACAGTATCGAACTGCTTGCCGTCCGCATTTGGACGCTGGATGGCAGTAATACGTCTCCCTCTTCGTTATGGGGAGAGCCTGCGACGAACCGAAGGCGGGTGATAGTCGAGATGTCGCCTCCTGCGGCCCTCTGTTCGTAGCCGTTCTATGCTTGCTCGTCCAGCCAGATTTTCCACCTCAAATCACGAGATCCGGGAGTTGGGTGAACTGTCGGAGAGGATAACAATCTAGTCCTCGAGGGATATCAGGCCTGGCAATTGCGATGTACCTGAGGCGAAATCCACGAAGGTGGGATGCAGCCTGGTGCCGCTTTGGCGCCGCCCGCCTCTCAGATGATCGGCTACCATCTGATTTCCACGAGGGCTCAGGCACGGGTCATCTTCTACAGCCAAAAGTGTCTATTCAAGTGCTGGAGTCTTTGCCCCCCATTGCCATTGCTTTTCTCGCTCAGCTGGGGGGTGGTCCCTTCTATGGAACCACGCTGGAATCGCAATTGGGGTCGTTCCAGAAAAGTTACCCGGGCACAGAAAGCCTGAAAGCGTACTCCGTATTGGAGCTCCAATGCTCGACATTTCATACCCTTGCAGTCACAGATCCAAAGCGGATACGGGCTCATTTGGTATTCAGGTCACATCCCCCTCAACACGGTTCGCTGGAAATATGGGAAGCCTTCCGTCTTGAACTGGTCTTATTATCGTCCTTCATAGTTATGTACAGCGCCACTTTCGAGTTTGCACCCTTGGTGTCGCGCACCCTCCATCATTTTGGACTGAAGGGAACTCCATACTCCAAATGCGATGCCCGGCCGCTACTCTTCTTCCTCTTCCTGCTGCATATATTTGTGTTTGATGTCCTTCCATTGTCGCTGCGTTGGCGGGTCAGTTCCAGTTCGCAGAGCGCAGAGTATACTGGTCAGGAAGCACGTACGCCCTTATTCCAATTGTCCCATAAAGCGTTTGTTGCCCCTTCAAATCCCCTACGCCTAGATCAGCTTCAGAATACACCGGGTGGCTGGACCGAGCTCACAGTTCGAATGTGAAAGCGCCAAGGAAGATCACGGTCAGGTAGGTAGCGTTCTTTCGTATTAAACCACTGTGAGAGGTGAGCAGAAGCGTGGACGAGGAGCTGGCAGGTTCATACTTGAAGAGGCCGCGGGAGATTTGGTCCTGAGCTCGATCAGTACCGAGAGCACTTGGAAAGCTCGTGGATCACAATACTCACGGTAATCGGCATCTTGGACAACTCTGGGATGTTTCTGGACTTGTCGTTGTCGTGCAGGTAAAGAGCGACGAAGTTCTTCAGTCAGTCGAAATCGATTGGTCGAAATGAGCAGCTCTCGTACAGCTCAAAATGCAGGCTGCAGATGCCATTTACGGGAAATTTCCGACGCCGCTTCAAGGACGATTCAACTTCGTCATGTGATCGATCCGACATGGCTCATCGCAAACCCGAGTAAATCGTTCACTTCTGAAGCAAAGCGGCTCTAGCGGCCTATATTTTCAGGTCTTTCTAAAACCCCACTGAGGACCACACAGTATGGACGTTGTCAACTCCATACGACCTGGGCGCGTCCCACAGAATGAGGCGAACTGAAGAACAAGGGCCAAGATTTCTCTGCTGATGTCGCTTAGGGCGGCGTACCTAAAAAGACATGTCCCCTTCTCTTGATCGATTAATAGATATGAAAGCCAATTTGGCTCTTAGCCGATGTTCTCGCCCTGAGGGACTCCTGCTGCCTCGATCCCAGTGATCAGTAAGATATTCTTTGGGCTGCACTGTGGGCATATATAATCCATCATGGCCACGGCTCCTGGGCTTCCAGAACTTTACCATAGAAAATCCCTTTATCTGCTGTGAAGGCAATCGCGCGGGTATGAGACCCGTGTCGCTCTCGTATCGCTGTTGGGCCGTAGAGATAGACCGAGTCGTCACCTCGAACGGCGCAGCATGCTCCTTTGAGAGCATTCCCATCAGCGACACGAAAGTGTGCGCTCGCTATGGAGATTTCGGCGCCCATGCTCGACGCTCCTTCCCACTCGCAGCTGGACCTCCACCTTTTGTCACAGGCATACGCGCAACTCAAGTGTTCAGCGGCCTCCAGGCGCCTATTCTCCCGGTAGTTCTGGCGGCTTCAGACGCGTTTCTTGATCTCGGACCCTGAACCTTACTTGCTGGTGCCAGTGCTGGTGTCAGTGCTGTATTTTGCAGTTGGCCCAGCTTGTCGGCACTCCTCGCCAGGAAAGTCGGAAGGAACACGTTGACGTCCATAGATGAACATTGCATCAACCACTCACGCTCGCAGACCGGACAGGCTCATGTGCAGACTCAGGCCCCTGCCCTGGTACAAGTGCCTCGGGCCCATCATACCCCAACTTGCTCAGATCCCGGCGCAACTCCATCTCCTTCCCAATCTTCATTATCTGATCGGGCGACAACTTCTCGCCCGCCGCTCTCTTGTCCTTGAGTTCCTGTACCGCCCGCAGTTTCTTCAGCTGGTTGCGGATCTTCTTCTGTTGCTCGGCGTCCAAGTCCGCGTCTGGGGTCGCGGAGGGAGCATGTCCTCCCTTGGCGCGTCCGTCCGAGTTCGAGATTTCCGCCGCCCTCAAGGCCGATGTGAGCGCCTCCTCTTCCTGGTCCCCGCCCGCTTCGGCATCTTCGGCGGCCTTTCTTCGCGCCGCTTCCCTGCGTTTCGCATTCTTGCTCTTGCTGGGGGTTTCATCCGTGTGTGCGCCGGGAACCCCGACGGTGCCTGCAGTTCTGTTCTTCCACGCCTCGGCGCTCCGGTTCTTGTACGTCTCAACGTCTTCAGGCGGGCGATAACCAGGCCGTACTCGGATTTCTTTCCTGGTGGTCCCATCGGCGCGGCGGGACGACGGGATGTACGCGGCCCCGTCGGCGCTGGTCTGAATACCGGACTTGCTGGAGGAAGGTGGTCCTGGGACAGGCATTATAGGAATTCACGCCTATGGCTCGTGGATTTCGCTTCTGCTTCGAAAGGGTCAGCCTCGCATGTAGAACGGACTCGACTGGACCGGACTGGACGTGGAACAGCTCGGCGGCCTCTGTAGGGTCGAGACGACGCCTTGCCTTGCCTGGCCTGCCTGGCGCACAGCGGGAGCGACCGAGATCAGGGAGATCAGGCTTCACACCGGCGCCGAGCAGTGTCTTGCCTGGTTGGGTCCCGTGGGCGTTTTGCAGCCGCCGTGCTGATGGATGGGGAAAGAAGTTGGTGGGCGATTCGGAGCATCGTCGGCAATTCACAGGAAGCGTGGCAGGCCATTTGCGCAGCGTTAGGGGCCACAGCCTTGTGGCTGGTGCAGTACACTAAGCTGACTGGGTTTGAGCTGCGAGGCGTAGTAATTGCTTAGGTAATTGATTATTGTGTGGGGATTCAGGGCAAGTCTACCGAGGGCAGCATCATCACTCAGTAATGCATCGTTGCTCCCCACAGCAGGTCTGATCGCTCTATAGGATCTGCTGGACGTGTTTCTTTTCTCCCTGCTCCCTGCTCCTCGACACATGTGCCACTCGATATCTACTCCCTGGAGATGCCCGTGGCTGGCTGCAATGCCTTGTACAGAAATACTGTAAAGAGTGCATTACAGCCTCGAGTCCGACCTGCGACCCTCCGCACTTTAACAACCACCGGCCGAAATGGCTACGACAGGGCTCCCCAAGGCGGCTCTCCCTTTGACCTGGCCGTTCCTTCTGTTCCTCCTCCAAACCCGCACGCGAGGGAGATTGCAATATTGGGCGGAGGGTTGACGGGGTTAGCCACGGCATACCACCTCAGCCGCGAAATTCCCAAAGCTAAGATTACCATCTATGAAAAGAATGCCAGGCTTGGAGGATGGATTGACTCGGAAACGGTCAAGGTAGACAATGGCGATGTGCTCTTCGAGTGGGGCCCCCGAACAATAAGATGCGCCCCGGGAATCATGTCCTCGGCAATGCTCGAGATGGTATGCGTCCCGTCGACAATTGTCGCGCACATCTTGCTAAATGCAAGTTCCTGTTAGGTTTGTGACTTGGACCTTACAAACGACCTTGTCGCTATATCCAAGGAGGCTGCCGCTGCCCGTAATCGATACCTCTACTATCCAGACCGTCTTGTCAAAATGCCCGCGCCACTGAAGGGTGCCTCATTCTCCGATTTCATCGAAAGTGTGCGCACCGTTCTGACAGAGCCACTCTTTGAAAGGTTTTGGAATATCTTCAAGGAACCGTGGACTCCTCTCCGGGATGAAAACGTGAAGGACGAACCGCTAGGCGATTTCATATCCCGAAGGTTTGGCAAAGAGGTCGCCAACAACATAGCTTCTGCATTCTTCCACGGGGTCTATGCGGGCGACATATACCAGTTGAGCGCCCGAACCCTGGCCACAATGATGTGGCATCTTGAATCCAGGAATCGCGACGAAAAATCTAGCATTTTGTTGGAAGTCCTGGCTGATCGGCTGAACCGTCGTGGCATCGCTCGCGCTGATCTTGTCCGCCACCGACAGCGTTTCGCTGCTGCCCTGAATTCGCCGGATGCTTACTTGAGGCGTGTGCCAAATCCGGAAATCTTCGACCGTCTGAGTGTTTATACATTCAAACATGGACTGGCCCAGCTGACGTCCGCACTGGAACAGCGCCTCCGTCAGACCAAGAATATCACCATTCTCGAGTCAACCGCAGTTGAAGAAGTGACTTTCGAGAAAGCTCAAGATCGACTCCGTGTAGGGTCCAAGTCCTCTCCAGCGGCCTCTGTGTATGATTACGTGGTCTCAACCCTGGGTCCTCGGTCCATGCAGCAGTTCTTCCTGTCTAATAACCCCAGAAATCCGGCTGGAACAACGGATGAGAGAGTCAACGCCGCTTGCCAACACAGCAACAAATCCGTCAACGTCATGGTCATCAACCTCTACTACGACAACCCAGACCTACTTTCGATCAGAGGGTTCGGGTACCTCATTCCACGTTCAGTTCCGGTCGAACAGAATCCCGAGCGTGCTTTGGGTGTCCTGTTCGGCTCCGAGACATCAGGACGCTTCGACTCGGTGAACCGTCGGTCATCTCCTCCCTTCTACATCCAAAGGGAATGGGACAAGGAGAAAGGCCAGCCCGTGGTTCGTCCGCAGCAGGAACCTTACGATGGTCCGGACATCGTTCACCAAGACACCGCACCGGGCACAAAGCTAACCGTCATGATGGGTGGACATTGGTGGAATGAATGGGCCGACAGCGATCTGCCGACGGAGAAGCAAGCCATAGAAATGGCCCAGACACTACTGAAGCGACACTTGAACATCGACGAGCGGCCCACGGTCGCGAAAGCCCGGCTCAATCGCAACTGCATCCCGCAACCGCCAGTGGGCTATGCCCAGGATATGGCCACCATCCACGACGCGTTGCTATCCAAATACAAGGGACGACTCAAGGTTCTAGGGCCTTGGTGGCAAGGTGCCCCGGGCATGAACGACTGTGTTCGTGTGGCGCGTGAAACCGCCTGGGCGATCCGCGACCACAAGGACGAACTTACTGGGCTGCAAAATTACATGCGCGAATCGTTCGTCGTGACGCACCTGCCGACAAGGCAGGCAACGATCGAGTATACCGAGTAAAAGTGAGATGTAGACTGTACTGCTCTGGAAAGGCCAGGCAACCATCGAGTATACCAACTACAGAGAGATGTAAACTGCTTTGGACTGGAAGGAAGACCCCAATCGGGTATATACCAAGTAAGATGTACCAGGTATTCCATTGGACAGGCATGCAACGATCGGGTATACTAAGTGAGGTGGATGTACTGCCTTTGGATAGATGCTGCACGGGTGGGTGGGTGGCCTCTGTATCTATCGTGTAGAATAGAGAGAATCGACATGGAGTAATCCATATATGTACCAATACAATACACAGACAGGGGCTTGGACAGATAGAAAAGGGCGGTGTCGTCAGCAAATCGCCATTGTTCGTCGCTCATATCCCGGGCGCGTGTGCGACCATGTGTCGAGGACGAGGATGATACGAGCACACTCCCAGGTAATCTACTCGACCGAGGCATACCTTAAGGCATCAAAGCGACACAAAGTAGCTACGGGATGGGATGGAGGCTTCAAACTAATGGCCAGGTCGCATGCAGTATGTGGCGAGCGATATTGTATATGCAGCTCGCTGAAGGATACATTTATCGTAGCTCGTCTCCGAGCTCTCTGGATATTCTGCTTCGGTTTAATACTTAGACACACACATGAGCTCACAGGCACGCACGCAATGCCAGAAGAGGTATGTACACTTGTTTCTCCAGAAACATATTTGACGTGGCACGGCCACTGATTAGGCCAAGCAACCGCTCAAGACAATGCTCATGCTATCCAGAACCAGCTCCTCTCCACCAGGTTCCTTGGCTTGCGCTTGGGCCAAACGATGGCATCCAAGGCAGCCTTTCCAGTGTACAGATCGGCGTCGCTGGACTTGTGGAAACCTGTGCATTTGACAATTCTCCAGAACAGGTACAGGCCAAAGTAGATGGGTATGCCAATATAATCCGTGATGAAGGCCTGGTAACCGAACCCCTCAGCAATAGATTCAAATCCGTTGATCAAGATGATCAGGCTGAAGAAGATGGTGGCGGCATAACCGAGGTACGGCTGGAGGGGCGACTTGAAGGGCAGAGTGTTGCGGTCGATGCCTTGAGCCTTGCAGGCGTGATAGAAGCGGATGTAAGCGATGGTGATGCTGACCCAGGTGAACAGGGTGGAGATTGTAGTCAGGTTCTGGAACCACGTGAATACCGTGTTCGAGCCCGATGAGCAGGACATATAGGTCAGAAGCGAGGTTGACCAGGTTATCAGCACGCACCATACGGGAACACCGGTCTTCGAGCACTAGAGCAGGAATCGAAGTGCCTGTCGGTTCTGCGCAGGGCGTACAGGGAGAGGGAACCGGTGTACAGCAAGGCGTTGGCGGAAGAGGAGGCCGAGGTCAAGATGACAGCGTTGATGATTGACGGGAGAGCACTGATACCGGCACGGCTGATAGCAATGACCCAGAGAGATTGAGCAGCACCAAGCACATCGTTCTCGCGGACACTGATCAAGTGCTCGTCGTTGTGAGGAAGGAGAACACCGGTGGCCAATGAGCCCAGTACATAAAAGAAGAGGATCCGCCAGGACACGCGGCGAACGGCCTTGGGGATGTTTCGGCGTGGGTCTTCAGCTTCACCAGCAGCGACAGCCACCATTTCGACACCGCCGTATGAGAAGTCGGCGTTGGCGAGGATCGACCAGAGACCAAGGAACCGGCCAGTGTCACCACCAGCGGTATATGCCTTCATGGCACCAGGGTTGCTCCAGTACTGGAAACCGAGGCGGTGCTGTCCTGAAACACCACCGGCGTCGATGATGAGGGCGAGGACGAGGAGGCCGACAATGGTGACCACCTTGACGGAAGAGAAGATGAATTCGGCTTCAGCGTAGATGGCGAAAGCGAAGATGTTCAATCCTAGGACGGGCACAATGACGATGGAGATCCATGCTGCGACGTTGATATCTTGCGCACCGTGCCAGAAACTGGATGACGGTTGCAGCAGCTGAGACTTCGACACCGAGTGTGATGGCACACGAGTACCAGTTATTCCAGCCGACTACAAACCCTATGGCATCATCCACGTAACGAGCGCAAAACTGTGGGATGGTACTGGGAAGGGCTAGCCATGTCGCCATCTCACCGAGACACATCATCATGCCGCAGACGAGGCCAGACCGGTAAAGGTGTATCCAAGCAGGGCCGACAGAGGACCGGCTTGGAGGAAGGCACGACCGATGCCCAAGAAGAGACCAGTACTGATGCTACCACCGAGGGCGATGAAGTGGATATGGCGGGATTTGAGACCTCGACAGACATAACCATATTCCTCGGCCGTGGGGATGTCGCCGGAATCATCCGCTGCCTTGTTCAACTGGGAGAACGGTCAGCAAACACCAGACTTCAGCAGCTGAACCGTACTCACCTCGATCTTGTGTACATCGTTGAAGTCGACGGGGCAATACTCTGGCGATTGCGAGCTAGAGGAAATGTGATAGTTTGAGGATTTCTCCATCTCGAGATTGTGCGCAAACTGCAAAGGGGTGTTTGCTCTGCCCAGTAGGCAGGACATGACAATCTCAATCGTCGGTCAGTAGCGAGTGACGGTGCCTGCGAACGAGCTCGAGGAAACATCGAACATCCCCCACTGGGTCAGGGTGACTGAAAGAGGTATATGTAGGACGACAAGCGCGCATAGCCATCGCAGCCGCGGTGGTCACATGCCCTTATCTGCGATGGACAAGCACATCGACCTCGTCAACAGTGTGGCATGTTAGCTTGAGCCCAGGTCACCAGATCCGAACTGTCGAGATTGCAGTCTGGCGAGCTAGCGGCTCAAGAAGGTCGAATGGGCAGTAAGCCTTGCAGACTGCCGTTGCACAGTATCACTGCACGCCACCGTCGCATGCTGGGGCTGCAGGGCTTTGACATGCGTCAGGGCCGGCAGATATTCTCTCGATCAACCTGAGCGAACCATGACGGGCAGGTTAGAGAGAGATGAGAGAACAGAGAGAACCGTGCTAACCACGCTAGGTTGCGTGACGGCTGAGGTAACTCGTACATACTGGTGGAGCGCGGGGTAAGTAGAAGACACGCCAGGAACGGGAGGTTGACCTGGCCGGACGGCAGGCGCCACCCTAAGCATTTCCTAAGCATTTCCTAAGCATTGCCCAAGCACCCGCTCCAACACCAGGCAAGCGCAACAGAGATCTCGACGGCTTCGCTGCGGATTGGGCGTCCTGCATCGAAAGCCTTCTAAAAGGCGGCGAGGCATCTTGCATTAGCTTGCAGAGGGGGCCACGGTGCCCTTACAGCCAAATTGGAACGGATTCATTTGCCATGAGGCGGTTTCGGACTCGACGACGTTTTCCGAGATCGAGGAGAAACACGGCATACTGTACTTCGTACGAAGCTTTAATTTGTCGGCCCCCTTGAGCGACAGCCTACCGTGACGAGGTTCGACACTGGAATCACGGCGGCCCCTTCAACTCCATGCCGTCGTGAGATATAGTTCTATCGTCCTTTAAACTCCTTGACCAACGTGCCGAAATGCTCCTTCTGGTCCGCCGCCAATTTGCCCTTTGTATCGCTAATGATCGTCAAGACTAGACTATAGTTGTTATACAGGAACTTCGCTCTTTTGCTCGCATCACCTGCCGCTTTGGCTAATTTGCCCATCAGTGTCTCGTACTCTGTCCTCAGCCGGGCCAGACTATGAGAGACGGGCTCGTCATCGCCTGCCTCGGCACTGAGCAGCAAAATGCCCTGCACGAGTTGCCCGAAGCGTTGTGTGATCGCGTGCGGTGCGACTGAGGCTCTTGAAGTATCGGTTGATCCTCCGCCAACCAAGGAGAATGCTGCAGCAGCGCCACGGTTCCCACTGCTTGGAATGGGGACTTTCCTCAACGACTCGCAATGAGCGTCCATGACCATCTGGAATCTCGGCCACAGGAGGATATTGGTATAGTTGATGTAGGAATCCGCTACGGGAACCTTGCGTCTCTGCGCTTCAAATGCGAAGTGCTGGTTCAGACGCACGCAGAGAAGGAAACCCAGGCAGTCATTGGTGTTCTCGACTAAGGACCTCGTCAAATTGTGGCCGATTGTGAAAGTCGGCTCAAAAATCTCCGTCACGCGCCGGGATATCCGATGGTACGTGTTCGTTGCGAACAGTTCCGTAACGACCGAGTACTCGGCAGATACATTGTCGATGAGAGCTCGATTGAAGTTCCGAAAAGGAATCTCGAGATAATGTGCGGATTTGTTGTCTTCAGCGAGATAGGCCGGGATGGCAGTGATGTCGGTCTTGGATTTTATGATCTGCTCTCGACGGCCGAGATTGAAGGCATCGTGTTGGGGAGGCGCCGGTTTTGATGCGCCGAGGACGTTTCGGCGTGCTGGGGCGGGATCCGAGCCAAGCAGGTCGTGGAGATCAAAGGCGTGGATCTGGAGGGATGAGAGGGCTTGTTGGTAGCGGGTGAAGTGGCTGCTGTAGTACCATCGCATTGTGTTGACATATGCTTGGCCAATCTCCTCACCCAGAGTGGGATGATTCCGAGCCAGAAACGCAAAGAGGTCCTTATATCTGAGTAGCGTCTGCTGTTGGATAACTTGGGCATTGATGTTAGGCGACCGGAGTGCTTTGATCTGAGCCACTATGTAATCTCGGATCCGTTCAAGGGCTTTGACTTTGAGGTCCTCAAGGAGAGGTTTCAGGTCTTGCAAAGCCTTGAGCTGTTCTGAATGCTTTTCTTTGGCTTCCATGATGAGTGACCTCGCCTCGAGGTCGTTGACGGCTTTGACGAACGTCTCATCGATGGGTCCATCGGCAATGGACCGCACGGTGAGCGGAGAGAGGGTGACCTCCTCGACCGCAGGACCCAACAGCTTTTCGACATTGCGGCGTTTGTCGAGTTTCGCATTCAGTTGAACAGAGCGGGCCTGTAGTTCTTCAATCTCTGCCGACACCTGGCCGAGTTCAGCTTTGAAATTGGTCAAGTACGATTCAACGTTTTTCAAGACTTGGTCGCATTCCAACACTGAATTGTGAAAATCTTGGTATTTCTGTCTATTCTCTCTAGCCGAGGGCTCCAGTGTATAGCCAGTCGTCGGTGGGCTGTATGGTATATCCCGGTTGGCAAATTCTTCGAGACTCAAGCCCTCAAAGTCAATGTCCTCGACCAGCCGCCCGCCTTGAACCTTGGGTGTTGCATCTTGTCCTTCTTCATCGCCAGCCTTTCCAAGTGACTCTCTTAGCACGTTGACTGGGTCCGGCACATCTGGAGGAGGTCTTTGTTCAAACCGGAGAGCTGACCCGTTGGTTTGCCTGGGCGGAGATGTAAGGGAGGTAGTAGAGGTGTTCGCACTGAGGTCTAGAGATGTGGACGATCTGTTGGCAGACAGACCGAGACCAGACAACGTACGTTGCGACGGCGCAAGCTGGGAGTTCTTACGCGGAGCAGGAGAGTATGGTCTGGACGGAGTGAGAGACTCTCGCGAGGCGCCGGGTGTAGCAGCACCAGCAGTCAAGCGGTCCAGCCACATAATGGGTGTTCAGACGTAAGAGAGGTCTCAATGACATTACTACGAAGACATGTATGGGCTTGTGGCCCGTCACGCACGTGTCTACGAGGCCACATGGTGCTTCATATTCCTCCTGCGGAGTACACTTACTAACGAGAACATCCACCGTACAATGCCAAGGCCAGCACGAGGGAGGTTTGCCGGACCGATGCTATCGATTGGCAGTGGCGGCACTCCGCATCCCACTCTGCAACCAACATCTCGAACTCATATTTTCCCAGCCAGGGCCTGGTCTGCGTTTTCTCTTTTGACCATCGCTCTTTCCCCGAGAATTGTCGCACACCGACTTATACCGGCTCTTTCATCTCTAAATTCTCTCTACTCTCCTTAGCGGCATCTTCTCATCTATCCACCATGGCGGACAACGACGCGCAGGTAAGCATTGTCTTGATGAACCCCGCTTCTATGCGCTGGGCTGGCTCCGTCTCCGCCAGTCGTCGCAGACCAGGAGCCTCGTCCGTTCTTACTGACATGCTTTTACATCCAGCATGAACACACCTTCGAGTCCGCCGACGCTGGGGCTTCGGCCACCTACCCTATGCAATGTTCTGCCTTGAGGAAGAACGGTTTCGTTGTCATCAAAGGTCGCCCATGCAAGATTGTCGATATGTCCACCTCCAAGACTGGCAAGCACGGTCACGCCAAGGTCCATCTGGTCGCTCTTGATATCTTCACTGGCAAGAAGTTGGAAGATCTGTCCCCTTCCACCCACAACATGGACGTTCCCAACGTGACCCGCCGTGAATACCAGCTGGTGAGAGGCCCCACCGAGTGTGAATGGAAGGTACAGACCCCTAACAGAAAGTGATAGCTCGACATTACCGATGACGGTTTCTTGTCCCTCATGTCCGATGATGGTTCCACCAAAGATGATGTCAAGATGCCCGAGGGCGAAGTTGGTGACAAGATTGAGAAACTCTTCCGTACTGACGAGAAGGATACCAGTGAGTTTTGATTCTCGATTTCAGCTTTAGCAAATTCTTACGGGCTTTTAGATGTCATCGTCTTGACCGCCATGGGTGAGGAAGCTGCCATCGATGCCAAGGAGGCCCCGAAATAAAGGGTGTCCGAGCCGAACTGCACACCTGCAGCCTCCTATTCACGACTGTTGTACTTATGGGTCACGAGAACCATGTCACGTTCCAGAGCTGGTGTCGGGACTGGTTGCACAATCGAGGTATTTAACAGGCGGACTCGATTTTGCCTAGAGCTAGCTTGGGCAGTAACTCTGTGGTCTGCCTTGAAAAGCGATCTTCTCATGCCATGAAAGACTTGCATGCCGGTGCATTTTGAAAAGTGGTAGCTAGACGAACAGCCCAGGAATTTTCAAAACCCAAGCCAATCAATCGCGTGGTACAAAGTAGTTATTTGGGGTCGTTATTTCAGCCTTGTTTGTCAGTGTGCAATTGGCCCACCGCTGATTGGTGCTACGCAATTTCATTACTCGTGACCAACATCATTTTCTGCTTCCAGTTAAATCCCCTGGTACATTGAAAACATATAGAACCGTACCTGCGGCCGGTCTTGATCTCGTTGGTGCGAGATTTCTTACTGAAAGTAAAGCTCCACAACACGTCCCTTAACAGCATCGAGCGCCATGCTAGCAAAGCCATCCCGATCGCAGACAATCCGCCAATATGGACGGGGACGAGTGCGCCACTTGTGGCTCGGCCGACTTCCATGACGAAGATGGGAGGATTTTCTGTCACAATGGGCACGATCAAGGCCGCGGCCTGACCACCGCAGAGGACGACGCCGATTTCGGCAGGCAGGGGACCATCGTGAGGAAGAAAGTGGACAAGGAGAAGCAGAAGGCATCGAGAGGTGAGTCGGTGTCCACGCGACCCATAAACTGGCCATCTGCAATGCTCACCAGTCTTTTCTAGTGCTTCGAGGAGCCAAAGCGTTCCAACTCTTTCTTCAGTCCTGGCAATTCATCTTGTGGAAGCAATGTCACGCCCTTGTCCACCAGAAAGGCCTCCCAGCCGAACTATGGGTAAGTCAACCAACCGTAAGAAGCTGGCTACATCGCTTTTCCTCGCCGTTGGGGGCACCTGCTGACGTCCAGCAGAATGTGGTGCGGGACATGTGGACGTTATGGGTCTCGAGACTGGAGCATCGCCTGCTGCAAGACGCCGCCACTGCTGTCGACGGGCTTACAAATACGACTGGCAACGAGGCCGATACTACCGCAAGCTCTGGTGAGGAAAGCGATACGGACCCCGGCGCTTCTGCGCAGAAGATGGAGAAGAGGAAGAGGGAGTCCGCGCATGACTATCCGAAGCTCATCGACACCGCTGCCCTGGCATACATGGGTATCATCATGCTCAGAAGGCCAGTCGGACAGGCTACGTTTCTAAGGTGAGGACACAACAATTTTCCATGGTGGCCCGAACCACTTCCGCATGCGCTGTTCACTGACACGAGGCTCCACTAGATGGATCCTCGAAGAAGACATCCCCTTCATCCGCGCAATCCGGCACGTTCCCCAAGAGATGAAGGACCGCCTTCCAGGTGAGTACCATCAGTCTCTGGACACGACCACGCGGCTGCCCGGGCCAGACGACCTACAGAAGGCAATCTACCACCGAGCGAGATGGTTCAACACCTCGTTCGGCATGGCCATGCCATCGATCAACCAGAATCTTTTCCTTCTGAACTACGTCCGCCGTCTGGCTCTCCCGCTCGAGGTCTACACCACCGTGCGCCGCTTGAATACCATGATCACCAAACACGACTTCACTTATAGGTATCCTGACGTGACGAAACCGCCCGAGACCGAAACCACGCGACGTCAGCCAACCACGTACCCTGAAGCCCAATTGATGTCGCTCGTCGTCGTGGCCACGAAGCTGCTCTTCCCGTTCGACTCGGACACCGTCAAGCGGTACCCGAAGGACGCCACCGACTTCACCACTCTGCGCATGAACTGGGCAGCCTGGCTTGAAGCTAAAGAAAGGTTCGACGAGGATATCACCGCTGCGAGAGTCACGAACGGCCTGAAACCGGGGTCCGAGATCCTCGTCACGGACAGCGATATCCTCGGCATGACGGACGATCAACTCGACCAGTACATGAGCTGGTATCAACGGACGTGGATCAAGAACAGTGGCTCACCCCAACACACGCAGGGCCAGGATGGTGGCAGCGGCAGCGGCAGCATGGACAGGGAAATCCTGGATATGTTCCCTCTGCCCGACGTGCCGGAACGAATGGAGAGCCGGGAACAGAACGAGAGACTTTACGCCGAGGAGGACGCGCGGCTCACCGACCGCATCAAGAAGGTTCAAAATTCTCTGGGTTCCCGACGGGCTATCTCGGAGGAAGACGAACTCGAGCAAGGTCTCGACATCATGCGCCCGGGCGCACGGTACCCTCAGTTTGCCAAGGTTGAAGATCTTGACCGCGCAGCAGGGAAAGACGATGTGGCCAGGACTTTCCATGAGGAAACCGCCCAGACAGCCTGTTTGAGCTTGAAGGCCCTCATTTTAGCGGTGAATCGCACGGAGGAGAAGATCGAGCGATGGCTCGTAGCTAGAAGACGGGAGGAAATCTTCGGCGACGAGGGCTCCGAAAGCGATGAACGCGGCGCGGGGGCCGAGGACGGCGGTATAGATGAGGATATCGCAGATGTTCCGGAGACTAGTCCTCCCGGTAAGTTGGCCCAGGAATTGAATGGGCTCGGACTCGGGCTGTCGCCACATGTCGAGGACGATGATGAATATGCTGATATGCAGATGCTCCCGGAATGAAACCGGCTCTGGTTGTTTGGTGAGCTCGGAACGTACTGCCTTGTCAATCACTGCTCATGATCCATTGTGCCCAATCTCAGTCTAGCATGCGACAGTCCTGAGACAGTGCACGCTTGTCCCTGTACACAATGTGCTCCGTCTTGCCTTCCGCTGTACTAACCAATTATACACATTATACACGAAAGTTTGTCCTCGCTGTACCCGGTCCCCAGTTTCACTTCATTTCACCCTCTCAACCTCGCCTCCTTTCTCGCTCCATTCTACCCAGCTGCCAGGGAACTCCCCCACGGTGCCACCAAAGCCTGCCTGACCCGCCAGCCTCGCCGCTGCTCTGCTCCTCACGCCTGCCTTACAGTAGAAAATCACCTCGTCCTCCTTTCCGGGCTTCTCGAATCCGAACCGCTCCTCAAACTCCTCTGCAGGCAGGAAGAAGCCGTCCGCGGCAGACGTTATTGGGAGGTTTTTGGAGTTGGGGATCTTCCCGGTGGCTTGAAGTTCGTTGGGCTCGCGGACGTCGATGAGGATGCGGTTCGGGGAGGGAGCGGAGGAGAGCGACTGCACGTCATCAAAGGTGTAGAGCCTGGATTGTTGGGGAGAACTCGAAGAGGAAGAACTCTCGTCTTTGCGGGCTGACAATGTTGTTGTGAAGTGTCGCTTTGGTTGGCGCAGGGGCATTTGCGTTCGGGCTGTACGAGTATGTGAGGTGAGGAAGGCAAGCACGGGCACAGCTGTTGAGAGACGGCCTGGCTGACTGGATCGGAGACTCTTTGAGGAATGACAGGCCGTGATCGAGGAAGAAAGACCCCGGGAACAGTGAGCGAGAGAGTTGGCTGCTCGCTTTGATGCCATCTTCGTTTGGGTCGTCGCTTTGAAGGCGGATTGGGCTGCGAAGAATTCTAGCGCAACAAGTAGACAGTACTCAGAATAGGTTTACAAATTAACTCCAGCTTTGGCGATTGCACCAAAATCCAAAAAGCTCCAGACGCCTCGGCAGATGACGTTGATGTGCGGAAATGGTACCCGCCGTACGGTGGCGCATTCGGCCAGCTTAGCACAGTGATTATCCATTCAAGGTCTCATACGACCTTGGTCATTTATCGGCCACAGTCCAGATAGAGATTTCGCAACCCTGTCAGCCGTTACAGGCGCGGGAGCTCCATGTTTTACAGCTTGACAGCCGACAATTTCAGCTGCACCCCCGGATTGTAAGAGGTGTGTTAGTTCTGGACCAGAGCAAGACCGAAGAGAGCGGGCATTCAAGAAGTATTTTCCGACGGGTCCAGCCCTTGTTCTACTTCGCGTTTCAATCGAGCCTGCGGCACTTGTTGGCAGCTCCGACTCCTGGGTCAGTCGATTAGAAACACACGGTAGGGAAGAACGTCGGAGCTTTTCCAGCTGCAAGCGATTTTATGGCTAGAGCTGCAAGGGAAGCCCTCTCGGATGACCGACACAGAAGAGAAGCACGTGGAGTACCCGGGCGGCGTTCTGGTCCTTAACGGACAAAGGTTTCAGCTTACCCAGCTTTTCCGCCAATTCCTTCAGAAATCCCTTGACTTTGCCTATAACTAAGTGGTCAGTACCATGGTTTTACTGAGTGGGCGGATCACTGACCTAGACCTTCCAGATGCCAACCTGACTTCTTGTAGTAGAGCTCGATTAGCAGTCTTCACTCAGATGCCACTGGGATGTCCTCATTCTCAGCATAGACTTTCGAGAGTCTCTGTAAGTTGTCGTGTTATTCTCAATATCTAATCTAGCCCTTTCAAGGTCCCGGCCTCCACTTACGGCGGGGCATTGTTCGAGGTCGGGCTGGGGGGCGTCACGAGGCGCGTCGAGGCTACGACCGTCCGTTCCAACCTTTTCAAGGCGAAAGATCAAGAGTGGAAAGATTACTGGAACAAGTGGGTGTTTGACCCTGCTCCAGGCGACTCGCTCATGAGCTCACCACATCAAGATCATCAGGAGGGACAACCAGTTGCGGAGGGGTCGAATGCGCCACCAAAATGTCATCTCTGCGTAAAGGACCTAAGTAAGCAGAGGCGTATGGATTGACCGCTTTCCTTTCCCCCTTTCTCTGTCCCTGTGGATTACCGCGTGTGAAGGTGCGGGTATGAGCGCAGGTCCCATTTGGCGCCTTGCTCTAATATCAGGCATCGAGCTGCAAGACTATCGTCCTCGATTTCGATCCCAATTACAGTAATATGATCATCATAGTATAAGCCTCTTCCGCTCCTTTTATGGACGAAGCACGGGCAAGGGAAAAGTCTCCAGTCACACGCAACCTTGAGCCTGTCTGCCAGCGGTGTTGCTCAGGAGTGCACACGCTGGTGGTTCCTGCGTGCTGCCTGTGGGGAGTCGCCATGCTATGCAGTAGACGCTTGCTTCCAGAAGCATCTAATCAAGTTGAATCTTCTAAGAGGTGGTGCATAGCTTCGCGGTGACGATCCGACCAAGACCTAATGCCCACCTTGTCTCGTTGTGAGAGGTCGGTCAGTGACGTGTCCACATGCGTCCCTTCTCTTCCTACCGACCGGCGAGACGAACGAGGCAAGCCATCGCCTATTGTATACAAGCTCTGAGACCTTCGTCCCTTGGCAATCGACGCCCGACCTGCACGTACTTCTTCGCGGTTTTGTATGAGCTATCTCATGTCACATATTGCACCTTCAGATAGGCCAGAGCAGCTTGAAGCGAAATGAGTGAGCCTTGTGATATTGTAAGCTGACCTCGAGCTGTTCCTGAACCGGAGCTCGATTTCCCATCGCACCTGCTGGATTGAGTTCAAACCCCCTCCAGCAATGCCTCGGCTACCCTGTATCGACGTTCCATAAGGTGAGCATGCTAACTTCATTAGGGCCAAGGCTACGTCCTCCCCGAGGCTCTGGCAACACGCCGGGCACAGTCCGTCCGGCCACTCACCTCGAACAGCCTGACTCGGTAATCCAAGCGACTCGGAAATACCCCTTGTCATGTATCTGGGGTATGAAGCAACGGCCATTGGCGATGCGGTGTAAGAGTCCTTTGCAGCTTTGCATCGGGCAGACGGCGATTGGCTTATGCACGCGACCAGAGCAAAGCCTTATGATGCGGAGGTGCTGCATCCCGGGCTCGTCCTCGTTCCCCCACTCATTCGCTTACAGTACACTTCCGGACACTACAGTTGGTGGCCGGCGGTCCGTGGAGCTCAAGTACGTACCCCAAGCGGTGGAGAGCATCGACCTCTATGAAAAGCACATATATCCGACCAGGTAGGTAGTCGGTTCGCAGTTTCGAACGGACTCGAGAGAACTTGAGGCGGCTCAAGCAAAAATGCCTTCTTCGTTCTTTGTCATTGGCACCGCTGTTATCCTTCTGGCGGGAATCTTCATCCACAACTATAGCAAGGGGTCCAAAGTACCGCCCCACGCGAAACTGCCTCCTGGGCCAAAGGGTGAATGAAGTGACCATCAACGCTGAGAAGACAGCTCTGACAACGCCCCAGGCAAACCGATCGTGGGCAACCTGTTGGACATTCCGCCAAAACACTCATGGTTGAAGTTCAAGGAATGGGCCGACCAATACGGGCCGATCTATCGCCTCGACATCTTTGGGCGCAACCTCGTCGTGGTGTCGACGGAGAAAATTGCCAATGACCTGCTGCGGGAGCGAGGAAACATCTACTCCTCACGCGAACAATTGCCCATGGCCGCTCAGCTCATCTCACGGGGCTTGAGGCCTCTGTTTCTGCCACATGGAGGTAGAGACTACCTCTCTTCCCTCAAGGAGAGTGGCTGACGTGGTCCAGACTTGTGGCGACGAGTGCGCAAAGTGATGCACAACATGACTATGCACGCCTCGGCGACTTCGTACCAGCCGGTTCAGATCTACGAGTCGGAGCGTCTGCTCCACGACTTGATCGCCACTCCGGAGAAGTACGAGTCAATCTTCGAACGATACGCAGCAGCGGTGGTCCTGCGGTTATGCTACGGCAAGACGGTTGACACCGGTGACGAGCAGTACGTGCGCGACATCCTCCATATCACCCACACCGTCGAGCGAACGGCCTCTCCTGGGGCCTACCTTGTCGACACGTTCCCGGTCCTCATGTGGTTGCCCGCGTGGCTCGCGCCGTTCAAGCAGGAAGCAGCCCGGCTGAACGCCTTTGAAGTCAAAACCTTCAGGGGCCTCCTGCTCGAAGTCCGCGACAAGATGCAGGGGGGAAAGGCTCCAAAGTGCTTCGCGAGATCCTTCCTCGAGAAACAGGCTGAGTACAACCTTTCGGATAACGAGGGAGCCTATGCCATCGGCACGCTGTTTGAGGCCGGCGCCGGCACCACGGCGGCCATGATGATGTCCTTTGTGCTGTGCATGTGTCACCACCCCGACTGGCAGAAGAAGATGCAGGACGAGGTTGACCGCGTCATTGGTGACAGTCGTATGCCGGAATACAGCGACATACCGTCCTTGCCGACCTGTCGAGCCGTGATCAAGGAAGTCCTGAGATGGCGTCCCGTGACCGCTGGCGGTGTACCGCACGAGTTGATCAAGGACGACGTTTACAACGGGTTTTTCTTCCCCGCCGGCACGAACGTCCATGCGAACCAATGGTGAGTGACTGCGCATGGAGAGAGTGCATGTGGGTATATGCTGACGTCTTTCAGGGCCATCCACCGTGATCCAGAACTATACCCCGACCCGGAAACCTTCAACCCTGACCGCTGGCTCTCGCCCAAGTACCCGACCTATCGCGAACCGCTCGACAAATTCCCCAGCCTGCAGAACTACTCGTGCTTCGGGTTCGGGCGACGGATCTGTCCGGGCATGAACATTGCCGAGAACTCGCTGAACCTGCTGATCGCGAGGATCGCGTGGGCGGCGCATATTTCCAAGAGGCCCGGCGTCGAGGTTCCACTGTACGATTATACTGTCGGGTTCAATGTGCAGCCTCGGCCGTTTGTGTTTGATCTCAAACCACGGAGTGAGGCGAAGAAGACGTTGATTCATACCATCTGGGAGAGCGGAAAGGCTAGGGATCCGCTCGACGAGGTGAAGACGTTGTAGGGCGAGCCTTGTCATCAGCTGAATGATAATGTGTTCAACGAGCCCGAGATGTCTGTGAGACAATTGTCGTCAGTCGGGTAGTCCCATGGCGTACTTGTTGCAATGTGTTGCGGCTTGCCATCTCCTCCACTGCCGCCTCATCTGTCCCTACCTGCTCCTCATAACAGCACGTTATCTATACCGGAACATATTCTTCCGTATATACCAATAGCCAGGCCCAAAGTCAAACGGAATCAAACCAAAGCAAAGCACACCGAGCCACATCGAACCCTGCCTGAATCCCTACACATCCTCGCCCGCACTGCGCCTCAGAAACGCCACCGTCTCCGCCACCCGACTCAAAAACGGACTATGACTACACCCCTCGAGCACCTCCGTCCGCACAACACCCCCACCATCCCTGATCATTTGGACAGTCTTCTCCTGCGTCGCAAACTTCATGGCCAGATCCTCTCTCGCCATCAAGAAATGCACAGGCACGACCTCGAACGCCGAGAACCGACAGCTGTCAAACAGCGCGGCCGAGCTCATCACATTCAAATTCCTCTCCGCGGATCTCCACGTCTCAGACTCGGGGCCCAGATCCTGCCAGAACACCGACGCAGGTGGCGGGCCCATCAGCGGGTCATGTGTGGGGATCGCGCTGGCCGGCCTGCCCTCCGCTTCGGGGATGTTCATGCCCTCCGAGATGATATAGGCCGTGATGGCCGCGATGGCGCGCACGCCGGTCGGTTTCCCCTGCGCGGCGCGCGAGGCCGGGTCCAGGCCCCTTAGGGCGCCCGAGGCCGGGATGCCGCCGTAGGAATGGGGCACGAGGATCACGTCGTTGGGGGTGGTGGCTGCGGTTGCTGTGTTGTCATCGGATATTCCGTCGAGCTCTGCGAGGATGGCGCGCCGCACGGTGTCGATGTCCGCTTGGCTGTCCGGGGTTATTTCCTCGGGGGCTTTATCCACGGACGGGAGCGCCGGGATGACGACTTTGTAGCCGTGCGAGGTGAGCGCGCGGGATAGGGCCTGGAAGTGCATGGGCCGGTGCCAGGCGCCGTGGACGATGATGATTGTCGGTTTTGAGGCGGTGTGGCTCGCGGTTGCGTTTGATTCCGCCATGGTGTGGAGATGTGATGTCCCTTTTGTGGGCCGCGATCAGGTTCGGTGGAGGGAAAGACAGGATCCTTCTAGCATGGAAAAAGCCTGTTGTGTCGCAGAGGGGACGGCCTGCCTTTTGTTCTACCAACACTGCTTCTTTACTAGGGATGGAGGGAACGAATGCGAGGCATTGCATCCAGTCGTGTAATTATGTATGCGGCACGGACGGGGCTGACAAACAACAGCTATATAAAAATAACGCAACGTCAACCCCTGAGACCGGACCGGGGATGGACACTTGTACACAGTAGGCCGTCCGACGGAGCTACTGTAGGTGTCGGCCGAATGCTGTGTTCGGCACGGTGCTTACCATTGCGGACGGCCCAAGTACGGAGGAGAGCGTGAGCATGAAGTTCGGTCCGCCGCCATCAAGTAAGTTCGGAAGGAAAATCTAAGGACATGAGGAGTCGGTCAAAGTCAAAGGCACGGAGTACTATCTAGATCCCTTCCGCATCCTACGTGTCCACTGTGATGTGCTACGAGGACGTAACCAGTAATTAATCCCGAGTAACTCCGTACTCCATACTCCGCAACCAAGCCTGGCGGGCGGGTGCCTGGTGCCGCCGCGGTTTTGATGACCAAGCAAGGCGTCCCCTACACAGTACAGGTGCTGATACCAGGTCAAGTCCCATAGGTGCGTCGGGGGACCTACGGAGTTACAGTACCGTGGGATGTATGTACTGCAAGTCCCCTCGTACCCGTACCCTCCTTGTGCTTTGGCGGCCTCGTCACATCTCACTCACACACCACCGCGCATCTCGTGGTCTTGTTGATCGGAGGAATGACGGTCTGCGTATTCGCGAGCGACCGATCCAGCAACAAAGTAGCGCACGTCGAGGCCCACGAGACCGAGCGAGACGCGGCGTGCAAGCCCAAAATGGGTCATCATCCACGGTCACAGCTATCTACGCCCCGAGCAATCTCAACGCCAAGAACGCCAGAGTGAGAGTGGGTGGTATCTCCAAGACAGCAAGGGACTTACAGCACTCGTCCGCGTTCACCTACCCGACTGCCTGAGCCGATGATGCGAATATCGAGACGGAACGAGTGCGTAGACTGAGTCTCATGTCGTGTGCTCTACTTAAGCAGGATTCGGGAAAACTAATGATCTTTTGCATTCATTGCCCAGGCCTGCTTGCTGGACGGTGGGACCGAGCGCCTTTACATACCATACCGTGCTGTGCCATGCCCATGCTCATGCCCGTGGCCATGTCATCAGCATCCGGAGGTCAGAATGTTTCAGTTTACATCTTTGTCAAGCTCCAGCTCTAGCTCCAGCCCCAGCTCCTGTACTCCCTATGGTCGGATACCCACCCGTGTGCGCGTGCTGCGCAAGCTCGCATCACAAAACACATCGCAGTACGCCTATCTCGTGGAACCATTGCCGGTGCGTTGCCAATGCGAAAGACGCCAAAGTCACGCCTTTACATTCCCAATTTTGTTTCTACACCGTTTCTTCGTCAATCGTAACGTGTTCGTGGCGAGCCCATGGCTTTCTCGTACACTTCTGCATTCCCGTCCGAGGAAGACCGATTGCTGCTTGTTTCTCCTGTCTCGGCGTCGACAAATTGCTCCCCTGATGTAGTTGCAAAGCTGTGCTTGCGACTCGAGCGCGGTGAATCGTAATGCGCCATCTCGTCTTCCTCGTCATCCTCGCCGTTTTGCGAGACGTGGCTGGCTCGGTCAACAGTCACCTCCCGATTGTAATGCGTTTCTGGTGTTGCTGGGCGGTCTTGAGACGCCTCCTCTGCTCGGCTTTGTGCGGCTGTCCTTTCGTCGACCACCTCTTCGTTTCCATTCCCGTCTTCCGCCTTCCTCAACTTCAACCTCTCTTCATTGGACATATGTTGCCACTCGGGAGACATGGTGATCACGGACGCCTTCTTACCATGGAGAATGAAGCTACCCACGCCTCGCCTCAACTCTTCAGCTTCACTGTGCATTGACTTGGCTCCGTCCTCGGTGGCAGCGATACTAGACCCGGACTCCCTCCCCTTCTTATGGCGATGGATGCTAGGTGACGAGTGATGATGCGGTTCGCGCAAGCTGCGTTGCAAACTTCGACGGATGCTTCCTGACTTTGACGAATCAATGGCCCCGGAAATCGCCCCCGCTATGGCACCAACTCGATCTCTTTCGGACTCGCTGGTATCCGGCCGTTTCTCCCTCGTCACACTGCCTTCCACGTTGGTCAAACCTGCCTCTCGCAGGATCCTATCCTCGGCGTCGTCTGTTGTACGACCAAGGCGATCTCGATCCCGGCTGTGGCGTGAACTCGCGGTGGAGACCTGGTGGGACAGCGTATGCGACTCCTGGATGCTCTCATGTCGCGACAAGGCGGGATCCACCGACAAAGAAGGGCTAACGGCGGAGGGGAGATCCAGCATGCTTTGGTCGGTACGCATACTTGCACTTTCCGAGGTCTTGATTTTGTCTGCAATATTGGACGGCCTCGAAGAAGTCGCGCTGACTGGTGACATCGTGACATGACTTGCGTCGGTGATGGTACGTCCAAATTCTTGTGGGCCAGTCTTCAGAGGAGTGGTCTTTTGCGGCGTCGACAGCGAGGAACCTTTGGGAACAGGAAACGCCGTAGCACCCTCCTCCTCCAGATCTTTAGCCAAAATATCCCGGTGCGTCCTCGTTCGCCACAGCTCGACTCTGGTCCATTTCAACTTCGCCGACATCCGACCAGCGGCTAGAACAAGAGCTTCCCGAGTCTTTTGTTGGATCGGGAGTAAGATGAGTAGATGCCGAGCATTCCGAAGAAGATTGTCGAGCTCTTTCTGTGCCACAGCAATTCTTTCGTCAAAGTCACTGATTTTCTCATTGATCAGCTGCCGGCGGTAGAACATGATCTCCCATGCCAGTTGGGCGTCGAACTTCTTGTTGTCCTTCTGCGGCGTGTCCCCACTCTTGGTAGAGAAGTCAGAGCCCTTTCTTAGAAGATGACGTCCCTCGTAGTTGCCGCCTAGCAGACCGCGCATTCTCACACCAGCCGTACGAAAGGTGGCTGCGTAGTTGAGCTTGCCAATCCAGTCGTTCATCTCCGATTCGCTGTTGGCTAGGAAGACTTCCTCGAAACCACCGTGCTTGATAAACACAAAGGCATTCTTGTGTTTCTTGTAGCTTGAATCCAGCAGAGCCACGGCATCATCCATAGACATCAGCGCATCAGGCTCAAAGGAACTCAGAGGCGGTTTGAAGGTTAGTGGCGCGGATTGAAGGGCAGATTTCGAATGGGACTCCGATTGATGTATCAGCTTCTTGACCCAGCCGACATCCTTGAAGAAATACAACTTCGAGTCGGTCAACAAAGCGCCCCATTCTTGCCAAGGGCTTTTGGCCTTTCTCTTCTTCGGATCCTTGCGCCACAGCAAGCCGACTTTCGCAATCTTGATACTGACAATCCCGGCTTGGGTGTCGCCAGGGTTACTGATGGTGGCCTGTGATTGGAAAGCGTCAGGTCTGGACCTCGCAGAGATGATTTGCAAGACAGCCGAGTTGGTGAAAGCTCTGTGAAGCACGCTCGTATCGAACGCACTTGACGTTCCTGTGGAACAGTAACAATCATGCGTGTCCATGACATCTTTCAGCGACGGGCGCAAAACGTCCAACTTGTTGTCTAATATCAGAGTGTAGGGATCGACGGGACCACGCAGGCTTTCGAGGCTTTTCGTCTTGATCAAGCTTCTTTTGGCCTTCGGAGCCGATAGGCGGTGACTGTTGACGGCAATTTCATCTTCGAAGTGGATGAAAGGCGTATAGCACACATTGTCGTAGAAGCATTCTAGGATATCACTAGCTATTTGCACAGAACCATGTTGCGTGTTCTTGACATAGTCTTGCTTCTGCATCTTCCGCTTGTTGTTCTTGTTGTGCGCGTCGGAATGCAACAGCAGAATGGAAAACGCAACGAATTGAGCATCGTCAGTTGAGGCAAAGATTCCAGGGTTGCACTCGTAGTATCTGTCTGCGAAGCCATTGAGTAGTCGATCGATTTGTTGAGTCTCTTTCGGCAGCTCCACCTCCATTAGCATTTTGCGGATCGCGATGTCGATGGAGTCGCCAAAGTACGAAAAGCCACGCATATACTTGCGCAAGCATGTTCGGGAGAAATCATCCGCGCTCTTGCACAGGATAGAGGCCATTCCACTTCGCGGCACGGCAGCCTCCAACCTCTCCAGATAACTTGCCGGAGTATCGCCGTCTTCTCGCTTAGGATACACTCGCCCTGTTTCTGGCTCTCTGGGTAAATGTAGGGAATTGGATTTCGAACCGGGGGTGCCTGGACTTGACCCACTCCCGGTCCCTTTTGAGGGCGCCGAATTCTGGCGGAGTCTGTGAGGCAGGCTCAAAAGATCCCCAAAGCTTCGCCTCCCGCTAGTGGAAGTCGAGGTACGCGCTGAGCCTGGCTGAGGGGCGGGGTCCGTCAATCTCTCATTTGATTTTCCGAGTGAGCTCAAGGTCGAGGATCTACCCCTACCTGATACCCGTGGAGGCGCAAGCGAAACTGACGGAGTCGAGTTGCCAGAATACGTGGACCAATTTGAATTCTGCCGGACGATCGTCGCCCCAGGTGATCCAAACGGAGCGTTGGTCAGGGCCAAGGCTGACTGAGTTGGCGAAGCGCTGGCCGAGCCGTGTCTGCTCGGCTCAGTGTCGAATCTCACGGCAGTATTGGACCTCCTACTAGGCGACATTGACTTCCTCCCACCCGTCGATTCGGCAAGAGTGTGAGATGTGGTAGTTCGACCTGAGGCCGGCCTCGAGAACTTTTCAGGCAACGGAAATAACGGGCCTTTGTCTTTCTTCCGCCTCTTAAGCTTGAAGAAGGTGGTCGTGGTGGAGATCGTATGAGTAGTAGTGGTTTTGGCGTAGACGTGGTGGTCCCCTGAGCTATCATCAGATCGGGAAGATTCTGAAAATCTCGTTACAGGTATGGCTAGCGACGACGAGGAGTCGTCGCCATATGCCGGTGGCGCCATTGCTCGATGTCCTGTCTTGAGCCTGGGTAGACGTTCGAAAGATGTGGTACTCCTGGGTAGCTCCGACTTTGACGAGGTGGCATCTCCGTCCGCAGCGTCTTCGCTATTGGCGCCTTTGAAAGGGTCCAGTACCGTGCGTTTGAAGGTCTGGCTCTTTCGGAAGGGGCTCTGGGCTCTGACGAACAATTTGCGTTTAGAGGGTCTATGTGTAGACTCATCCGGTTCGTTTGTTGTGGGGGCGGTTGTAATGATTTGGGGAGCTGCACATTCAATAGTTTAGTAACAAAGACAACATCGGCTTGCAATGAACACATACGAGCGACGTCTCTCGGAGCATTATGTTCCTCATTCCGGAATCTGGTGGACAGCTGCGGATCTGACGCATGTCTCATGCCTAACTGCGACAGCCTTTGAGGTGCGGGCAGAGGGAGGTCACCAATGTCATTTCCTTGATCTTCTCTATCTTCCGCTTCTGACGAGGCTGCCGGAGTGCTGGTACTCTTTGGCAGTTGGACGTGTTCGGGCGCCGCAGTAGGCTGGGTCGAGGGTCTCTGTCGAGGAAGTTCTTCGGGCCCCGCGGTCAAGATCGCAGGGAAGGCGTCTTCGCTGGTGCGCGACAGGCTCAGGCTCAGCCGTTTGAATGAGTTGCTCTGGGTACGAGGACGAGATAGCGGAGCATTGGAGGTCGAGGTTGCCGGAGCATCTTCGATGATACTACTATGTCTCCGGTGTGACAGACCCAAGCCAGGCGCTGAGGGCAGAAGAGTCCGTAAGGGCATGGTGAGAAGAGGCAGCTCATTCGTTCACACCATGTTGAGGGCAGTGGTTGCAGCGATTGTCTCGTTGCACAGGTGTGAGTAGTCTTCGCAGGTACTACCGAGTCTCGGAGGCGGCGTGCGTGGACGGGGAGTAAGTGCGCGAGATTACTCTATTTAGATGGGGGCTCCGAATTCACAGTAAGCAGGCCAGCTGCGTGTGAGATGGGATATTAAAGATGCGAGTAAGTGACCGAACAGTGCTGTGGGCAGAGAGGGAGTGAAGTCGTTGCTTCAAGGTACCGGTAAGCGAATGAGCGATACAGAAAGTTGGCATCAACCCTGCCAGCGCGATATGGAATTGCTATGCTGAACTTTTGTTGGAGGAACCGACCAGCAAAAGCGAGAGCCGGAGCCGGAGCCGGGGCCAGAACGGCGCCCAGAGCGGATTCGCGGCCTGGCTGGCGTCGGCCCACACCTGCAGCCCAAGGCAAGGAGCAAGGGGCTGCTGCTTATCCTCCCAGGCAGCCCGGCACAGCTCCTGGAGTTGTTCCACGTGCTTCATCGTTGTTCCCCCTGGGGTTTCAGCGGCCTAGTAAATAAACCCCCACGCAACGAACGCACAGGACAGTTGCGTTGCTCCCGAGACAGTTAGACAAAGACACAGTCCGTACTTCCTTCACGCTTCGCTTAAGCAGCTTCACCTGAGCTGGACTCATTGGACGACACGCGTAGCCGCTACAGTATCGAGTACCTTGATTATCATTATTGCCCATGCTCTCCTCAGGGTGGTGGCTTTCTATCTCGCCGAATGCTCTTATCACTCACGCATGCCGAAAATGCAACGTTCTAGAACCCGTGGGGAAAAGAGTCCCGTGTGCAAATGCAATGTTCCCGCCTTTACAAAAGCAGAACCACTCCACGCTTGCCATGCAGAATGCCCAACACCGTCATCACCATTTATCGAGACCCATGACCACCGTGAGGCGGGTAATATCCGCCAAATCTTGCATTGTACATCTGGTGCTGCTGCTGAAGCTGCATCTGTTGCATCGGGTCTGTCGGAGCATGTTGCTGATGCTGCCAGCCAGAATGATGTGGCCAGTACTGTTGCGGCTGCTGCGGCATGGCACCACTCCAATACATTGACGCCTGTGGGCTACTCCACTGCCCGCTCTGTCTGGTATCAATCGGGGAGCTGTAGATGGTGGCTTGCTGTGTTCCGTAGTTGCGCTCCGCAGCCTGCCTCTGTGCAATGGCCTCCTGCACCATATGGCCGGCGACCCCTCCCTTGATATTTCTCTTTTCTTGCTCTCGCGCTTCGATTGCTCCAATGAGGCCGACTGACGGATCCGGTGTCCTGCTTCTCTCGTTCATTTGGAGCAGTGGCCCGCCCGTCATCTTTGCAATGTGCTCCTGCTCTCTGGCCGATAAGTGCGGCGTATAGTCCACCAAAAGCGAATTCCTCGAGCTCGGCCGAACCATGATTGAATGTCGCTTTCTCGGCAGGTTCTCAGGAGACTGCTCCGCCTTACTATACGAGACACTTCGGTGAGGTGAATAGCCATGCGGTACGCGAGCAGCTACAGCACGCTGCTGCACGAATTCTTCAGCCGTCAACCCTCCCATCGAGTCATGTCTCGCTAAACTTGTCCCTGGACGCCAAGCATAGCTCGAGGACCGAGAGTGACTAGGTCGAGGGCTCTGTTTATCAAGCGGCGATCTCGGTTCGTCGCTACCCATGAAGACACCCGGAGATATCCTTCCATCTTGAGGTGATCTCCTTAGAGGCGTCGTGGGTGCCGTTAGGGGACGATCCGACAACGGCTCCTCTACATGTATCCCAGAAGCGGTTGCAGGACGGCTATGTCCTGGAGTCAAGGTAGGAGTGAAGGTCGTGCCGAAATCAACAACAGGTATATCGTGATTGTTTGTATTCTGAGCATCGGGGGTTGTCGACAGGGTTGGGTCACCAACCATTTTCAGGACACCGGTCCGTGTCCGTCTAGCGGCGATCTGGGGATTATGGTCGTCGGGAAGGCTGTCATAGTCAGGTGAGCTGCTTCTGTCTCTGTCATAGTCGGATGCTGAATATTGAGACATATTATCGGCCACTTGAGTATGGCTCGGCCGCGCTAACAATGTTGAGGTTGCTGTCAGAACTGGCTTCCGTAGGATCGGTTTTCGAGGGATCGTATGCTCACTCGGGCGTGCAGCGAATTCTGGTCTGACATCAATCGTGTCAGGAGGTTGGGTATAAGCACCGTCTGCTACCACTTCTTGAGAAACAGGTTGATTAGCAGACATATCTTTGTGGTGTGGGGTCTCATGTATTACCCCTCGAGGCCCCTGGATCGAATTCTCCCCCTGTCCTCGGCCTTGGTTCCACGCCACCATGGCTGCTTGACCCGCAACCGCCCCACCACTCGCAAGTCTGTTCACATCAACAATCTGAGACAATGTTCCATTTGACATGCGACTTTTTTCTCGCCTCAAATCGGGTCGAGTATCGGGTCGCTTCTGCGGAACATCACCAGCTTGATGCTGCATGTCTGGCGGAGCCATGACCGGCGCAGGCGGTGTTGCTTCTCTGACATCTTCCTGAACATCTTCCGCGTAGGTCCGCGGCCCTTGCCCGTCGCTGTCTGAGCTGTACCGGCTGTCAGAACCTTCCGCCTCGCTTGTGACAGCATTATACATGAGTGGATTTCGATGTGCTGGAGGCGGTGGAGGAGCCTCAATGGTGTTCAACTCCTCAGTGTACTCAGCTGACAACCTAGACGGGTTGTAATTATTTTGCTGGCGATGACTTTTGGTAGGAGACATATAGGCCACGGACTCGGACACAGACCTTGAGTGATGGTTCTTTCCAGGAGATAGATATGCGACGTTTGCCGGAGCCGTCACTGATTTCTGTGGCGAGGCGAACACCGCATCCGTTGATTGGTTGTGATGATGTTGGGAAGGTGTCGACCGAACTGATTCGCTATCGTCGTACCGCACTCCTGGTCTCGACTCTGACGCAGCCCGATAACTGCGTCTGTTCTCGAGGCTGCCATTCGACCGCTTCTGTGCCGTCATTGACATTCGTTTCGAGGTTGTCTCTTTGAGCTGTTTGCGCCATTCTCGCTCGCTCCATTTCTCACTCCCCTGTGTGTGTATCAAAGCTGCAACATCCATGATGTCCAAGTAACCATATCTCCGTTCTTTCGGCATAGCAAACATGAGTCCCCTCGGGTCCCACGTGTCGGCGATCAGTCGCTGCGGTCGACCATACAGCTGGAAAATGTCATACACCGGGAAGAGCCAGCGGAGCATCATCTCGAATCCTGTGACTGCCGGATGCAGCTCAGGCATAACGAAGACGAAGCCTTCGGTCTTGGACTCTGGTTTCGAGTGAATTGTGATACGGCCTTCCACTTTGACCAGGGTTGATTGGTCAATCAATGCTTTGGACTGGGGGTAAACGGCGTAGGCGGCATACGCGTCGGTAATGGTTGCGATCGGCACAGCCTTCTTCGTCTTCTTAGTGTCGTAGAACTTGATAAGTCCTTTGGGCAGCGTCGGTCGGTCGTACGCCGATTTCTTCTTGAGAGACTTATTGGATCTCTGCCACTCTTTCTCGTCGGGTGGTTCGATGACACACCAGCAACGTCTCCAAGGGGTGCCAGCGCCGAATCGAACGCGTGTCCAGTCTTCTGTCTTGAATTTTGTCCTCTCCATGATCATTCGGATATTATTCAGGTACTTGCCCTTGCCAGCGACCAGTGAGCCAGTGTATAACTCCTGCAGGGACGCAAGTTCGAACATTGAGAGTCGGATACCAGCAGTCCACTGTGTTAGGGAGTGGAGTGAGTTGAAATGCAGCAGATATCGGTTCTTGCCCGCTGTCGAGATCGAGAGCACATTTTGCAGGGGTTGTACATCGGGATTACGAGTAGGAAGGGTCTCAATCTGTCCATTCGTTAGAAAACGTGGAGTTATGGCGGACCGAGGTTCGTACCATCTTGATAGAAGCGTCGGCCAGGTTGATGAAGGTGGGGGCAACCTCTCCATCTTGACCGGCAGCATCCAGAGCTGCCGCATCCCAGAGGGAGAGCACGGTGCCTACCAGCTGAGCGAAGCATTCCGTCCAGTTGCGGTCAGCATTGGGTCTGCCGTCTAGAAATCTGTCAGTCGGTCGTATGCACTGGGAGAAAGGCCATCACTCACGAGTGTCAAGATCGTTCAGTTTGAGGAAATATCCTATACGACACAGTCAGCATGATCCTGCTCAGGCATGCATGTAATCAATGGTTACCTTCTTGATAGAGCTTGTTGCTATGGCTCGATAAGAAACTGGATCATAGCGTCAGCACGGGAAGCCGAGCGGCGTCCTTGGAATTCGCAGGTCAGGCGTACCTGAATACTGGTCTCAACTCTTCAATATGCTGGTCTCTTTCATATTCCATTGACGGCGGTGTGTACACCATAGATGCAGGACGGGACGCAGCCCGGTCGGTCCGAGGCGTCGTTCTAGGAGACTCCGTGGGTGCTGGTGAGTCTTCAAATCTAGTCGACGATGGGGAGCCCTGGTCGAGGTGTTTAGTCTGGCCGTCGGTAGACGTCTTGGAGAGTCCCGGAATTGAGAGGGTGGAACCGTTGCTGAAAGCCGCAGCCTTGAAGCTCGCTGACAAGTTGCGAAGCCGGCCCATGTTGACGATTTTGTCGATGGCACCTGCGTCGGTCCAAGCCACGTATCGGCGCAATCAGAGAGGGAAGGCTCAATGGACACCGTGCAACCTGCTGCTCGACCTCTCCAGCAAACGCAGCTGGTTGACAACGAGGTAACCTCAGCTTGCCATGGCAAGGCGCGTCTAAATGAACGAGTGTCAAAACTGCAAAAATGCTCAGGCTGGCATCGTGGCGCAGTGCAGATGGCAGCGGGTCGATGAAATGCACGAATTAATTGGCAGTGGATCAACGAAAGTGGTGACGGAGCCAAGCAGAGAATGATGGAGAGAGAGCGCGGACGTCCATCTGCAGAAGATTAAAAACGAGCGAACGAAGCAAGTGGACTTCTACTCCGGACAGTCCTGCATTCACTACTGTGTACGCTGGGTTTTGAGATCGGGGACACTGGAGAAGTTGGTGGGTGGTATTCGTCTCGCACTGGCGGCCGTTGATGCACAAGGTGGCTCGGTGGGTTGCCGAAAGTCTAAGGTTCACCACAGAGTCACTGTGTTGACGCCTCTCGCTACGCCGCCCCGGGTACGTCCCTGTCAAACCACTCGCATACACGCAGGCTAAGAGGCATGCAGGTAACGGCCATCTAGATTAGGTCCTGCTCCTTCGGCGCTTTCCTCTCGATGTTTATGGAGAGCTATTTCGCAAAATGCGACGGAATGGGTGACGCTACGAGTACGTCGTCACCTACCACAGCGAGCATGTGGTGCTGTGAGTTTGTTGTCTTGGAGATTTGAATGACGTCTGTAATCGAGCTACTAGAACCGCCTCCAATTTAGCCCCAGCGCTTCCGGTCCACTGATCAGCCGAGCCCAAGCAAGCAGGTGAAATCATAGGCTCCGTGGCTCCATGCTGTTTCCTTTCGATGCAGTTAAAACGATGCACCAAGACCATGGGTCCTCGGGACGCGTATCACAGTCCGAGCAGCTTTCCAGTGCAGATTAATCCGGAACATCGGCGGTCAACCTCTTATGCACACCAGGTATGGCTTGCGCAGCCTCTGGATTGCATTCGGGCGAACTAACTAGCGTGGCTCGGCTCACACCGGCGAGACATGCATACATTTGTGCCGCCTGCATACTCCGTACTGGGATGCATACTCCGTACGGAGTACACGGCCGCCCGTTTCACCAAGTGATTCTCGAGCAACGGGCTAAATGCACGCCGTGCCCAGCTCTATGCGCGTGCGTTCATCGGAAGACATGGTACGCTTAGCCCGAAGCTGGCCCCTTTGATCTGTGCAAAGCAGCTAGAAGTACATCATGATTGGCCCAGGTGACAGAAACCCCCCCGGACCCTTTGAGCCACACTCTGCCTTTCAATTGTCCACCGAGCTCTGTTCATCTACGACAGCGTAGCAAGCGTCATGTGCGACCGTACGCCAGCGCCCGCTCGTCCCAGCAATGATGATACAGACATAACTTGATGTTCCCGTAGACCTCCCTTCAAAACCCCATGATGGCACCATGACACTCACGCTAGCAGTTCGTTGAAGTTCTTCAGCGTGATTGCAAGTCGCGACTCCTCGGCAAAGCTCTCGTCGTGATCTTTCTGTGTCTCTTCAGCAACATGCGGCTTGGCATCCTGTTTATCTGGCTCCTCGTCGGTCCGCTCGGTCGCACTGTTCATTGTGGCTTCTAGGTTCGGATCGATCAAGGACGTGTCTGTCTGAGTCCGTGAAGCAGAGTTACCGAGGAAATAGCCGATGTTCCCGGGGGCATCGCCGTTCGCAGCACCAGGAGGACCGCCTTGCATAAATCCATACTCGGGATGCGACTCGCCCTGAGGGTTGGCTGCAGTGTAGTATGCGGTGCCTTGTGGGGGATAGGACGTTGTGTGGTCAGCCGCAGCCGTGGATAAGGCTTCTAAAGTATGCGCAGCGACTTGCTGGTAGGTATCTGAGGCGGTCTGGGTATGACTGGGTGGTGAGGCGGCATTGGTGTCTTCGGCATTCGGATCGGACACATAGACCCAAGTCACTAGGAGGAACCAGATCAGTGTCATAGCAGCACAACTTCACCGCGGGCACACTCACGGTCTTCTGGCACTGGTAGGAACGCCTTTTTATCCTCCTCGCTGTATGTCTGGCTGTACTTGAAGAAACTGTCGAGGTTGTGGTCTTGCCCATCTTTGCCAAAACTCGAATTCTGATGGTGACGGAATGTGATGGCTGTTCAGCTTTCGTCAGTCTCATCTCGTCCCTACCACGTCCTTTGCGATGGCGCGACTCACGTTCAGACCGCACACATTCACGGTGCGACTTTTGGCATTGTCCGCAAATCGGTCGTTGCTGAGCAGGGTCAGTTTTTCGTCAACATCTGGACACCGCATCAGCTCACCTCGTCGCACTTGAGCTTTCTTTGACGACATGTTTGGCAACCGGTACGACTTCTCACTGTCGCCGCCGACTTTGGCTTAACAGTTTTGGAGGATGGAGCCATACTGAGACCGTTTGCCCTCAGCTGTAAAAGCAGGTCAGCCGAAGCCGGGTTTGGAGGCTCTAAGGGCTCGCTGCATCTTCAAATCCGCGCTAGTACGAACACGTGAGCGCTGAACTGGACGGAACATCCCGCACGGAATACGTCACTGCCTTGGTCGCAGTGGCAAAACCCCGGGTAAAGTGTGGCAGCCGTAGCAGCTCAGGCAGCTGCGACAACGAAGTCAATAACCAATATCTACATACACGGTGAGAGTAGAATCAGTGAATGAATGTATGCATTGAATCTGACCGAAAGACTTGTCCTCATCCAGACCAGCTGGAAGAGGACACATACAACCATGGGCCGTTGTGACCTTTTTGCTCAAACATACAAAGGAAAAGAGAGGTGAGCAGGTTGCTCGATGCAACAGCAAGGCACAACATACGGAGTAACGGGTGGATGAGGACACACCCTGACAAGGACGCTTGTACAGTTCGGAGGAGTACATTTTTATTGCTAAGTGCAGGTTGCGAGAAGATCAAGTGTTGGAATGTGGTTCAGATTGAAAGTATCTTGGGGTCCGCACCGCTTTGGCACGGCCGCTGAGTCGTTAGCCAAGTGCACTTGGCGACAGTCATAGTCCCAAGTTGAGGATACAAAGCCAGAGGTTTACTTCTTTGCCTTCTTCTTTGGTGGCCGATCATCCTCTTCCTCACTGGCACCGTTCGCAGCGTCATCATCAGCGTCAGCCATGCCTGCATCACTTGCATCACTACCCTCGCTCTCATGAGCAGAATCATACTCTTCAGCAACATCACTCTCTGATTCCTCCTGGAAGTCTTCATCCGGAGACTCGTCGTCCTCATCTGCAGAACCACGATTGGCGCCGGCGTCCTCTTCGTCGTCTGAAGACGCAAGGTCTTGATCTTCTAGAGCTGCCTTCAATAGCGTAGACGAGTCTTCCATCATCTCATTCTTGAATCGAATACCTTTTGCCTGTTGGTAGAGTCAGTTAGGTTGCCCTTGGAATAGAACGAATTCGTTCTTACCTGGAAGAATGCTTCTAATGGCTGTTGCTCCTCGCGGTTGATGTTGCTGAACTGATGCTCCCCTTGACCTCCCTTCAAGGTCATCGTGATATCGAATGTCCTGCTGGCTGCCAGAGCTCCTCCCACTCGTGACATTGTGATGCTCTGTATTGACTCGATCTGCACGTACGTAGCCGGCTTCGGCACGAACATGAAGCTTTTGTCCAAGCAGTACAGTAGGCCTTCGTTGGCCTTGATGGAGCACTTAACCCCGTTCATGTTGTGGTGACTGACAAAATCCTTCGAGGGCATGATGATCTTCTTGCCAGAGAGACCCTTGAAGACCTTTGCAATCACATGATGGATGGGGGCTTCGTAGTGTGCGTCCAGCTTGTCCTTGTACTTTGTTGCCAACATCTCTTCCGACATGTTGAGATCCAGATTCACTTCGTCATCCAGTTTGAGCTGCATGACAATAAAGGGGTATCTTGTCTGGCCCTGGCGTAGTGGAGGGTCCAGACCGAGGGTGATGAGGGTGTGCATCTCATCGTTCTTGGGCAGGATGAAGAATTTCTTGATGTCTTGATACTGAATCTTGTAGTCGTACGTCTTACCCCGTAGGCGGAAGGAGTTCTCGTACATATCAATGTCGAAACGTCCTCTGGAAACAAGGTCAGTACAGGGCCCTCCGTGGACAGAATGGATCAGCATAGACGTACCTGGGTGTGAGATGTAAAATGTCTTGGAAAGTTGCGAACGTGGCGCCTGCGACATCTCCGATATTTGCCTTGTCCATCAGCATCTCATAAAATGCGTAGGCGGCATTCCGTTCCTCTTCCTCCTCATCGTTCTCCGCCCCACTGCCTTGGTCACCATTGACCTCCTTGTTAGACACGGTACCTGGAATGTAGAATCGCATCTCGACGAGCTCATCCCGGCCTGCAGCCGCCTTGCGACCGCGGTTCTTCGTGCTGTCAGCCTTGTGGCCATTGGTCCCATTCTGCTCAGAGCCCAGATTGAACTCGACCGCAATCTCGTTCTTGCCCGCCAGGTTCGTATTTGAAATCTCCGAGTAGGGGATTTCGAACGCGGGTCTGTTTTGGACGTTGAAAGCTAACTCCGCTCTCCCAAACTCTGCCTTGCCCCAATTCCATCCTCGCAGCGCATGTTCCTTGTTCTCGACGTTGATGCCATACCAGATCTTGAACGCTTTTGCGACGCGGTCAAAATCATCTTGTTCGAAGCCATCAAGTTGAATCACGGCGGCGTCCCGGGTAATAATCTTCAGTTCATAGCCTTTCGCTGCTCTACTCCACTGCGCGGCGCCGATCTGATTGCTGTCTAATGTGAAGGGTTCGCTGTCTTTTTGTCCGCTGGGCTTCCAACCGAGGCCGCTCTCTGCTAGCCGACACCGACCGGACTGTTTCGAAAGGTCGAGGTAGATATTCTCAAAGGTCTCCCTGTAAGTTTGTTAGTGCCTTTTCTGCACTGAAGATGGTCCTACTTACATTGCGAACACGCTGCGCCACCTGCAGCAGCAACGAGTAATGGAAGAGATAAAATCAGGCAAAGGTCAAATCGTGAGCGACGATAACTTCGGCGAGGCAGGTAGTAGTAAGATGGATCGTGAACTATGGGTGAATTGCTCGGTGACAAGGCGAAAGAAAGTAAATATTTCATTCTATGTACTCCGTACTCGGTCGAGGCAAGGCACGGTCGCCCAATAATTTGAGGGGCGCGCCGCACAACTAGCGCGTGTCGCTGACCTGCACTTCACTTCTGGCTCAAACTCGAATCCATCCACTGGTGCCATCATAATCTCTCCGCCTGGATTCTTCTGCCATGCAGCAATCGATGGTAACGGTTTCAGCAAGGCTTCGCGTCACCTGTGAAGCATGTGGCGTGAGGCAGCCTTTCACCAGTACCTGTGATACATGAAATATCCGGACTTTGTAGGAAATGTGAGCAAGCTATTGAACCATGCACAGTACTAGCTAGGGGACTTGTGCCTATTGATACAGCTTCTGGCACCAAGAGCGCCGTGCAGTGCCATAGGACGGGTGACCCTCCTCGCCGTATTGACCAGCCCGGGTCTGCCGACTGCTCCTCATACCTCATATCACTATCCCATCTCCGAAGCACCCATACGTCGATGCTTCGGCTCCCTAAGCCATTCAAGATATCGGCAAGCTTTGCCTTGGCTACACTCTTCGTTGCAGTCTGGCCCGCTTTCTGGTCGGTGGAGAGGAAGGAAGCGTTGGTGTCGACATTGCACCTTGGGTCATTGCACCTTGTTCTTTGGAGAGGGTCGGCGACTGCTTGCCTGCGCTTATCGATCTTCGGGGCAGCAGGCTTTGCGCCTGCCGACGTACAAAGGTAGGGCAGCGATTCAGAGGCGAGTTTATGTGACAATCCGGACTTTGATCGGCGTCATGATGTTCGTGTGACAGGTGAGAATCTGGGCTGCTTTGCTGTGCCTGATGCACATTTTCATTCTCGGCGGGATCCTCTAATCGGCCCGCGTCGGCGTCCGAATCAGGCGTCTCGGGTCTATGAGGTTCAATCTGCATCGACGACTGCACATCAGTATCTGGTGCGCTGTCCTGGGCCGAGCTATGATGGACCACACCATCAGCAGTACTATGAATGCTTGCACTGCGGTACCGTTGCCGCTTATATTGATCCATGGCGTCAGGATGTTCAGCAGAGAGATAGGCCTCTGGGATGCGGCGGATCAAGATTCGATCGACGACAATCCCGCGGTGCGCTTCGTCCGCTTCGGAAGTCCCCAGTATCTCATCTAAAGTCCTACTGTTTAGCACGGCCGCGTGGTATATCTGCAATCCACTAGCCGGAGCCGCTACCGGGGTTTCTGTTGAGCCCGAGCTTAGATCTTCCACACTCCGCTCGTCCTTGACGTCCTCAATGAGAGCGTTGTCGGGTATGAGATGAGGTAGCGGGATAGTGGTAGAGTGTTGGTCATCTTCCTTCTCGCTCGTCGACGTGCCCAACGGGTACAGATTCTTGAGGATCTGCCCTGGGCCCGGGACCCCGCCGCCGAGTTCGTTCCATGTTTTCGCTGTGGCATTTCTCGGACCGCTCCCCTTGTTGTGATGTTTATTAAACTTCGCCAACGTCAACCCGGCACGTCCAAGATTCTAGCTCGCAAGTTGCCAAGAGTCTTGAGGCTGTTTGAGTTTGTGGGCAATGTAAAGCAGAGGGAGTGTGTACAGTCTGCTTGCGAGGAGGACGACGACAACGATGTGCTGGAAAAGTTGGCGTAGGGTTTCATGGAGCTCCTGGCAAAAGTCCATTTCTTCCCACCTTACGCGCGGGCTTCTTGGTCGTATGACCTCTTCTGGCACGCGAATGTGCCTACCCATCTGAGGTGGAGGCAGGGACATTCTCGATAGTCAATTTCCGTCGAAGAATGGTTTCGGCTAAGTGCGGTGTTGCTTGAAGAGTCTCCTGGGAAATTGGAAGACTGATGCAGGCTAAGCATAAATGGAATACCGAATGTATAGAGAGACTGTGGCTGTGACGAAGTGAAACTGATGATGAAGGATAGAGTCAAATTCCAAAGCCATGCAAAGTGCTTCTTCCTACCACCAAGCACCCAAATGGAAGGTGCTCTGCAGAGCTAGCTGACGCCTTCGTCATTTATCACCTCGGACTATTGTGTAAGCCACTAGCGCATTGAAAGGAAGCAGGACCGCTCGGCCTATACATCTTGGGCTGCTTCAAACATCTCGATCCCTGAGCACTCAGACGACGGCCTGAGTGACCGAGAGTGACCGAGGTCGGAAGTGCTATAGCCGGTATACAATCTGGAGATATTCAGGGTGAAACCGACAAGGTCAAACGATGAGCAGTCGGGGCTACCATCAAAGTCATGGACAGCGTCTTCATTCTTACTATTGCTGCTCGAGCAGTGACGCTGTCAGCTCAGTATCCGTGACGAAGGGAGAAGCTGTTCACGCAGACTGTTGCGTGATGGGGGCCGAATGATATTCACCACGACTGGTTCCTACATCCTTCCATTGTTATCATTTTCTACCAATTTTGAGACTGGTGGCAAACACCAGTTGAATGGGCGGCAGGAATTATTGGCCAGCGCGTACAGTACTTGAAGCTTCCGACTGGACTGGGGCCACGAATAAGCCGAAGACGAAAACTCTACGAAGGCTATTCAAACTTCGAGTAAAAAGGATATTTTTTGATACCGTACAGGTACATTGACGCTCTACTGTATGTCAAATCCTCAAAGAAGGAAACGCAAGCTCTTGCCGCTGCCAATAACTCGATCTTCTGATCGACCGCTGTTCGTCCCCGCAGCCTCGAATAATCTTTGGCCAAGGCTGAAACTCGACTTTTCCAAGCGAGCCCGCCCAAAGCTGCGCGCACAACGCCTAGCCGAGAGCCTGAAGTGGCTTCGGACACGGACCTTCTTTTCCTGGAACCGGGCGCTTTCACACGGGAAGCTCTTCTGATGGTTCGTGCTTGCCCCTCCAAGTTCGACGGCGGCAGAGGTGAGCCGCCAAACAGGTCGGTGGCGGCTTCCGGAAAAGAGGTGGGTGTGATGAACACGAAGGTGGTGCAGTTCCTGGCACCGGCTGCCGTGTGATCAGAGCCGCTTACACAGTAGACACGCCCTTTCGGCCCCTTTCTGGCAACAACTCTACCCAGGACTGCCCTGTACCGCGTCCGCCGTACCTTGCCCTCCTCAGTACGCAATTATGCGACTAGGGCAGGGCACTTTGGATTTCCGGAAGCTTCGAAATGATAGGCGAGACCAAAACAGCACGCTGTCGGCTCCTTGACACGACACCGATGCTTACTCATCCCCCCCTTCTTTCTGCAGGTCGGAGCAACGATAACTGTACTGACACATGGGAACCCTTTTGGTGAGCTAACAGTCTATTGTTTAGGTCTAAGCGACCGTGGCTTCATGGTGTGTCTTCTCACGGTAAAAAGGTCTGGGGACTCGTAGGCCAGGCTCCTATTTGGAGACAGCCCGAAGGCCACTCCTTAGCGACCAACCTGGCGCGGGCTCCACGCGTCAAAGTGCAGGAGACCACACCCTCTTCACCAGGGCCAGGCCGCTCCAAGGTTCTCGTTCAGGCCTTTTGATCCCAGCTCTTCTCGCCAATGAACCCAGATAATAGCCTGTGCCCGGCGTTGTTCATCCGATGGCAGGAGTCAGTTTCGTGTTGCAGCACCCCGGTTATACAGAGGCCCCTGATGTGAATGCCGTTGGCTTATTGCTGTCTTTGAGGAAATATTTTCCTGTAGCTTCGATGCTGTGCGACAAACTGGTGGCTTGTTTGGTCACGACTCCATGCCTTCTGTTCATGAATTCGAGAATACTTCGGCCTGGGCTTGGTGCTCGGGATGAGTCTCTGCTGGTGGCTTAGCGGATCCCATGGACTGGCTATCACTTCCGAGGGGCCAGTGGCCCCGTGGCTTTACCTGTGGCTGGCAGGAAGCTCGGAGCCCTCCGGAGTACTGCCAACGTGGGTCACGTCTACAGGACACACAGCTGATGGGTTTAGCCAGTGGCAACTTCAAAAACGCAGCGGGGATCTATGAGCTTTCTAAGAGAACCTATTCCGTCCTGGGCAGAGAGCTGGTGCGAGCAACAGCAGCCAACCGTCTGATCAAAGCGGCCCTTTGGCATTTACCTCCCTTTCGTCATCAGACGCAAGCGGCTTGACACGAGATGTCTCGAACCTATATGCACCTCTGAAAAGGGATTCCCAAGTTGTGTCGGCCCGCTTCCTCAATCCCAACGGTTTTGTCTTGATCGTATGCATCTTCATATCCGACTGTTCGATAGAGCGAGCCTCGTCGAAGTTCGGAATCTTCAGTTTCGACAGCATCAGCAATGGCTCAGCCACGGTTGCAACTCCGCCTCTTTCAAGCTTCACATACCGGGAAACTCGGCGGTCGCTGTGCTTAAGAGCCAGGTCCCGTCTTGCCGTGGCCGCGGATTGGGGGAAAGCGTGCAAGCTTTCCTGCCATTGTTGGCCCCGTTGGCTTACCGAGGCGCTACTCTCACTACTGGGAGCGTTTGGTCATTGCTTCCCGTCCCCCAGCAATGCATTGTGCTTGTGGTGTTACACAGTCAAACTAAAAGGATCACGCTTGTTTTATCGACCAAATAAGTCTTCCAAGCTCTTGTTCTATGCTTGATCGGGCATGGCTCTTGTGGCAGGCTTGCTCAGAGCTCCAATAGGCAGACTCATGGCCTCGAGAGTCTTACGCAGGACTGGCCTCTGGCGACCATCGATTGCACGACAAATGGATCCCCTGCCTTTTCGCCAATCAGCACCTTTGAGCCTCATCGCCGTGCTTCCGTGGGCTCGCGATCAAGATAGTATCAGAATTCGTCCCTGCAGGGGTGGTGGAACTTGCGTTTCATCATCCAAGAACACCGCCGGTCAGTTGGGCACTACGCACAGCAAACCCTATTAGGGGAGTAATACGCTTCCTGCTGCGTTGTCACCTGTGAATGCAGGCAACACTTCTCACCGCTGGTTCATCTTGATCGTCAAGCAGGCGGTGGATAGGTCTTCATATATGATGCTGTGCTACCCCGATTTTGTCTGAGTCTTGTTTCCTTCGACACGTACCTTCTTTGACAAAGACATCGCTTCTTGAATCACATTTCCGCATCCAACCCGCAATATCACATCTTCTTCGAAACCCTCCTCTTTTCAAGTCTTGTCATACTGTCCAAGTTTACGTCAATCTTGGTTCCAGCATGCCTCAACGTCGACACAGGAGAGGAAAAAAGGTGCAGTCGAGGAGAAGAAGGGCTGCAGAACGGCAACGTCTTGCGTCTGCGTCCCTTATCCGCTTCTTGCACCCTCCCGACACTTCCAAGATGCTGCGACTCGGGAGATCAACCAGCAGCCTGAGGCGAGAGCGACTGCGCGCAACGCTCGACACTGTCCTGTCAGCTTTGGAAATTCCAGGGCCAGAGGAGTATGTGCAGGGGCAGGAGCAGGAGCAGCAGCAGCAGCAGCAGCAGCAGAAACAGCAGCATGACATCGGTAGGTCTACAGCTATCGGGGTGTATTTCTGTATAGCATCCTCAGCTAATGAGTCTTAGCTTTCGTCGGAGCTCAATTCATCTGATATCTCGAGTCGATGAAGGCCATACTCGGTCCTGAGGTCATCACCAGGGTTGGGACTGCTCCCTCCCTCAGTGCTCATCAATGTGTGCAAGGACGACGCCGATAGGATGCCTCGTCGTGGACGGTGCTGCGGCCTGCCCGGTAATGACGACCTGAGCAAGGCACTTTGTCACACTGCTGTGAACACCATCCTCTGCCCAGTATCTTGACTGTGTTATCAGGTGCATTTGGACGCGGCGTATGGAGTATTTGCAGAAAGGGTATGTAGATCCAGGATGGGGGAGAAGACTGGCGCCGTCGATTTTGGATCTGGAGGCGTTGTCCCGGCATTCCGGTCCGGCAAGGAAGAGGAACCGCTAGGAAACCCTAAGTAGACAAGTTTCCACGAGGGAAGCAAGCGCGTGGGCGGGAGATAGACTGCACAAGGAACAGTACAATGTCGGTACCGATGTTGCCTCTACTGCGGTAACGACTGAAGATCGACTCCCAAGCGGTAGCGGTGTGAGAACCCGCAGCCGTTCGGCAGGGAAGGAGTCTATATTGCGACTGAAATCCAAGAAGCAGCAGATGCAAGAGCTGGGGGAGCTCCTTGACCCTGCCTTTGCCTTTGCATCTGGCTTGGGCGTTTGGCGCTGGCCCTGGTCATGACCCCGGCGGCCGTACCTATAGCGCTTCCAGCCCCCCAGTATTTTGGAGAAATGACGGAGAAAACTGCTGCTCTCTTAGATGCAACATCCATGCTCCTTGCTACATGCTCGTGCTCATGATCATGCGCTCGCTTCATGCACGACCAAGGAGCAGGGAGAAGCGACACCAGAGGATTCGTACACAACCCGGCAGAGGATGCTGCAAAGAAGCAGGGGCAGCTGGTGCGCACCGCTCCTTTCGTCTCCTCGTCGAGCTCCTCTTGAGCGCGCGCGCAGGCGAGCGTGTGGGCGAGCGGGCGGCGTGCTTCGCTGAAATGCTCCCTGTATGTGCATTGCAGTAACTACATCACCTAGAATGTCAGTTACTGCACATCTGCCTCCGACATTCCGACCGCCTAGTCCATGACTGATTGGCAGCCGTGCTCTTTCTCTCTATCTCTACTCCGTATCTGAGTGTCATATCCCCCTGTGCAGTGGGGTGATTACAGCACACCATGAACCTGGCCTTGTATCGCAGTAACCACCCCTCCGCGCCCCTCAACACACCTCGAATGGAGCAGAGAAGATTGTGCTGTACCTTGCCGGGTACTTCTAGAGGCGTCACGAAGTTCGCTTCTCCATTTTCTGTACATGCCCAAAGCCGGCCGAGTACTCCTGCCTAAAAGGGCTGGGCTCGTGTGCTCCTGAGGCTTCCTGCTGGAAAGGGTTTAAGCTGGTAGTATGATTTCGCCATGTCGAGCATGTGAATTGCGCCATCGGGACTTGGCGCGAGGATCGGACAGGGGAGGTGACCTCTTGTGATTAGGTAGGTCTCTCGTGTGCGACCACATCACATATGCAGCGTGCTAGGGTGGCTAGGAGTCGTCCGAAGTGCGTGATTGAGTGATTGATGAGTGGTTGATCGATCGGGCAGACGGGACGGGCTAAGCTCTGCTTCTGCTCTGCTTTGCGTTGCATTGCGTCGTGAGGGTTTGATCACCTGCATTATGACGGTACAAGGTTGTGTTACAGTGGTTGATACTCCGGACTGTACCTACTCAATGCTGTACAGCGATGAATTGGAGGCAAGAGAAGAGAAGTGAAGTAGAATGAAGTGGATTGCGTCGCTCAAACGTACTCGAGTACTCGAGACTCGAGTCGTGGTTGTGTTTTGGCAGGACATTAATTACATACTGTACATGCATGCCCTTGAAGCTCTGGGGGCGCTTCGCGAGCGCGGAAGGAGGAGATCATTTTCCAACGTGCCAACGGCGTGGAATGTCAAATGGTACTGCCACCTCTATGTCAGACTACGCTTCGAAGACTGCCTGGTAATTAGCCCACCAAACTCCATCGATCTAGGGGAACGTTAATCGCCTTGCCAACCACGGCACCAGACCCCTTTCTCTTAACCCCACGTGCGCGATGCCCTTCCCTCGGCCGTGCCTGGCCTAACGGACCTGCTAGGGTCCAAGATTGCGCGATGCCCCCGGCCGTGCCCTGTAGCAACCAGCGACTGAGCTCCCCGGTGCGGGACAGCGTGCGCCACGTGAGGAACCTCACCGAGTACTCCGTACTGTGTACATGGGTACTGTACCTTCCTCGAGATTTCTGTGACGGCACTCCCTCTCGACGGATTAGTGCGGACTTGACTTTCGACCGGAGATTCCAGGTTGCCAGCAGCTCGAAGCACTCGTACATCACTCGTACGTTGACTGCATGCATTAACCCTTCTAATCTCCCTTCCTTTTATGGCGGTGGCAGTTCGACGGCCGAACCTAGACCACGAGTATACTAATGAAACAACCACTACCCTCGATTCCATTCGAAGTCAGTGGACTGGGGCAATAAGCAAGCATCCTAGGACTCACGCCAAGCGACTTTGATTGGCACTCACATGTCGTGGAAGGCGCTGTAGGCCGCACGCAGTAGAGAAGCTTCCGCACCGGGCAGCGAGCCTGATGGCCCTTCCATCATTCATGCTTCTTGATTCAACTTCGGTCCAACCTCTGTGGCTAGCAGCTTCAAGAACACCTACTCTAATGACAAATTCTCACCTGCTGCCAACCACAGAGGTTGGATATGTGCCACAGCATACAAATCTGTGCGGCTGTGTGAGGTGAGTACATGAAGGACGGCTTGTCACTTACTGTGTAGGTGTCGGTAATGACGAGGGTTTGGAACAATGGGGTGCGCAGTATTCGCCTCCTGCCACCGAGACCGTGCTCGCCTTCGTCAAGAGTCCGGGAGGATGCCTAGAGCCCGCTCGCTGCAAACATCGACTCCCAGAAGTACAGTACAACGCAACCTTGTGCAAGACCAAAAGAGGACAGCTCCCGTTCCAACTTGCAAATTGCATTTGCGAGGTCCACTCGCCTCGCTCGGAGCGACTTCCCCGCAACTCTTGTGGTTCCACGGCAGGAGACCAAATGTTAGCTGCAGAATCCATGCGGCGCAGATATGTACATACTGCGAAGATTTAGAGCGCTCCCTCTCCCGTGGTTGTGGGACCTTGTTTCCATGGCGCCCTGCAAGACTGAGTTCTCGTAGTGCAAGGTTTGCAGACTCCCGGCGGTGATCCCAGACCGTATCCCGATAGGAACTGCTGAGAGACAGCCAGAGGGTGGTATGCATTGAGCGGGCTGTGTCCGGCCGCGGCAGGCGTCTAAGCAAGCATACGAAGCCGGGAAGGATCGTGTATGTGTACGTCTCTGCCAATCTACTCTCGCCGGTCGATGCGCCCCGTTCCTCATTCGTCGACAATCCAGCACGCGCCGTTAGTAAGATAGGCCATGATGCCGACGACACCCAAACAAAGTTCGACCTCGGAAGCCCCTGCTGGCTTCCGCGATCCCAATCCTACTCCAGCCCCACACGCAAGGCTCATTCTTCAGGGAGATGCCGTCCCGGTCCTCTCTGGTTCCCCGGCCTCCTAGAGTCCCGGCACGCTGGTACCCCACGCTACCGGGAGGTTGAGCTCGCTTCCGCGACGGGCCTAAGGGAGGTGAAGCCGTTATTCATCATGCGTGTCGACAAGCTCTCGCGCTAACATGAATCATGCTAAGTTCAAGTATCGAGTAAAATGATGCGTGCGCGACAGCATCTCTCGCCATTGCCCCTGCCCATGTCGAAAAGTGTCTGTTCGATTCTAGCCGTTCGCAAGTTTCCCTACGTCGTACAGCACTGCCCAGGGCGACCAAGCCTTTCGACCTTCCTGTCTGCCGGTACGGTCCGCCGAGCCCTGGGCTTGAACGTAGAAGAGCAACCCTCAATTTCCCGGCCTGTCGTCGCTCTTACGCCTTGGCCGATCTCTCACTGCTTTGGTCAAGGAAGAAGGCTACAAACGGCGTCAGAAGCACTAGCAACCCGTGTGGTATGACAGACTTTTCGCGATAACGTTCCCCGTCTCCTGGATCCCTGTTTGTCTAGGGGCTACGCCGATCTTTGCTGCTGATGAGGCTGTCTATGTACATCTCCGTTTCAGTACCACCCGGCTGGAACGTTATCCATGCGTGAGGCGGATCTTAGCTGGAGGCGGGTCCCATCTGCTCGACTGGACTGAGCAAACCGGCAACAGCGAAATCCGCCACTCCACCGGCTGCCACCACTGTAGTGGAATGGTTCCTGCAGTCCACCCGTGCCGTGACAAGCATGTTTCCGTCATCTGCACCCAGCCTATTCAAGAGGAAGGACGAAGCGATAGGCGGGCTCATGTTGGAGACTTGGGCTACGTGACCTTTTCCCCGTTGACCGAGATGCTGAAGCACTCGAATAACGAGAAAGGCAACTGGCCCAGTGGCGATATAAGAACCTCCATCCTCACCCTCATCTTCGGACCGTCCATGATCTTCTACCACAGTCCGCTCACCCACCGTAAGATAACTGTACTTCCACAGCAACTCATCTGCCACCTCTGTCGACGCTACAGTGAGCCACTTGGCTCACATTTGTCTCGATGGCTGCAGCCAACTGGTCGCCCAGAAGCGACGAACCCACCGTCGCAGCAAGCACCGAACCAGCCAACACACTGGGCTGGAACATCCAGACACAGCCACAACTGGGCCACGCCGAGACCAAACCCGACGCCCACTTAAAGACGCCCGACTGCCATAGTGACCGGAGCAACGCGGCAGCCTCGGACGCCATGAGCGAGCATGATTTTGGTATGTGCAAAAGCCACTTCGATTGCCAACACTCTGACCGAAGCCCACAGCGCATATGGGCTCTCAGTTCGATTCTCCGCAGAACAAGCCAGCACGACGGCCGAAGAGCAGAAGATCTCTTGCCGCGAGACGGTAGAACAATGTCCATGTGTCTAAGCTGTCGAAAGCCCAAGCACCAGCTGCACCTCCTGCACCTGCAGCACACGATCTTCCACCGGGCAGGATACGAATGCATCTTGTTCCTTGCAATCACAGTTTCACGTACCACACTACCTTTCCATGCGTTTGTTTGCTACCGTATCCACTCCCTCAACGGCGGTCCAACAGTTATACTTTCCTATTGCGGTCTCACGAACTGTCACCCCCTTGGCCAATTGGACAGCGTTCACCGTCTTCGTGGCACAGCACCTGTCATATTCCCCTACTGTCAAGTGTCGAGTAACGGGGCGCCAAGACAACGGGTCACACAGGACTCGAGCTCGAGATGGACGAGGGTGGTGTAACGGTGACGGGAGAGGAGATCCTGAGCCTGCACTGCGCTGCACCGGAACGGAATATGGCATGACCGTGGCGTGCCGTGGCGTCAACCACCATGCCCGTGCACTCCAGAAGAGGGGAAGCGCAGGAACGTGGGAAACGGACGTCCATGCTTTTGTGTTTTGCGTAGATCGTGCTTGTGTGACAATTCAAACGTCTCGTATCGTATTGTCCCGCTCGTCGTCACGCCATTGTCTCGTTATGCAGCCCGTCGGTCCTCCCGGCATTTTTCATCCATGTGTACCCGTACGGGTTGGTAGATTACGGGCTCTCAAAGTCCAGGTTCTCAAATATCCAGACGCCCTACCCGCACACGCAGGACACATGCCGACCAGAAGATTTAGTAGTAACCTGTACCCATAACGTGGGTAATGATTCAAGCGGCAAGACTCAAGACGCAAGTGTCGAGAATCGCGTGACCCGCGTGACTCGTCTGCGAGGGAGAAGCAGCCGGAATTTTCGGGTGTGAATTCGCTTGTAGCCCACCCAGATCTCGGCCAGTCAGTCAGAAATCCAGCCAAGGACCATATGGATCTCCATCAGTGTCGCTGGGTGCCAGCAGTGCAAGGCCCTAGTATCGATTGAACAGGACATCTTGTCCTGTCCTGCCCTATACCGCGACGCCATCGAATCCAGATCCATAAGATCACGCCCGCACAGCCACCACGAACAAGCGCGGATACCGCAGACAGACCTTCCCATCCGCAAGCGGCGGGTACGCCCTCTCCACGCGCGAAAGGTATTCCTTCAGGAACGCGTTCCTCTCCAACGGCGACAGCTTGTCCACGTATGGCCGGAGCCCTGTGCCCTTGACCCACTCGACGATCGCCGCTGCGTCGTCCAGCACGTGGTAGTAGTGCGTGTGCCACACGTTCAGCGCGCCGTCCCGGCACAGCGGACTCAACCGATCGTACAGCTCCCTCGGCGACTGGAAGGACCGCCGGAACGTGGTCACCGGTCTGAGCGTCTCGGCCCAGGGGCCCTCATCGGCCGTCTCCCTCATAGCGACATGTGTGGGCTCGTCAAAGTTGTCGGGGACTTGGAATGCGAATACGTCGCCTGGATGCAGCGCCGCGAGCAGGTCCTCGAGGATTTGCATGCGGGAGTCGTGCGGGAGCCACTGGAATACGGCGTTTGAGAAGACCACTTGCTGTTGCTGCTGCTGCTGCTGCTGCTCCTGCGATTGCGGCCCGGCTTGGAGTGATTGTGACTGCGGTCGTGGTGCGGGCTGCGCAAAGTCGCGGAGGTCGCCCAGCTTGAATTCCACGCCGGGCAATCGGGCGCTGGCTTTGGCGATCATGTCGGGCGAGGAGTCGACGCCCGTGATGTGTGCGTTTGGGAAATGCGTGGCCAGTACGGCGGTCGAGTTGCCTGGCCCGCAGCCTAAATCCAGGACTTTGGCCGGAGATGTCAGGGGGATCTGCGCAACGAGGTCGCGAGCTGGACGGGTCCGTTCAGCCTCGAACTTGAGGTATTGGGTTGCGTTCCAGTCTTTGGCGTGGGAGTCCATGGCTGGGCTGGTGATGGTGAATCGTCGATGTGTGTGAGGCGGAAGCCAGGTGGAGCTGGAAACAGACCTGGTTCTGTCGCTCCAGGGTGCTGATGGTGTTGGATCGGTTCGCCTCAGATATCGGCACGTTGGTGCGCCAGAAGCTTTACCTATCAAGCTGGGGCTCAAGGTCCTGCTTATGCTCATGCTGGTGCGGATAATTACGACGGGCGCATCAGTCCAAGGCAGGTATTGTTCTGCTTGGTTCGACTCGCTGCTTTGCTGTTCACGAACTAATCGTCGACGTGTTTGACCGGGTCGTAAGCTGAGGTCGCTCTGTCTCCCGATGTCGGCATGGCATGTCCCTGCCCCGTCCCGGCGCTTGAGCGCTTAATGTCGCAGTACTAAGTACGGAGTATATCCAGGGGTAAATACGCTCTCGGCCTTCTTTCCTTCTCCGTACTTACAAATCCTTCACACACCTGCAAAGCCACGCCTTACTTCCACGCAGATTAGTCACCCACCACTTGAGCCCGGATCGTATCTTCTCAGCCACTGCCGTCGTTGCCGTCGCTACCGATAGGGAGGGGGTTTAGGGGGGATGCCCGACATGGCTGGGGGTATGACTCTGAGCCCTGTGTCACCAGTCAGCCGATCGGGTATCTGGCCAGCCTGATGTATCCTCGGCTACTTGGCCTTCCATGCTGATGGCGGCTATATTCACCGCACTGTCTTGTGCAGCTGTAGCCGGCGGAATCTTGTCGACTTTCCATGTTGGCGTCGCTGGAGGTTTCGTGTCACAGCCGAAATAGCCATGTCGGTTCCAAGGGCGTTATCGACAGAAGTTCGACCTCAGAAGAAACGACGTGCTGCTATTGCCTGTACGTCCTGCCATGCGAGAAAAGTCCGATGCAACCTTGTCCTCGTGGGGCAGCCCTGCTCGAACTGCCAACAGGATCAAGCATTGTGCCTCTTGCACGTCTCTGCGCGAGGGAAGCACAAGCGTCGAAGGGTGAACAGAGAGGAGGAACGCCCTGTATCTCCTGTCTTGTCCGGATCAACTGCCGTTGCACGTCACTCCAACCTTCAAGGCTGCAACGACTCCCTAAGTCTGGAATCCGACCTCTCATCCCAGGACGAGTACGAATCGCATGCCAATGTCGAAGCTTACAGAAAGATTGTCGATGGCACGGACACGAAGGGAGCGAGGGTGCCCATCTATGTTGGTATGTTCATTTTGCCGTTCTGTCAAGGAAGAAAACGCTAAGCCGTCGTGCGTGCTAGGGGAACTACAGTCACTGCGTTTCATCTTCCACGTGGCACGCGAGGACAAGGGGATCTCGTGCAAGGCTCACTATCTGATTCCCGAACCGAGGAGACGGACCCTCTCGCCAGAGGAACTCGCCTGTCTGGAGGCCAAGGGTGCGTTCTCCACCGAGACGGACGATCTGAGAGACCAGCTGCTCAGTCTGTTCTTTGACTATGTCTATCCGATTCTCCCGATCATTGACCCTGACGACTTCTATCGCCGCTACGACGCCGGGGGTGCCGCCAGCATTAGTCCGCTGCTCCTGCAGAGTATGTTCCTGGCGGCAAGCAACGTAGGCGTCGAAAACTTGTCGATTTTGCTGGCTACAAATACTGACCTGTCAGAATAGTTTGTTTCGCGAGATGCCTTGAAAAAGTCTGGCTGGTCGTCGGTGATGACTATGAAGAGACGGTTCTACGAACGAGCAAAAGTACCAAATGACCACTCTAGACGTTCTCGTGCGGGAGCTAATACTGTACCCACAGGCACTATACGACGTCGAGTACGAGACAGACAAGCTCTGCCTGATCCAGTCGGTCCTCCTCCTGGGCTATTGGCTGGGCAATTCGCACGACAGGATGGACAGCTGGCATTGGATCGGCGTGGCCATCAGCCTCAGCCAGAGTCTCGGGCTGCACCGGGACGCCGGCTGCTCCAGGATCCCTCCGTCCCAACGATCCTTGTGGCGAAGGATCTGGTGGTGCTGCTTCTACCGCGACCGCTGCATCGCGTTGGGCATGGGCCGCGCGTACCGCATCCACACCGCAGACTGCGACGTGAAAGACCTGACGCTCGAAGACTTGGTATGTACTGGCATGCCCCTCCCTGGCTTGAAGGATACAAGTGCGGCCATGGTCAGGCGCTGCAACATGTACGCCCCCATGTTCCTCGAGATCATCAAGGCGAGCCGGCTTCTCGGCGACGTCCTTGCATCGGTATATCGACCTCGGCGGAAAGACGAAGAGTTTCTGGAGTCGTCGACATGGAATACCGCTCAAGCTCTCGAGGAGAAACTCGCCGCCTGGCAACTGGGCCTTGACCCGCGGTGTCGGGTCGACAGCCCTGCCTTTAGTGTCGACGAACCACGGGCCATGATTCTACACAAGTACTACATCCACATTCTGCACCAGTGAGTTGAGTCCTGTCCTCCACGCCGAGCTGGCGATGCTAACAACCGGACCACCAGCGTCACAGTAATCACGCTGTACAAGCCGTTCGTCTTCCAAGGAGACGTCCTGCCCACGGATCCTGCAAGCGACCTCCGCGCCCGCAGAGCCTGGGAGGCCTGCCAACTGTCCGCTTCGGCCGCGACCGACAGTTTCAGAAGACTCACCGAGCTGGACCTGATTAGGTTCCTGCCTCCAGAAAGGCAAGTCTCGCACATCACGGGCCTCCCCGTCTCCATCAATTGGCTGATCGATCGATCCACTCACTGACCGTTTGTGCCACACAGCGTGACAATGCTAATCGCCATCATCGCCATCCTCTTCCTCTCCAAATGTCTCTCCTCGGGCCTGAAATGGCATCTGGCCAGCCAGAACCTGGACCTCACCATGCTCGTCGTGCAACAGCTACAGGAGAGATATCTGGCCGCGAGATTCATCTTCGCGTACTATACCGCTGCGTTTGACAAGGTCGCACCGGCGCAACGGCCGTCGCAGTCGCTAGAGCAGGGAGCGGCCATTATAAGTCCCACGGCGGCTGCGGCCACCGCGGAGAGTACTACCTCAATGGCATATGACCGGACGACGACGGCGACGACGGCGGCTACGGGGACGACGAGCACGCCATACAACGCGCCGCCAGGGCATGGACATGAAGATGGTCTGAACGCCTGGGGCGAGTGCTTCCAAAGCGGGATCGGCATGACCGCGGATTTTGACATCCTGTTCGGCGAGACCGGGATTTTCAGGGGTCTTGACGACTTCGACATCGACATCGGGGGTTTTTGATGGCGTGAGGATTTTCCCGTTGACGGCATTCCATGCCCTGAGTGTTGTGTCTTTCTTGTGTCCGGGCATGTCGTGTCAACAAAGCTAGCACGAGGTGCACGACTCAGAAACGGGGATCGGATCACTCACTACATAACTACAGTGGAAAGGACTTTGGGGATTTCCATCTACTTCTGCGCTATGTATATGATCGTGTAACGTATGAAGTGCGTACGCGTCTTCCGCCATTGAACCGATTTGACCGTCGTATAATCAATACCCACGTACTGTGTAGTTACAGTACTGCACTCTATGATGTACTCTATCTTTTGACTCCACGGCCTGCTTTTAATTACCAGGCTCCTAGGCTTCGATGTGGCGACCTCGTAATGTAGAAACGATCTGTATGGTACATCCTCATATACCATATATAACTTACTGAAGGACTTGGGGGGTGTCTAGCAAGACCGATCTCCAACTCCTCGTCCAATCCGCTCAGCCTTTCCCTTTTGCCATGGCAAATTTCCTGATTCGACAGTCTCCCCGGTTCTTGTACCTCGGTTTTATGCGTCTCCGCTTGTGCCGACACAGTAATGTAGGGAGCACAGGCCTCAACCTGTTGCCGATGCTGTAGATGTTTGTCGCTTCCCGAAACCCGGCACCCCGGCTAACTAAAGGTAAGAGTTACATATGGTGTCCGGAGCATATACGTTCCCGCTCACCCCGGATTCCACGGTTCGTGGACAAACCACGAGTACTTACTGTACTCGCAGGGTATCAACAACTCGTCGAGGAACGCGCCGTGTCGGCAGGGTGCGACGGGTCTGTGGCGATTCGAGTCTCGGCCGACCTGTTTCGTCTCGGTCTCTGCTTGCGCCGTGCTTGCTTCTGACTACAGCAGCTTACACACGTATTCTGCGCTTTTCGGGGCATCCCACGACGTCAGTCGTCAGTCGTCAGGTGTCAGGTGCGTGCCGCGTGGCGACACAGAGTCAGCTCTGAGACGACCCACTGTAGATAAAGAGGAGCAGGACAGCTGCGAGACGTCAGGTTCGGAAACGAGCAACGAGCGCAGCACAGTCACTGCACACGCAGCAGGGTTCTGTCTTTCTTACGTCTGTCCCGGGGGCCTATAAGGGGAGGAGGTACCGCAACATCGGATCATATCGCATCATATCGCATCACACCGCACCACTTCACATCGCAAAACCCGCACCACAGCGAACATCAAAGATGGCACCGCGACAACTTCACGTCGGAGTCTGCGGCGGCGGAATGGGCGGGCTCGCTGCCGCGATTGCATGTGCTAGGGCGGGCGCGAAGGTGACGCTGCTGGAGGCGGCAAAGGAGCTGGGGGAGATCGGCGCGGGGATCCAGATGTTCTCGAACGTGTCTCGACTTCTCATCCGATGGGACGTGGACAAGATCATCGGCGATGATTTGATCGCCGTGGATGAGATCAACACGTGGGGCCTGGACGATGAGTTGCTGGCAAGGTTTGATCCCAAGGTTGGGAGGAAGTATACGGGGTTTCCGCACTGGTGAGTGGCATCGAGCCTGGATTTTCGGGGTCGAAGAAACCGAGGTGTTGGCAACGTTGGCGGTTCTGTCGGGTCGAGAGAGCCGATTCACTTACTGATGGTGCGGTTGCAGGGTCGTTAGAAGAGATCACCTGCACGCAGGGCTTACCGAGTGCGCGCGCCGCAATGGAGTCGATCTGATTGTCGGGTCACGGGTCGAGTCTTTCGAGCACTCCAAGGATGGTGTCAAGGTCAAGACTGTACAGGGTGTCGAGCATTCCTTTGATCTGCTTGTGGGATCGGACGGAATCAGATCCACGATTCGCCGAAGCCTGTTCCCGGACGCGGTGCCGAAAGCAGCATCGACGGTTGCTGCCTTTCGTGGCATCCTCTCTTACGAAGAGGTGTTTGCGAAGGTGCCGGAAGCGAAACAGTGGTTGCGGAACACGGCGGACGCGTGGGTCGGTCCCGATGGGTATATCTTGCTGTACCCTCTTTCCGCGGGCAGGGAATTGAATGTTGTGGCCATGTTCCAGATGGACAGGGTCGTGACGCAGGCCGAAGAGATGAACATCGACGAGTTCCAGAGCCTGTACAAGGACTGGAGTCCCTTCTCGCGCAAGATCCTTGCGCTGCTGAAGAGTACACAGATCTGGCCCTTGCTCGTTATGCCCCCCATGAAGACTTGGGCCAACGAACACAAGAATGTCGTTCTCCTAGGAGACGCGGCCCACTGCATGCAGAATCACATGGTAGGTCCACACACGCCACCTGCACGTCGCCCGCTGACTTGAAATCGCGCAGGCTCAAGGAGCAGCGACTGCCATGGAAGATGGCGCATTTCTTGGCGTGGTCGTGGGAGAAGTGGTGCGTGGCACCATCACCGTCGCCGAGGCCATCGAGCTGTACGAGAAGAAGCGCATGCCGCGGGTTTGGACCAAGCAGCAGGTCTCCTTTGTCAATGGCACGCTCAACATGGCCGGCGGGGACGAGGCAGAGCGGCGCAATGCAGCATCTCGGCCTGAGATTGAAGCTCTGGCCCAGGATGTCGTCCGGCCGAACAAGACGCTGCCGCCACAATACCGGCCGTGGCAATTGGGGTTCAGTCCGGTTAGTGTGCCCAGTGTCATGTATTTTGATCCCGAGGGCGACGCCGAACAAGCCGTGCTCGAGTACTTGCAAAACACGACCCTGATGGATGAGAAAACGCTGGTGACCAAAGGCCTATGGGATAGATGGTGGGGGTTCGTCTACAATAATGGTCTTCAAAGTCAGCAGCTCGACGCCAAGGGTGCTCCGAAACTATGAGCACGGTGTCAGCCGTAGTCAGATACATAACCTGTTGCATAGCATATCACATCGAAGAGGAGTGCGTTCTAATGACGGTCTCTTGGCATGCGAAAGGAGCAAATTGCTGGGTTGATCCAGAGCCGCGGACAGCTGTCACCAGACAAGCGTCGCTGAAGGAGGCTGAACAGAGGGAGCAACAGGAAGCAATAGTCTCTATACCCGTGGCCACGGCTTCGACAAGAACGAGGAATGATGTACGGAAGGCTGCAGCCGCGCTCACTAGCTTGGAATACTCGTACTTGGCTCCTCAAAGGGAGTGTCGAAGATCGTCTGTAAAGATAAGGCACGCCGCGCCCAGGACGCTTGGTCGGAGCCAGACAGTGGCACGGGTGGTGACGATAAACTTCCGCGACAAAAGGCAAACGCTGGGGATCAGCGGATTGTTGGCGGCGGGCCTCAGCACTGTTTTGAAGGGGCGTTGAACATTGTTGAGACGCTTCAACCAGGTAGCAGAAAGTATGGGGTACGGACAATACAGACGCTACCGAGTACGTGGACCACCCTCCCACCGCCTGAAGATCGCCTACAATATCCACCGCCGCACCGCCTAATCCCGCCTAAACCCCTTCGAGGGCCCCAAATTCGGTAACCCACGCCCCTCTCCCAGCTACAGCAGATCCAACGCCGAACGCGTTTCTAATCAGCCGCCAATCAGCGCCGGCCGTCACTCAGAAGAAAACCTTAGCCGATCAATTCACTATCGAGGTCTGAAGATTCAAACCCGCATGTCCCCCCCAAACAAAAACTTGCATGAATGACAAAACTGTCACTTCTTCAGCTTGAGCCTGAGCCTGCGTCATGCGTCTTGGGATTATTGGGACCGGTTCTTCCTTTTCCTCTTCGGTGCGACGTCTCGTACTCACACCTTCCTCAAACATTTTCCAGACACGGAGTGTGACGAGAAGCGCTTGCCAGAGACAAAGAGCATCAGCACCGATAATCTGTTGTACAACCCGATTTTGTCCGCCGCCGCTCGCACGGCTAGGATCTCCAGCACCGTCATACTCACCGGGACGCGAGCATCGTAGATCCGGTACCGAGATCTCGTTGCAAACTCTCCGACGTTCATCGTCGTCTTCTCCATTTTTGAGCTCACCGACTTTATCACCTTCCTCTGCTTCCCTTTCCACGCCCTGCCGGCCCCGACGTCGATTTCTCTCTACCACTTCACTGTTACATTGCTCTAAACAACGCTTCGAAGAACTAGACAGCTCCAAGACGCAGGATCCAGGCCAACCAGAACCAGACGAGAAGGAATCTCTCGGCGCCATGCCTTCAGGTAGGGAATCCAGGATTTCTACCTCATTTACTGATAAACGTTCACCCGTTTCCCAATGCATTGTTATGCTGGCACTGCGCAGTCCCCCACCTAGCACTGTCCCACCATGATCTCCTATACTGTGTTGCCAAAGTTCAGATGTGTCGCTTCCACAAAACATCTTGTTAAAGGCAACTGTGGAACTCAAAAGAGACTCCTAGGCAGTCGTTCCATCGGCGTTGATTGCACTGCACTGCACTCCCCATCTCAACCCTACGGACCCCCACCTACTCGACTGCCTAAATTTATCATCAGCAACGGAAAACTCCCTGCTAATGTTTTTCAAAGCAGAGACCACCAGCTCGGGCAGCGATGCCTACGCCAAGGCCTTCAACAACAACTCCCTCTGGCGCCGTTCGCTCGCCGAGACGGACCCCGAGCTCTTCGAGTCCATGGGCAAAGGCCAGTCCCCTCAGATTCTCTGGATCGGGTGTGCCGACTCCCGCTGCCCGGAGACCACCATTCTGGGCCTCAACCCGGGCGAGATCTTCTGCCACCGCAACATCGCCAACATCCTCGTCAACACCGACATCAATTCCCTTAGCGTCATCCAATTTGCCGTCCAGTACCTGAAGGTCAAGCACATCATCATCTGCGGCCACACTTCCTGCGGCGGCATCGCCGCCGCGCTGGGCAACAAGAAGCTCGGCCTGATCGATACCTGGCTCATGCCCTTGCGCTCGCTTCGTCAGGAAAATCTCCAGCTACTCGAGTCGCTGGACGAAGTCCAACGCGGGCTCAAGATGGTGGAGCTCAATGTCCGTGCCGGCGTCAAGAACCTTCTGGCGAATCCCATCGTCATCGACGCCATGCACGAAAGGGGACTGCAGGTCCACGGCCTGATCTACAACGTCGGGACCGGCGAGTTGCGCGAACTGGACATCGAGGAGGACGAGGACGTGGTAAAGAGCCGTGTTACTGCGTTCAAGACTGAGGAATAGACTCGTTGTGGGGCGTTCAAGACGGAAGATTAGACTGGTTGTATCGCGTCCTCGGGCCGGCGGATCCTCGGCGGCAGAAGATACGAATACACAATAGGGTTAACGGCACTAGAAGTAGATGTGAGAAGTATGCCGCTGTCATTCTGCGCTTGCTCATCGCGTTTCGCGTGCTTCAAGGACCTATCGCAATCAGCAAGCACTGCATTTTGCCAATCAGCTATGCGCACCACGATTCCCCCTCTCATTATCAGAGGGTAGGCTTAAAGCGCGTCCACTGAATGTATCTCGTGCTCCGCCATCGGCTCTCTTCAGCTGACATTTCCCCAACGCACTTCGCCGGAGGCCCATGCTGTGCAACCATTTCAAGCCACTTCATACCCGCGTCCAATCCCAATCCGCGTGCACATGACGGCGACGACCGTAAACAGCTCGTTTCCTCTCACTCACCGGGTCGCCCCTGTTCTTGTCTTCGTCGATAGCCGAGTGCACGTGGCGGCCACCGCCGTGAACAGCTCTTTTCCACTCACTCCCCAGATGTCCTCCGTTCTCATCCTCGTCGACAGGGTCCACAGGAGCCGCCTAAGCTCCGCAGCCGCCCATCTCGACGTCCTGGTGCACTTCATCGTGGTGGTCCTGTCTCTTTCTCTTATTCTCTTGGGCTTGTTGGGATTTCTGAACTGCTGCCTCCACCCTCAACTCCAGCCGGCGCTTCTTCAGGAACTGTGCCAGGCTCAATCTCCGCTGCGGTGGAGGCGGGAACACGGACAGACGATCCTGGATCATCATCATCGAGTACTCGTTGCGGTCTTCAGCATTGAAAGCCGCCTGGCGGTGATCCGAGATGAGGACCGTCTTGAGACCGCGGAAGTTATGGAGCACGTCGCGCAGCTTCTCGCGCCAGAGAGCGAGCTCTTCTTCGCGGTATTCAGGTGTTCCGGCGTCTCGGCAAATGGGACCTATCTCCCTCCACGTGTTGAACAGGAGCGTGAGGTCCGTGAGTTGGTGTCGGGCCTTGAGAAAACAGAAGACGCGACGCCAGAGCTCCTCTTGGCTTTGGTCGAAATTGGTGAAGTCGGGTCCTCTAACGTGTGGCCACCCGCACCGCAAAGTACATTCAAGTCGGCGGACGTTCGAAAAGTTCACCCTGCCGATGTGCTCGAACCACCAGAGGCAATTGATCGGGTCGTCGAAGTAGAACAAGTAGCTGCCGTAGAGCAGGCGACTTCCAGCGGCGCGGAATTCCTGGTTGACGAGCATTGCTGACTTGTTCATGTTGATGTTATCTTGTTTGACGACGTCGCTCTCTCCAGTCCTGATGTACCCGGCCATCATGCCTTGTCGGTAATATGGCCTGATGACATGGCTGTTGACCTTACTACCTGCCACAGGTCTGACGTCAAAGATATCTTCAAAGAAGTGTTTTTTGTGGTCTGGTCGCTCATTTTGCAGCATCTTCCAGAACCGAGAGCCCGCAGACCCGGATGGCTGGTTGACGTTCGACTCTCGACATGCAGTATCAGGCGTTTGCAAGTTTGCACAATTGTCCAAGCCCGACACGGTGGATGGCGGTGTGATGCTGGGTGCTTTCATCGCCGTTATGTCGGGACAAGAGTAGAAGGGCTGGGCTGCTGCCTCGGGTTCGGGTGTCGGAAGGCACGAAGATTCGAAAGGGGTAGGAGCTGTTCTCTTTTGTGACAAAGTCGGCTCAGAGAAACGTCCATTTGGCTGCGAGCGAGCAAGGTCGCCATCAATCCTTCTACATAGTTAGTATGGATACCACTGAAGAGGAGAGAAGCTGGCGGACAGGCCCCGTGCTGGGGCGAACACGCCGAAGACAAGAGCCGTTGGGATTGTTCTGTTGCAGTGTTTATCCGACTTACTCTGGGTGAACACTCTCGGCTACAATCGGCCTGCCCATACAGCCACCCATCTTTTGCTGGAAGGTTAAATTGTCCTCGGAGGTGGCTTGCGGCTTCATTAGTGAAGACAGAGTGAAAGATGGAGAAGAAAAGACACCAGCATGATTTGTGTTTGAGCCACTCACCGTGTCTTCAGGGCTCACCGCCGGAATGAGAGGTTTGTCGACTGTCATGGTGTCGCTGCGGGAAGGCGAAGAAATCTCGGCGTAACGACTGGTGAGAGGATGGTATGGTCGTGACGCGCGTAAAAAATACAGAGGCTGTGGTCGACACGGCTTGGTCAGGTAAGAAATTCTTTGGCAAATCTTTGGTGACAAGACGTAACGACGCAAGAAAGGGGACGAAGGTCAGCTAGAACGGTGCGATGACAACAGGCTGCGCGGATTGCTTCACTTGTAGCCTTGGCGAAGGTGTTTTGTTGGTGAAGAATGCCATCTGCAGTTGTCCGTAGCTTCGAGTTCAGCTTCTGAAAGTCTTAAATGCCTCTGCGACTGTCATCCCATTTTGCACAGCGTCTTTCACCTTGTCGTCATCTGCGACCAGCTTTGGAATGAGTGAGAGAGTCTCATCCAGCAGATCTCGCGGAATCACAACAACCCCTTCTACAGGGTCGCAGAAGAGAATGTCACCCTGCGATGGTGTCAGTAGGGTCGAGGCAAGAGCACAGAGCAGTATTGTGGACGCACTGGGGAGACGCTGACGCCAGTTATCGTCACCCGGATGTTGCGTGCATACACCGTCGATTCGGCATTGGTTCCGACAGTTGACCTTCCCAAGGCGAAGATCTGAACAGTCAGAGGACCTTCGTAGAAGAGGTTGAGAAGTAACCGGCAAGAACTTTATCGATTGGTGATCATTGCTCACTCACTGGCAACTGAGAGTTCTGCAGCTCAACCATATCCCTTACACGACCACCGACGACACAGCCAGCTACTCCTCTTGCTTTCATTCTCTGGGCCATTATGCCTCCCACGGCTGCGCATTTTTGGCCTTCAGGCTGATCAATGACCACAATGGATCCGGGTTCGGTCAAGTCTACCCAGTGACTGCCCTTTGGAACTGTGCTTTCTGCGGGCGGCGGCGAGGAAGGTGGAGCGTTCTTCGACACCAGTTTCAAAGTGCATGCAGGAGCGATCACCTTCTCGCCAGATGATGAAGGGATGGGACCTTCTCTTGTCTCAATCAAGGACCAAATAGAGCGGACATGCCATCCTACCGATGTCTGCAAGATACCCCGCCCGAGCAACCTCGCCTGCCCTCGGCTTCTGCAGCTTCAGCAATGCGTCCGATATCTGAAAGTGTAAGTCTAGCTTAATACTGGTACGCCCTGATTGCCTTACATCACAAGCTGAATATTCTCGCAAACGGTCAAGCCTGTCCTGAAGCTCTGGTGCGATACCCATTGTGGACGATTGGCGGCAATGCGTTGTGGCCACGAAAGCGGCGCTACTACGGGGGCAAAATGCTTTCTTCTGAAGTGACACTCTTGCAGCTGCACACCAACTATACTTGAGCATGATCGTGCACTACTGTGTACAGTAGAGAGACAAGGCAAGGAGGGAAAGGAACAATGCTGCTACTTTACTAGCCACAGCAGTCGGACATCGGGACTTTGGTTGGCCGACATCGGAGTTCTTGGACTGTGGAGTGATATTTTAATCGACTGGTTCAAGCATCGAAACACCCATTACTAGATCTTTGGGAGAACACGGGGCGGCTGAGAGGGAAGTCACAGAGACACGACCTTGAACCATATAGTATGCACAACGTTGTACACCTTGAGGAAACGAGTGCCCTAGACGAGGGAGTCTACCCCCCATTTAACGACAATGATAAGGGATGGCGCTAGAGAAATACCTTCTCATTCGGAGGCTGATAGGTTGCGGCGCATTGATGCATTATCGTAAAAGAAGAGCGGTGTCTGACCGAAGCACGTTGGAAACGATGGGAAAGGTGATGGTTGAGTTGTTCCTTGGCATTGGGACTGCCCTCTGCTGTTAACTGATCTTGAAAATGCATCCTGTCTCCCATCAGAGGGACTCGAACTCCAGCGATGCTTGCTTGCCCATGATAGGCGTATGTACAATACCCCCCAAAGAGGTATATATCCACTGCTGGTGAGGAAGGGATTAAGTGATCCGAGGCTCGGCCTGGGATGCAGTTAGTGTCAACGCCCGGATACTCCAGGACCCATCGACAGACCTTCCACCTGCTGTTCACTGAACGACCATTAGCGTTGCTGACGCACCAGCGAATCTGCATATTAAACCAACCTTCGAATGCTGGAGGTGCTGCCACTGCATCAGATTGCCCTCTGATCTTGCCTGTCAATCGGTAATCCCGCTCCATCACTAGCACCCGTAAGCATTCTAGCGAGGAATGTGTCTTTGTCTTGCACCCACTCTGTCTATCCCAGATATCCAACTGTCTCCGCGGTTGCTTGAAGTCGTTTGCGTAGTATCTTATTGAGGCGAGGCCAGCACCCTGCCATGTCTTTTAGCGAGACGACCAATTCTTTGAAAGCAGTGATCTCATACTGTGACGCCGAACATGCCCACCATAATCACGTATGGCAGAAATGCCTCGAAGGGGACGCCCATGATTAACGGTCGGTGGTCGGCGCAGAATCAGGTGAGGCTGTGGTCGGGAACAGGGCAATAAGAGCTGCAAAGTATGGGAGGCGTATAGAAAACGTCCTCTCCAGCTCTGGCAGGCGGCAGTTAAGCTGTTCTTGTCGTGCTGTTGGTGTCCGCGGTCCAGGTTGGTGGTCGCTGCATACTGCAGATTGACCTCACAAGTGCACTTTCCTCGATTTGGGGCACGGACAAGGCCGCTTTAACACTCACCTCGACATGGGGATGCGGTCGTGTCCCGACCGCACTGCGGCTTCCACACGTCCTCAGCAAGAGCAGAATTGTTCTAACAGAAGATATCATCCTCTCGACGTGTAATTTCGTTATCGGAACACAGGGACAATACCTCCACGACCTTACGATTGTTGTTGCGCTCGTCTTCACGCGTAGAACGGACTTTGCCCTGCCCTGCGAAGCGCCCCTCCGCGCCCTTACCATCCTCATTGCGCCAGACGCTCTCCTGGGCCTTAGGCGCAAGTTCAATTAGTCGCATTGCACCGCCTATAATCTCAGTCTATACTAGGAAGTCGTCGAGCGACGACGAAACAATGACCGTGACAACCACACCGTAATGGTTACCCTCCCTCCACCCACGCACAAACGTACCGACGGCCACACAGACTCTTTCCCTAGTCGTTCCTTATGCCAGCTCTAATTTCCGAGGAACTTGATGAGCTATCCAGTGTCGGCACGGGGACTGTGACTCCTGGCATTGAGGGACCTATAACGGCAGCCTCTGGCGATGAGCTCAGCCAACCCATGAGTCGAGAGAACCCGAAGCCTTCAGAGGACGACCACGATGTGTCAGAAGACAAAGAGAGGAATGTGGTAGACTCAGACCGGTCTCGCATACATGCTGCCTCTGCAGAGGACTATGACCTGGGGGAGCAGCTTCAACGGTCGGCGCAAGAAGAACTTAGCGAGCCTGACACGGATGTTCGTGTTGGTGAGGAGAACGTTGCCGAAGTCGTCGACTTGCAAGCAGGTGCGGAAGGGGATATTACAATGACGGACGCGGATGCCGAGGCCGAACCGGACGACGAAATGCCACAAGACCATTCCAAGGCCGGCAACGCGCAGGAGCCGAACCAAGTTGCAGAGGCTGATGAAGACGCGGAAGGCGAAGAAGAGGTGGAGCCACAGAAAGAGAGCGGAGCAGCGGGAGGACAGGAAACCGAGGGCAAAGAAAGCGCAGCAAATGAAGAAGAGCTAGAGGAGGAGGTAGGCCATGCAGAGTCCGAGGCAGAGGCTGGTAGCGATAGCGACGAAAGCTCAGGCAGCGCCGAGCCCGAAGTCGAATCATCTCCATCACAATCCAAATCAGTATCGCGATCTGGTTCACCTTCTAGACCCGTGTCTGGGTCGGAGTCGGAGTCCGAATCCGTTGACGAGGAGGAAGACGGCGCCTCAGAGGAAGCCGAAGAAGCCCGGTCAGAGTGCATCTTCTGCAAGCAAACCGATGGTCCAGATGGGAGAGACGATGAACTGGCTCTGATATGCTCGGAGTGCGATAACCACGCACATTTGATGTGCGCCCAAGGCAAGCAAGCAGTGAAGGATGATGACAGCACTCACTGGCAGTGTCCGGACTGCTTGAAAAAGGTCGTGCAGTCTGAGTCGCCCAAGGAAAGGGCTGCACGATCCAAGAACTCCGCTCCTCGACTTGTTAGGGACTTGTTACCCGTCACACGCGGCGTGCAGAGGCCAAATTCGCATTCGATTTTTGCGCAGCCCCTGATATCGGAGGGTGAAGACGGAGGCCGTGCTCTGAGGAAGAGAAAGTCTCCAACTCAAGAACCTGTGCCAATTGAGAAGAGGCGTCTAAAGGCCACGGAACGGGCATCAGCTGTGGCGACGGCAAGCGTCGCCCCGTCGGTGGACAGCTCCTCTACAACCATGTCAACGCGGCGATCGAGTCAAATGAAAATCACCAAACCCACTGCACGGATACTGCAGCATCGACCTTTCAATAAACCACCGCCTCATAAGTTCATCCTTGCCTTCCGACTAGACCAGCCACGGATCGAAGCCATCCTGAACAAGCCTCCTCGCCCCGGGCGACGTAGAGAAAGAAAGGTGCAAAAGAAGAAGGAACCAAAGATCTCAGCTCCAGTCTACCAACCTCCGGTCCCCAAATTCCCTGCCCTGCCAACACATAACCTCATTTTCCCCTCGGCATTCACCGACCGCGAGGCCGAAGTCAATGCCAAACCATACGATGGCATCTTGTCGGAAGCGGAAGCCGATACGTCGCGTTCGTTACCACAACTCAAAGACCGTGAGCTGTTTGAGATTGCAAGGAAGGAAGCAGAAGAAGAACGGAGAAGAACATCTGCGGCAGCCGAGGCGGAGATCAACGGAGGCGTCGACGCTTCAGCCACGCCTGGCGCGACATCAGCGACCACGAAACCCAATCGGTCGACAGTGTCAGGCCCGCCCAGCAAGATCAAGTGCATCCAGTTCGGCAAGCATGTCATCGACACCTTCTACGCCGCGCCTTACCCAGAAGAATATTCACACGAGTCGAGGCTGTTCATCTGTGAGTTCTGCCTCAAGTACCTCCCTTCCGAGTTCGTCGCCTATCGACATAAACTGAAGTGCCCCGCCAAACATCCACCCGGAGACGAAATATATCGCGATGGCACCGTCTCGGTGTGGGAAGTCGACGGACGCAAGAAGACAGAGTACTGCCAATGTCTGTGCCTTATGGCCAAGATGTTCCTTGGTTCAAAAACTCTCTACTACGACGTGGAGCCGTTTTTATTCTACATCCTCACCGAATACGATGAACTGGGATACCATTTCGTCGGCTACTTCAGCAAGGAGAAACGACCGGCCAGCCAGAACAATGTATCCTGTATCCTCGTGATGCCAATCCATCAGAGGAAAGGGTACGCTACGTTTCTGATTGACTTCTCGTACCTGCTTACGAGGATCGAGCGCAAAGAAGGGTCTCCAGAGAAGCCGTTGTCCGATATGGGTCTGACGGCATACCGCTCGTATTGGGACTTGACAATCTCGCGACATCTACTTGAGCTGCAACGATCAAAGATGCCATTCAGCACGAAGACTCTCATGGGGAGGACCGGCATGACCGCTGACGATGTGATTCATTCCTTGGAGCGTCTGTACGCCTTCATCAAGGATCCGGTCACGAAGACGTATGCGATCAGGTTTGACAAGAAGCTGTATGAGCGGATCGTGGACGAGTACGAGCGCAAAGGTCATCGCAAGATGAAACCCGAGTTACTGGTGTGGACGCCCTATATCATGGGAAGAAGTGACCGGGAGACGTTGGACGGGCAGGGCCCACTTAATGCGTTGGCCCCGAGGAGCGACGACGAGGCTGAAGAGGAAGAGGAACAAGCCGATGCAGAGACGAGTGAAGCTGTTGGCATCGATAGCCAAGCGGTCGCCTTCAGGGCTGGGAAGCTCGGAGCTCGTGATGTTGACCTATGCGGCGATAATGATGTGGCCGTGGAGGAGCTTTCGCCAAAGTCGATATCAAAGTCGACAAAGGATGCGTCAAGACCGGAGTCGCTTATTGGCCACGAGGAAGGTGATGCGGTCGACATCAAGGATGCAACTCTTGTCAACGAGTATGGCCATGTCGCGCCTGGCCCTCCCCCTACAGGCGCGCTAAACGGCGCCGTCTCGACTCAACTGGTAGCTGACCACGGTGAAGTAAAGATCAATGGCCTGGTCAACGGCACTTCCTCTGCGTCCCAGGAGCATCCTCCAGTCGACCCTCAGCCCCAAGCCAGCCACGTCGAGCAACAAAACCAACCCCAGCCTCCTGATCGCGAAGCTGACGGGACAGACGGGGCAGAGGAACCCAAACAACCTCCTTCGCCGCCCTTGTACGGCTACGCCCTCGCCTTCCGCCAACACAACATCCCACCCACACGCTTTCAAATCGACCCGCCCATTCCCCCCTCCATGCTCCGCCGCCAAAACACAAAGAAACGCAGCGCCGCGACCGCGTTCGGCACGCCAGGCAAGAAAAGCGACGGTCTCAGCAGCACAGCTAAGGACACCACGAATGTCAGCGCCATGGCGAACAACGTCGCCGTCAGGAGTTCCCCCAGGAATGCTTCTGCGAAAAGCGGTTTATCCCATGGAGCCAACGCCGCCACGGCAACGGCAACGGCAAACGGCTCTGTGAGCTCCACCACGAACGGCACGCGGAGCGCGTCGCCCACCAAGGTGCCGGGCACGCCCGTCCGACGGAGCGGTCGGCGGAGTGGTCTAGCGAACGTCGTCGCGCCAGTGGATGATAGCGTGGAAGACGAGGAAGGGGAAGAGGACGAGGAGGAGGAGGGCACCTCTCTGTCTAAAGCCGACTCGGAGGAGGAAGACGGTGACGTGGACGTCGAGGCCTCTTCGTCAAGTGCTCAGGGCGAGGAAGAAGAAGAAGAAGGGGAGTCGGAGGATGACCAGCAACCTTCTGTCGTGGCCGTTAGCGACGACGAAGCCGAACTAGCCGAAAGCGAGGACGACGATGATGCAGAAGTAGACGAAGATGAAGAAGAGGAAGACGAGGAAGAAAGCGCCGCAGACGACGATCCGAACGATCCGGACGCCGAGCCTGATGAAGATGAAGATGAGTCCGAGGAGAGTGAGGACGGCGATGGCGAGGCAGACAGCGAAGAGGATGCCGAAGCCGAGGTGGATATTCCTGAAGGAGAAGTGGAAGACGATGACGACGACGCCGACGGCGGTGGTGATGATTGACACTGAAAGCTCGTCTCGCTGCGGCGGTGTATGCTATTCCTTACAACCATGTCGAAGATCCAGTCCGAGCCTCGTGCACAGTATGTACGTTGCATCCTGAGGGACTCGGGAGCGGTGGCTTGAATATGTAATTGACGCATTCTTCAATCGCATGAAACCTACCTACTGGGGAGCACTGACGACTAAAAAGTCCGATGTCCTCGGTGCTGTTCTATCCTGCTGGGCATACTCTCACGCTGCGTACACAAGGTAGTCGGCGTTGCCACCGTACGAAGCAATCCCTCGATTTGCCTTGCTTCAGCGAAAGTGGCAGTCCCTGTTTCGTGCCCAGCATGCCGCCACACTGTCGTTGCGCTACGCAAAGCGTTCCAAATTGTGCCCCAAGGCAGTCCATTGAACAACATGTCCTGTTCGCCCTAAATCTAACACAACTGTAACTCACTTCGATCCCCGCCACACCATTTTATGCCAAATACAGTCCTCTTGGCTTTCCCAGTGCGTCGATGATCCGGACTAAGCATCGAAAGAGATCGCACTGGTTGCTGTTAACCCCCCTCCCCGAACAGCATCATTGACCTGGTCCGTTCCATGCCGCTGTAATGGCGGCCATTCAACGCCTAGCTCCCTTGTCTGTGCTCAGCCTCCATGAGCTTTTGCAGCAAACAGCGGAACCTTTGGCCTGTCAAACTCAGAGCCTGTTCTCAGCTCTACGACTGCTTCTTCTGAGATGTCTGTCCACCACCCAAGTACTTCTGCAGATTGGTAGCCTCGACACCCTGACGCAGGATGTTCTTAAGCGTCTCCCAGCCCTGTCTGACGGCGGGTGGGACATTGGGGTTCTGGACCTGCTGGTCAACCCGGGCAGCCAACTGGCCAAATGCACCCTGGATAAATTGGCTCTGAGAGAACCTTGCTCGTAGAAAGACGGTATAGACACCCAATAAGATCCAAGACCCTTTGCTGAAGGTCAAAGCGGACATGAAGAGGCGCACCCAATTGAAGATCTCGAGCATGGCCACCAAGAACATCGACGCATCATAATATTCCTTGACGAATCGGCCGATTGAGTTTGCGAGTGGGGACTGAGACTTCTGAGCTCCAGGAGACTGAGGGGTGCTTCCTGGAGCAGCCTTGGGAGGTTGAAGTGTAGGAATAATGTTGGTGCGAGTGTAGGTCGCCACGTGGAAGACCGAGTAGACGGTGAATGGGAGCAGAGCTAGGGGGACTTGTCTCGCGAACAGCCAGACCAAGCTTATGACTGTAGATCTACTGTTAGAATCTTGGACAACCATGCTTCTTGGTGCTTCTACTCACGGAGATATTGCACATTCTCATCTGAGAGCAGCGTGACTGCGGTTTGAGTGATCTTGGCGCCTGGCTTGACACGAGCGCGATAAGCCTTGAAGACCACGATGCCATACGTGGCAACGGCCGACGTGAAAGCCAGGCGATATGTAAACTGCGCCCATCTAGAATAGTAGTTGAAAGTGATGTAGGAAAGGCCATAGCGGAGGACAGATAGCAGGAGGGTGAAGTGGCCGCAGAACCATGCACTATGGGTGTGTACGCACATTAGCACGGAGCTCGGCTATTCATGAGTGAGGAAGAGCTCGATCTTACAATTGCAGAGTCGTAGCGAGTTTCGTAAGACGTTCGCCCAAGGACTGACTAGGCGGAGGCGGGGGAGCCATGTCTTGAAGCTTTACGCGGTAAAGAGAGTTCGGTAATGGAGGGGCGGTCAAGATATGGGGGATGTGGTCGTGTGTTTATCGCGAACCAGAACCAGAGTCGACGAGGTAAAAGAAGGAGAACAGGCAGGACTCGAGCCCGTTCCAAGATATAGGCGAACGGCGGCTGTGAGAAAAGGGCCAGTGACTGGAAAGGTGAACGGAGCAGAAGTGAAGGTGGCTTCAACGGGGTGTGAGTTGCACTTGCGCAAGCTTTTGGGTTGGTTTGGCCGTTTGGTTTGTGGGCGGCAATGATGTCAACCTCGGTGGGACCAAGCCACACACTTCACTCCCTGACTCTCACCTCACTGCCACTTTGCTCACGCACAAACCAGATGATGATCCTTGGTCCTGCACAGACAGTTCTGGCTGCCAAATCCCTGTACGCACTTCCACAACATCCAATTTCAGACATATTAATATACCAGGAACTGGGCGTGTTGCGGCTGTTGCCCTTGTGGTCTGACTTCAGCTGCCTCGACAGTGTCGCGCGGCTGAGATTCTGCAAACAAAGAACATGGCTTTTTAATCACACTTTTCGGTTTCTAAAAGAGTTTGCCCGCCCAGTACGCAATGGAATGAATGGACAAAGACGTCGCTTGCTGAGAAGAAACCCGATTCCTCTCCCAGCGCTACCTCCGCTCAAAACGGACACAAACGGAGTAAGGAAATATACATGCTTGTCTGGCGGATTAAAGCCCTTTCATTCCATCGCACCGAGGTCCGGAATGTCTCTTCGTTCCGATCCTGGGTGTGCTGAAATTGGACTCTTCGTATTATGCACAATCCAAGTCGTTTCCTGCTCCCTCCACAGCCCTTCCCCGGGTAGATCATATGTGATGGTGATTAGAACGCCACAACAGCTCCGGTCTGTTGGCTACTGGGAACAATCGCAACATGTAGTTCTTGAAGAGAAGGTGAGTCGAAAGAGGGGATATCGCCGTCATCGTGTCGTCGCTGAGCTCAATTGCAAAATACAAGGGACGAAGAGGGAGTTCGTGTCCGGGACATATCGCGCGATGCTTATCGGAGCGAGAATCCCTTTCTCTTCCCCTCCTTCTCGATCGGTCGGCCTTGTTCAATGCGAGACTTCTTCTCCTCGAGTTCTGCTCGCTGACGCTCCAACTGCTCCTTCATCTCACGGTGGCGTGCGAACAATTCTTCCTCGCTCTGCTGCAGTTTGCTTTCCTTTTCTTGAACCTTCTGCTGGAAGACCATCTTCATCTCTGCCTCCATCTTGGCCAGCTTCTGCTCGTGTAGAGTCCTCTCCTCTTCTTGCTTGACCGCAGGATTGACTTCCTTGAACACGCTGGGATCCTGTGACACGCCCATCTGGATGAGCTTGTCAGATCGGTAGTTCTCGTAGAGAACATTGTTAGTGTGCTCCTTGAGTTCCTCCATGTGGGTCCGGATCAGCATCTGTCGGAGCTTCACGAAGTCGCAATGGTCTTCATTATCAACCTCAATGATGCCCCAGGGGTAGCGGCGGCCGCGCACTTTGCGACCTTCCGGATTGGTCACCTCGTAATTGGCGCCAACCACAGCGAACGGCACTTTGGACATGATCTCCTGGTTCTCGGCAATGGTTTCTTCGTCATCCAGCTCATAACGAGGTCCCTCGAAGATCTGGATCGAGTGGTGCTGAATATCTGCGAGGATCTGCCAGAGTTAGCTCGTGTCCATGATACGTCGGGTTGATGCTTCTTACTCTCTGCTTGAATGCCGCCACTTCCTCATCGGTCAGGGTGTCGGCCTTGGCAATGACAGGAATCAAGTTGACCTTGGTGTGAAGGCGGCGCATGACTTCGATGTCAAGAGGCTTCAAAGAATGTCCTGTGGGCTGTATGAAGTAGACGCAGGCATGGACCCTGTTGTCCACGATGTTCATGCGGTTGACCTTGTTCTCGGCTTCCAGATAGGCATCGAATCGTTGTTCAATATTCTCCACGATTGGTCGCCATGAGTCGTCATTATTGACGAAATCGCCGAAGCCGGGGGTGTCAACGACTGTCAGGCGCAGGCGGACCCCGTTCTCTTCAATGTCGGCGCTGATGGACTGAATAGAGACAGTCTTCGGGATGATGTCCAGGCTGGGACCCTTGCGTTCGCGTGGAGGGTAGAGGGATGTGTTGAACAGCGTGTTGATCAATGTAGATTTACCCAAGCCCGATTCACCTGCGTTGTATTAGTATCATTCAAGTTCCTGTTACCGGGAGATGCGACGAACCGACTACCATAACGTTGAAGTTGAAGCCCTTTCTGACACTCTTGCGGTGCCATTGATTCGGCAGATTGGCAAACCCAACGTAGCCTGTCAACTTCCTTCTGACCACATTTCGCATATCGTTTGCTGCCGCTGCAGCAGCCTTTGGATCTTTTGAGCTCACTGTCTGGGCGGCGTTGGCACCCATGGGATTACTCTCCTTGACAAAGGGAGAGGTAGGTTTGCCATTGGGAATGCTGGGAGAAGGGGAGGATCGAACGCCATTGGCCACAGCAGCTGGATTTTCGTTCGTGTCAGTCATATTTTCAAATTGGGTGTCTGCGGATGTCACTTGATTGTGAAAGGACGGGCTTGTATGGTCCCCGTGAAGGGATTGGACGTTTGAAGTATTGGAGGCCGTGCTTGGGCTAGGATTGCTCTTCTCTTCGGCCATCATCGCGCTTGCGTGATGGATTGTGCGACAGGAGCTAGTTCTAGGAGCACATGGGACGGTAGGAAAACAGAGGAAGGCGCGACAGGTGATGTGCGGTTGAAAGGAAAAGGTTCCGAGTGGTGACGGAATACTCACCCATATTTAGTCAGACGAAGGCCCGGTTGTGCAGACGACACTGAAGAAGGTTGAAACAAGAGTAACTGTGAGAGAAGTCACATTAGCATGCGCCATGTCTTGATGAACAGATAACTTGGTCGCGACAGTGCAAGGAGTCCAAGAGAAACGAGTGTAGGCTGCCTGCGCCCAGGGGCATTGGGCATTGGGCATTGAGATTTCTGGAATGTGAACGTACTTTTGCTCAACTGCACGACGAACAAACTGGCCGAAGAGGGCTCCAAGCGAATGTAAGAAGAACGCTGGGACGCAGCGAAGAAAGGATGAAGCCCAAAAGGTGGTGCGCGAAACGAAGAGGTGCAAAGTCTGTGGACGATACGAGTAGCGAGCGTGCCCTTTGTCAATCAATTCTTAAGTCAACGTGGACTCTCACCAAGTCCAGAAAAATAGGGGACGCATCTTCTTCGTGCCACTCGTGCAACTGCAATCGGGGCGTTGTGGGGAGGCTGCCACGCTAGGTCCTTTTGGTATTGAGACCGGCAGCAATGATTGGCGATCAGCAAAAACCGCCGAAGCCAAAGCTGCCCCTGGATCTTCTCCAGGTTTGGCCTTGGTGCTTGCTGGTGCTGGTGCTTGTCCAACTTGAGGGGGAGACCAGAGCGAGCAGAGCCCTGCCAGAAGATACAGTTATGACCTAGGGATGGCTACACCAGAATATGCACCTGGTGTCGCACAATGTTGATTTGAGTTGAAAGCTGACTTCAATATTGTACACTCTATTCTCCATGCAGTTTTCTATCGTTTCAAGGGTATCCTGGCCGTTCAAGCCTGATCTGGCGATGTCTCGACGCCCACAAATGCAACAAGATCCTTCCTGTTCGCTACTCCCACTGCCACAAGCCGGCAGAGTCTATACAAAGACCTTTCTCATATCACTCCAGACCCGTCTTCTGACTGGTACCACTCCATCTGTTTCAGCAAATATTGATACAGGACAAGCATCGTTCCGCTCTGCACGCTTGTCCACACAAATCTAGGACCGACTCCGCGGAACATGCCGGCGACCCCTTCGGTGTTGTAAATCAGTCGGAGACCCTCTATGACCGAGGAAGTATCAAGCGTTGGCGTGTGGTGTGGGACGGTGCGAGGTCCAGAATGTATGAGCCGCGTTTGCGTCTTGCCTGCCGCCTTGGGGCTGCTCTTCAGAGTCTTCTCCTTCTCCAAGCGGGAGGCCTGGCTGGTCTTGTTCGGATCGGGCGAGATCTGGGTCTGTGTTCTCGTTTTGACCACATCGAGCGGGCACGTTATAACTCCCGCGGCGCCGCCAGCAGAGACCGCGGTCACGACCTCGAAGCACAGGCCAATATCATTCGTTCCCTGCCACTGCTGGGCGAACCTCCGCTCTTGCTCGTAGAAGGCGAACTGCAGAGCTGAGAAAGGCAAGTCCCTGACGATTGTTGCTTTGTAACCCGAATACAGCGCTCCAAACCCCTCGATCCGGACAATTGTCCTTGCCGCATCCCATGTTGACTTGTAATTATACCCCGAGTTGAAGAAAGGATTGTTGTATCGACCTTGTAGCTGCAGTCGAGTCTTGAGGACTTCCGAGGGAACATATACGATGGATGCAGCAAGGTCGGCAATGAACCCTAGTCAACGTGGTGAGCACGTGCATGCAGGAAATGAATGAGCAGGTGACTTACCACTTGCGAGGTATGATATTGACGGATTGACTCCTCGATCTAGCATATGTCGCTTGCAGTATTCATATGCCCCGAAGAATATGACTGTGCCAGGAAATGACCCCAGCATGGCCGCGGTGAAGCCTCCGTAGAGTCCTCTCCGTACCCCCTCTTGCCGGAAGATCTTGACGTAGGAATCGGATAACGAGGCGTACTTCGGTGGAAAATGAGGGTCTCCTTGTTGTCTCGTCTTGACTGTATCGAGTGAATGCATAAGGATGTCGCCCGTCGTGCCGCCTATTCCCCCAGCAAGCATCGACTGTGTCCCTCGTTAGCCGGTAGCCGTGCACTTCACGGCCGGATACTGACGTGGATGTATGGGGGCCTCTTCAGATCCAGGTCGACTTCCTCCTCCGCCAATCTCTCCATTGTACGCGGCCGCTTAATCTGTCGTGCGCCGTCGATATCAAAGTCGGATGCCGCATATCCATCATTGTGCTGCGCCTCCAGAGAGGTCCCGATGGAGCTGTCTTGAGAGAACCAACTCGATAACCGTGATGTTAGGCTCATGGAGGGCTCTGAAGCCCTGGTTGGAAGATTGTACGCAAGGTGAGTATCTGGTCGGAAGGGGGTGGTGGGAGCGATGTCAGAGAAATGACGGAGTCTTTGTTGCTTTCGCCGCAATGAGATCTACCTGAAGCCTGCACAAAAGTTTCGCGAACCCCATCTCTCGGGCTTTGCCGGCACTGGCCGCAGCCCTGCTCGGCCGATCTGGTAAGCTTTGCCCGATTGGCCAGCCTTGTGCGTCCTTGGACCAGACCCGTAGAGCAGCCTGTCGAGAACTTCCGGTCGTTGCGACATTAAGAAATCATCTCTCTACAGAAGCACCAGGGAGCTGCTCCAGCGTTACGCGTCACCAGAAGACTGAACGACAAATGATGAGCACTGACATTGGCATAAAGCTCGTCCATTCCGGTGTCGATTGCGGTCGAGTACTGGCATCTACACAGCAGGGGATCGCAGGCACAACTTTTGCCAATAGAAGTAAAGGAGAAGTATTTTTGTACACGCCTTTCCCTGCGTCAAGCCTCGCTAAATCCAGCCAAACCCATGAACACAATCACAGCATCATCTCCAGGGGGTGCTCTACCACCTTCTTCAACTCCCGGATCCACTCACCTCCTACAGCCCCATCCACCACCTTGTGGTCGAAGCTGCCGGTGACGATGATCTGGTCGTCCCACTCAGTAAGAGTGCCCTCTTCAGTTTCAACCGGGATCGCCACCTTGCGAGTGGTTCCCACGGCCAAAATCGCGGCTTGAGGTGGGTTGATTACAGCAGTGAATCTTTCCACTGCGGGGTTCATGCCCATATTACTGATGGTGAAAGTGCCGCCCTGGTACTCCTCGGGCTTCAGCTTTCCATCCCTTGCTCGCTTTCCAAGGTCCTTGACGGCGCCCGAAATTGCCGACAGACCAATGCTGTCTGCGTTCTTGACAATGGGCGTCATCAATCCCACAGGCGTGGCAACAGCCACGCTCACATCGACCGTGTTATGTTGGCGGATAGTGGCCTGACCTCCTTCCTCTCTCCAGCTCGAGTTCACGGCTGGTACCTTCTTGCAGGCAATTGCGCAAGCCTTGATCAAGAAGTCATTGACGGACAACTTATACTTGCCGTCAGAGGCAGCATTGAGCGCTTCTCTCAGCTTGAGCAGTTTCGTGACAGAGAGCGTGGTGGAGACGTAGTAGTGAGGGTTCTGATTCATAGATTCTCGGAGCCGTGTAGCGATGGTCTTGCGCATCGAGCTCGCGGGAATGTCCTCATAGGTCGGGCCGGCTGCCGCGGCTGGCGCAGCGCCTGCGGCAGGTTTGTATTTCTCAATATCCGACAAGGTGATCCGACCACCTGGCCCTGTACCTTTAATTGACTTGATGGGAACGCCTTTCTCAAGAGCCAGCTTTCTCACCGCTGGGCTGAGAGTAGGTTCTCTGTCAAGGACCGACTGCAGTTTCTCGCCTGTTGTGTCGGCCTCCTTAGCCTCGGGCGCAGGCTCCTTTGAACCGCTGGGTGGTGCTGTCTCTGATCCTGAATCTGGAGCCTCTGAGGCCTCGGAGCTCTCCTCCTTCGGCTGTTCTTTGGGGGGTGCCTTTTCACCACCGGCATCATCGAGTGTGAACGACTCGAAATCGGAGATATCCGTGCCTTCTTCGACCATAATAGCAATAGGCTGTGCCATTGTTAGCAGATCCCATTGGAGGTTTGTCGGACGCTTACATTTCCAACCGCCACATCTTTCTCTCCCGTCTCTTTGAGAATCTTAGCCAGAACACCTTCTTCTTGAAACTCGAAATCCATCTGAGCCTTGTCGGTTTCAATCTCCACGAGGACGTCGCCAGGTGCTAGAGTATCTCCGGCCTTCTTCTGCCATGCACCAATGTTTCCCGCGGTCATCGTTGGTGAGAGCGCAGGCATGCTGATGACGGTATGAGGTGGAAAGGCTGTGACTGGGGTCAGCCGCGTCCGCTCTCACGAATGATCACAGATGGAAAGCGCACATTTGGATGCATAGTAGCGACCGAGCACGGATAAGCAGGGCAAGGTCTGAGATCTAAATGCGCGTGTTAGCTTCGGCATGCGTCCTCCGGACAATGTAAACCATACACTGCTACATTTTGTAGTCTTTGCACCGGGCTTCTGGTGAGCCTCAGGTTCGTGGAAGACTGGAGGAGGAGCCGTGACCCCGACCGGGAGAGCAGCGTTGAGGTCGCCATTGGGGAGGACCAGAAGCGGCGGAAAGGGGGAGTAAGAAACCCAAACCCAGAAGACGAGTAGAGTAAAGGAGCGACGGGGAGGAAGGGAGACAGGAAGGGCGCCCTAATGGGAGAAGTCGTCCTTCGCAATGAGCTTGCGTGAGGTGAATTGTTGAAGGACACCCAGCTTGTAGAAAATGTATATGTTGAGCACGGTCGACTCCACCCGGAATCCGAAGTGATGGCAGGCCAGGGAGAATCACCGCGAGCAACAAGCTCCGGGGATCCAATCGATGGTCCCCAAGGCCGCCCGAAAAAGAGCACAGCTGGAGCTTAGTAACTAACTCCTCCGCGCCGCGTTCGCCTGGGCGTCAAATGTCCGCCTGAAGCAGCGCGGCAGCGCCTACGGTCTCTGTGGTCCACTGAAGGCACGGGCTCTCACGCTCTCCGCGCAGCACGTTACTTTGTACAGATATACACAGACACCGGATATTTACCTGAACCAAGAACCAGAGCACTGTGCATTGTACTTCAACCACAATCGCGAGACTGTCATAACAAAGGCTGAGCAGATTTGCCTCTGCAATGTTTCCGGCATTCCCATACAGTTCTAGGTGATCCCGAGCGCTCGATCTCTCCAGTAATCCTCGTTCCAGCGCCCTCATGTCTGGAGTCGAGAACGAGCCGCCGCAAACCGAGCATACAGACCACGTCGAGAATCCAGAACTCGCATCGGAACAAGAGGCGAATGTTGGGAACACCGTGGGTGTACATCCACACTCGGAGGTTGATGATCAGGATATCCCACCGAGTCACGGAGTAACCATCACTGTCGAAGATGCCGATGCTGAAGATGCACGGCAGGAGGAGGATCCAGGCGAGGCGGCCTCTGAAGATAACGCCTCGGTAGTGACGGAATCGGAGCAGGACTCTGAGCAGAGTTCGAGGTTCCAGGAGGGGACAGGGGACGCTCCGCCATCTCCAGGTGTCAAGGATGCGCCCAGGCATGCTGCGGAGGACGACCGGGGAGCACACAACGCTGACCCGGCTCAGCAACAGGACGGACAAGCTCAGCAGGCCATGCACACTGACACACAAGCGGAACCTTCTCCGGAGACTTCACTACCAAAGCCCACGACAACGTCACGGCCCCTTCCCGTCAGCTCCACGGTCTTCGTGGTCAGTGCCCTTGAAACAATTGGGGCAGCCAAGGAGGTCCGTAAGAGTAAGGACTTCACAGATGCGGTTCAAGCCGCTCTGGCAAATATCAAGAACACGGAACAGGCTGTTAATCCCGAGGTCATTTTCCGACCGTTGCAGATGGCGACGAAGTCATTCAATATACCTCTGCAGGTTACTGCTTTGGACTGCGTCGGAAAGCTGATCAGTTACTCCTATTTCGCCTTTCCCGTCGTGGCCACAAGTCAATCTCGCTCGGCAGATACTCCGCCTCTTATCGAGAGGGCGATCGAAGCCATCTGTGATTGTTTCGAGAATGAAGCCACTGCCGTTGAAATCCAACAGCAGATCATCAAGTCCCTGCTTGCAGCCGTCCTCGATGACAAGATCGTCGTCCATGGTGCCGGCCTCCTGAAAGCCGTCCGACAGATATACAACATCTTCATCTACTCCAAGTCGAGCCAGAATCAGCAAGTCGCTCAGGGCTCGTTGCTTCAGATGATCGCGACCGTTTTCGAGCGTGTCCGAGTCAGGCTGGACTTGAAAGAGGCTCGAGTGAGAGAGACCAACGAGGCAAAGTCTGAGGAAGCGCTTTCTACGGACGCATCCATGTTCGGCCAGGGAGAGGCGGACGGGCCAAACGGACAGGTCGACACTCCGGACCAAGAAACTCCACCTCAGCTCGGGGAGGGCTCGGCCGCTGGCCAAGAGAAGTTGACGTTGCAGAGCTTCGAAAACAACAAAACCCTGGATGATGCAATTGTCGCCGACAGCGCTCCCACAACCGTCACCCGTGCAAGACGAGAACGCAAGAACACCCGCAGTAGTTCTGGGCCGGTCTCCCGGTCGAGCTTACAAGAAGATCGCGAGGAACCAGAAATGTCTCCAGAGGACGAAGACGATGTCTACATCAAGGACGCGTTCTTAGTATTCCGTTCGCTTTGCAAATTAAGCCAGAAAGTCTTGACCTATGATCAACAACAGGACCTCCGATCTCAGAACATGCGTTCCAAGCTCCTCTCTCTGCATCTGATATACCATGTCATCAACAACTATACAACTGTGTTCACATCCTCATTCTCCGCCATAAAAAGCGGCAATAATACAGAGCCAACGCCGTTCCTCCATGTGGCCAAGCCTCACTTGTGCCTGAGTTTATCCCGCAATGCTGCCAGTTCAGTGCCGCGAGTCTATGAGGTTTGCTGCGAGCTGTTCTGGCTCTCATTAAAGCATCTGCGCGTTCTGTTGAAAAAGGAGCTCGAAGTTTTTCTGAAGGAAGTCTATCTCGCTGTTCTCGAGCGACGCAGTGCTCCCCTGTTCCAGAAGCAGATGTTCATGGATGTTCTAGAAAGATTATCTGGCGATCCACGTGCTTTGGTCGAGATCTACCTTAACTATGATTGCGACCGAACCGCCCTGGACAATATGTACCAGCAAATTATCGAGCACCTCTCCCGCATTTGTAGCACGCCTGTGGTGGTCACAGCCATCCAGCAACATCAGTACCAAGAACAGCAGGGAAAACCGTCGGCGCCTGTGTCAGAGTGGCACTCCAGAGGCGCGTTACTCCCTGGCTTGTCAACAGCAAGTCTCGGCCAGCCTCCTCCCCCTCCGCCAGCAATACCTGTCGAGTACGCCTTGAAGCAACAATCACTCAGGTGTCTGGTGGAGATTCTACGTTCCCTCGACAACTGGTCGAGCCCAGGAAGTCCAGAACAAGTTAATGGATCTCGCTACCCGGCTTCGAGGGGGTCGTATGAAGACTCAAGAGAGTCTCTGGATAACAGTGAGAAGCCTCCGGCCTCGCCCCGTGTTGCTCGGTTTGGCAGTGAATCAGGCGTTTCTACTCCAGTGGCCGAAGATGATCCCAGTGAGGTCGAGAAAGTCAGAATGCGGAAATCCGCAATGAATGAAGCAATCCGCCAATTTAACTTCAAGCCAAAACGTGGCATAAAGGCCCTCTTGGCCGAGGGTTTCATACGTAGCGACACGCCACAAGACATCGCAAAGTTCCTGGCGTCGAATGACAGGCTAGACAAAGCGATGCTGGGAGAATACCTTGGAGAGGGCGACGAACAGAACGTGGCCATCATGCACGCATTTGTTGACTTGATGGACTTCACGAAGCGGCGGTTCGTGGATGCTTTGAGGCAGTTTCTACAAAGCTTCAGACTCCCAGGAGAGGCACAGAAGATTGATCGATTCATGCTCAAGTTCGCGGAACGATATCTCACTGGCAATCCAAACGCCTTTGCCAATGCCGATACTGCTTATGTACTTGCATATTCGGTCATTATGCTGAATACCGATCAACACAGCTCCAAGCTGAAAGGACCCAGGATGACTGTCGAGGATTTCATTAAGAACAACCGGGGAATTAACGATGGCCAGGATCTGCCTTCGGAGTATTTGAGTAGCATCTTCGATGAGATTTCTCACAACGAGATTGTTCTCGCATCCGAACGAGAGCACGCCGCGGAGTTGGGTATTGCAACTGCCACTCCGGCCGTCGGTTTTGCATCGCGAGCTGGGCAAGCCCTTGCCAATGTCGGCAGAGATTTACAGAAAGAGAAATACACTCAGGCTTCAGAAGAAATGGCAAACAAGACTGAACAACTATACCGGAGTTTGATTAGAGCGCAAAAGCGTTCGGCAGTCCGAGAGGCTCTTTCGCGATTCATCCCGGCGACCTCGATCAAGCACGTTGGACCCATGTTCAATACAACTTGGATGTCTTTTCTCTCGGCATTTTCCAGCCAAATGCAAGATGCACAAAATCTTGACTTAATCAGGCAGTGCTTGGAGGGCCTAAGATTGGCAATCAGGTTATCTTGCCGGTTCGACTTGGAGACACCCAGAGTGGCCTTTTTGACGGCTCTTGCTAAATTCACGAACCTCGGAAACCTCAAAGAGATGATGGCTAAGAACTTGGAGGCACTCAAAGTGCTCATCGAGGTTGCATTGACCGAAGGCGAAGTATTGAAAAGCTCTTGGCGAGAGGTTCTGATGTGCATCAGTCAACTTGATAGGTTGCAACTTCTTTCGACGGGTGTTGATGAAGGTGTTCTGCCAGACGTGACACGCGCGAATGTCCATACGCCGTCTGGCTCCACAAAGGAGAACAGCAGGAGCCGGCGATCTATGCAGACTGTCAAACGACCACGACCACGGTCCGCACACAGCTTCCGGCCAGAGGTCGCAGACGAGACCAAGTCGACGGACATGGTCCGCGGCGTAGATCGCATCTTCACCAACACTGCGAAGTTATCATCTGAGGCAATTGTCGATTTTGTCCAGGCATTGACCGATGTCAGTTGGCAAGAGATTCAGTCCTCTGGCAACACTGAATCACCGAGGATGTACAGTCTTCAAAAGCTGGTTGAGATCAGCTACTACAACATGACCCGAGTCAGGATAGAATGGACCCGTATCTGGGAGGTTCTCGGCGAACACTTCAATCAGGTTGGCTGCCACAACAACACGGCCGTGGTATTTTTCGCACTCGATTCGCTTCGCCAGCTTTCTATGCGATTCATGGAAATTGAAGAGCTACCCGGCTTCAAATTCCAGAAAGACTTCTTGAAGCCGTTCGAATATGTCATGTCAAATAGCACAGTGGTTACTGTCAAAGACATGGTCCTGAGATGCTTGATTCAGATGATTCAGGCTCGCGGAGATAACATCAGATCCGGCTGGAAGACCATGTTCGGTGTCTTCTCCGTTGCCGCCAGAGAACAGTACGAAGCAATCGTCAACATCGCATTCGACTATACGACCCAGATCTACAACACACGATTCGGCGTTGTCATCTCTCAAGGCTCGTTCCCGGATTTAATCGTCTGTCTTACCGAATTCTCCAAAAACCTGAAATTCCAGAAGAAATCGCTCCAGGCCATCGAACTGCTCAAATCAACTGTACCAAAAATGCTGAAGACTCCGGAATGCCCACTGTCAAGGCGTCATGGAAGAGTCTCGCAATCCGAGGCGTCCGACGTGGTTGCCGGAGTGAAGCAGCCGACCTCGCAGACAGAGGAAGAGCAGTTCTGGTATCCGGTGCTGATCGCGTACCAAGATGTGTTGATGACCGGAGACGACCTCGAAGTACGGTCAAGAGCGCTGACCTATCTTTTCGAGACGCTCATCAGATACGGCGGCGACTTCCCCATCGAATTTTGGGACACGCTCTGGCGGCAATTGCTGTACCCGATCTTTGTCGTGCTGCAAAGCAAATCGGAGATGTCGAAAGCCCCTAACCACGAAGAGCTGTCGGTCTGGTTGTCAACGACGATGATCCAGGCGCTCAGGAACATGATTACTCTTTTTACGCATTACTTTGACTCATTGGAGCATATGTTGGACCGGTTCCTAGATCTCCTCACCTTGTGTATATGTCAAGAGAACGACACGATAGCCAGGATTGGAAGCAACTGTCTCCAGCAGCTCATTCTACAGAACGTGACCAAGTTCTCCCCAGAACATTGGTCGAGAATTGTCACTGCGTTTGTGGAGCTGTTCAACAGGACGACCGCCTACGAGTTGTTCTCCGCTGCGGCCACCATGTCAGATGCTCGACCAACTCCGGCACAAGATGGTGCTGAGGGGCTCTCCATCTCCGGCACCACGATCGTCGAGACGCCAACAACGAACGGCACACCTGCATCCTTCCACGAGCCGAACTCGTCCACAGAATCCCAAGTATCCTCGGCACCCACTCCGGAGATTCCCCAAGGAGACACGACACAAGTCCTAGAAGACTACAGGCCTCACCAAGATATGCAAGCTCCCGCCCCGGTTGTGACGGCTGCCAGGCGCCGCTTCTTCAACAAGATCATCACAAACTGCGTCCTCCAGCTCCTCATGATCGAGACAGTCGCAGAGCTCTTCTCGAACGACTCCGTGTACGCCCAGATCCCTTCGCCGGAACTACTACGCCTGATGGCATTGCTCAAGAAGTCGTACCAATTCGCCAAGAAGTTCAACGGGGACAAGGACCTACGCATGGCCCTTTGGCGACAAGGATTCATGCGCCAACCGCCGAATTTGCTCAAGCAAGAGTCCGGCTCGGCAAACACATACGTGAGTATCTTGTTGAGGATGTACCACGACGAAGGCGAAGAGAGAAGGTCGAGTCGCGACCAGACAGAGGGTGCTCTGATACCGTAAGTCCTGCCACAAATCACTCCACGGCTTCGATACGCTAACTTATGGCCAAAAAACCAGTCTCTGCGCCGACATCATCCGCTCCTTCATCCTGCTTGACGAAGAAACCCAACAACGCAACATTGTCGCCTGGCGCCCTGTCGTGATCGACGTCCTGGAGGGGTACACCAACTTTCCGCGCGAATCATTTGATCAGCACATTGAAACCTTTTATCCCCTTGCCGTCGGCCTGCTCGAGAAGGACATGGGCTCGGAACTCCGCAGTGCGTTGTGGGGCCTCTTCCGCCGCGTCGGCGAGGTCAAGTTCAGCATGCCGGAGTGGGTCGGCAGGGAGAGGGACGGGAGTATCAGTTCCGTGACCGAACGCGACAGGAGGAACGGGAGTGTGAGTGCCACGCCGACGAGTCCGAGTATGTCGAGCCGCGGATTTGAGGTCTCGAGTCACGGCGGGGGCGGGAGGAGGGGCAGTCGAGTTGGTAGCAGGATAGGCTCGATATGAGGTAGTCAGCACTGTTGCTGAAGTGAGTTCAACTGCTTTGCCTCCTTTTTGTGTTACTTCAACAGGCAAGGAAGCAGGGAAGCAAGCAGGAAACCCTCTGGACCCTTGTAGTAACTCATATCAACAGTCCGGCCAGGGGAAATGGCGCTTCGAACGTGGAATCCCGGTCCCGGCGACATCTTCATCAACTATCTCGTTGTCATTAAGAATTTTCGTGACGCTACTTGCCTCCCCCTTCCTCGCCCGTGCACGTCGAGTCAATCTCGTCGACGTCACCTCGACGGCGGCACGACCTTCCTCTTCAACCACCCGCAGAAACTCTCGAAAAGCACCGCGTCATGGCCTTGCAAATGGCGGATATGGACGCGGACAGTTGGCTTGGACCGCGTGTGCGTATTGGCAGGAGGAGGATGGGATGTCTTGATCGAGATTCTCGCCACGAGCGCCGGTTCTGGCTCGGTTTCTTCTTCTTCCTCCTCGGATTCAGGTTCGTCCTCGTCGGACTCGGACTCTCTGTCCTTCATCACCGTGTCTTCGTGTTTGTGGTTGTCGGGTCCACGACTTCTATTCGTATCAGCGTCTCGAGGCGGATCCACGGGAGCTTCGTGCGCTTTCGCCTTCCTCCTCGCTTTTCGGCTCCACACGTCGCCTTCCCGGGCCATGAGCATGCCTATTCGCCTCGTGGTGTCGAATTTCCACGCCACGCCGTCCAGTGTTTTAATCTCGCGGATCACTTTCTCGACCACACTTCTGGTGGTTCCGTTTCCGTCTCCATATTTATCCCCATCCCCATCTCCCACATCGCCTTCGACTTCACAATCAAACTCCATCTCCGATAGCGGCGGCAACCACTTCCTCTCGACGCCACTCCCGCCGCGCACACCTCTCGCGACACCGACACCCGGCCTGAACCGCATCCAACTCCACGCGACACACCATCGCCGCGTCTTCTGGCCCTGCACGAACTCGGTGACCGCAAGGTTCGAGCACCCTTTGTCCCTCAACTGCGTGACGACGGTCCCCACACTGCTCAACTTGCCCAGCATGGCGGAGAACCACTGGATCCTGCGTCTTATCGCCACGTGGGCGGACTCGCATATGAGTTTTCCCACGAACGCCACCTCGCCTCCGGGGGTGATCATCTCGACGGCCGAGCCCGTGCAGCTCGAATTGGGGGGCCGAGATTTCTGGCTTGCCGATCCCAGAAGCTCCGCCTCGGACGAGTAGAATGGCGGGTTCGTTACCAGGACGTCGACTCTGTCGAAATGCTTCAAGTGAGAGGATGGGATAAGTTTTGCGCCGGTACTGTCCGTGTCGATCATGCGGATTCGTGTGGCCAGATTGTTCGCCGAGATGTTGCGCTGGGCGTAGTGGCGGTTTTTGTCGTCGATTTCCGTGCACAGGAAGCGCCAGCTCGGTCGTTGGGCGCAGGCCAAGAGCGGGTAGATTGCCGAGGAGCCTGTTCCGCTGTTCACGAGCAGGGAGGTTAGCCATGCGAGGCGGTGTGGTGCGATGCCACGGGAATGAGACAAAGGCGGCTCCACGAGCGCGTAACAGCAGACTTACTCACATGTCGAGGCCGAGAACCTGTCTCTCGGGATCATATCCCTGGTGGAAATCGGGCGACGTGTCGTCTAGGAGACGTTGGATGAACAGGGTGTAGTTGAACCGGTTGGGCACCGGAGGACATAGTCTATCGTCCGGCAAGTCGATGGCGAGGTTGAAGTCCCGGTGGAGGAGACATTTCGTCAACTGCCTCACACTTTCGGGGTCGGAAAAGTCGAGTTGGCGATTCGGTTTGAGCCTGTCGTCGGCACGAAGGTAGTTAGTTTAGGTTGTCGTGGTCGAAGATGCTTTCAGTGGTTGGCCAAACATCCACCTTTTTTTTCTTTTACTCTCATCTCCCTTCATGCCCCCCCCCTTTTCTATATGCGGGCTTTGAACACAAGGACGACTATCTACATACCCTTTTCATGACATTCGTCTTTTCACACGATATGGTCACTATTAGGCGAAAGGACGAGGAAAGCCCACTGACCGCCACTGGCATACCCGCCTCTGGAAACATAAAGAGAAAGCCAGAACATACCTCTTTGCAAACTCAGGATACTGGAGTGCCAGGGTCGTGAAGTCAACGTCATCCTCGTAGATGTTGTCTGGGGCTGGCATTTTCGCGCATATATCTCATCCTGCCTGCCTGCCTGCCTGCCGGGACTGTGGTCAGGTCTGGCAGTGTCGGTGTGGACGTTGACTAAACGGTGCGGACGATCACTACAGTCACGGTCGGAGAGGTGCTGCGTACCAGTCAAGACATCAAGATCAAGGAGAACGTCAGGTAGATATAGAGGCACCAGAGGGACGAGACATTCAGTAATTGGGACCCAGTGTGCCTTGCGATGGGCAGCTGAGATCCGAAGAGGAAGAGAGACAACCAATCAGGGAAGGGACAAGGGCACCCCAATCCATACCTACAGGAGGTATTCCATACACTGCGGGTTCACTATTAATGGGTCTACTGTGAACATCTACGAGGGATTAAGTATATGTAAGCGAAAGCGCTGTAGGCGTCCCAGCCAGAATCAGATCTGTTTCTACACAGTATGAGCCAGGCCCAGTCGTAGAGGGGGGAAAACCGTAGCCCACGGGTTTATCCTAGAGCTCATCCTTCAGAGAGAGCGAGTCGATGGCATGTACTCCGTGCGATTTTACAGTAGAGGAAGGCGTTCTGCGCGCGATACAACTGACAAATTGTCCCTTCAACAAAGTTATGATCCATCAAAACGCGGAGACATGTAGTCGCGGGCTCGGCCATGAATGGTTGTTGTTCCTCTCCGACACCCCTCGTTTGGGCCCTGCTGGGGAAGAAGAGATGCTTGAGGAAGATCTTCCGGTCATACATACCATGCGGGAAGGGATAATGGTGATGGTGATCTAGCCAGTATCGGCATCCAGGAGATTTCGCATGTACAGGGGTGGTACTGGTCACTGCATCAAAGATAGAAGTGCCTCTGTGGTATATCGATGGAACACTTCATACCCTTTGTATGTGTACCTGACTGGGTATGTCTCTGTCCACCCACTGTCATTACGAGGTTTCATAACAACATCTGATACCAATGAAGCGCACAATGGAATGAGCACCTTAAGTTTCGACTGTGTGTATTTGTAGCTGAACAAGGACATCATCCCAACCCAGCATACCCCGTAAACCTGCGTCAAAAGCGCAGTGACTGAGAACCCATGGGTATAAAGGCGAGTCAAGTCGACTGAACTCATGGACTAATGCGAATCTTCAAGGCCAACTCGAGTCTCAAAACGCCTCCGATGACCGACCCAAGACAATCGTAACTCATTTCATCCCATCCTGTTTCCCAATGTTCCAACCACCAAAAGCAAATACTGAGCTGTACATGTGCAATCCCGACCGGCCCCTGACCTGCTTTCCTGCAGCAAGTGGAAGTCTCGCAACTCTTTCAGATGTCACTCTCTGGGCCTCACTTAATGTTTCTTTACCAGCACAGCCTCATACAAGCTCACGGCGGCGCTCAGCCCGGAGCTTATCACAATTGCGAACCACCCGCCCAAAATACTCTCGTTGACGGTTGCCACTGTAAAGTGCGTGTACAACCCGCTCAAGGTAAGATGGTTCGCATACACCAGGTACGCAATCAGCCCCTTTGCCAGACTGAAGATGAATGGGTCAAACTGCATTTGCGTGTTGGCTTGCAGGGCCGCCTGGCGCGTCGAGTAACTATGGCTTGGGTGCGCCTTCAGCGGCAGGTTGATGAAGTACGAGATGATCGCTGGTAAGATGAGGGAAGTGAGAGACCACAGAGAGAAGGGCGCCCAGAATTTCGACTCCAGGAGGAGGAAGAGATCTGGGACCAGTATCGGTGTCGGCGTCGACTTCACGTAAGGTACGGCGGGAATCTGAGTGAGCAGCTTGTTGGGAAGGATCTGAGCTCGTAGGCCGTATGCTTCCAGCAGAATGGCGAGCACTGTGACTGTCAAAGGCGATGAAAGTAGTTCTCGCGACGCATCGGCGGTCCTATGGATCTGCGTTCGATCATAGGCATGTGAGATGGATGTCCTGATGCGACGCGCCTGTTGATCGATCACGTCTGTGACTACGGCGGGCGAAGGTGGTATGGGTATTTGAGATGCCAGGATTGAGGTCCGGCGAGCAACTTCTTTGGCTGGTGTCTTGACGAGAGCACTGACCAGCGGCTCTTCTTCTCTGCTTCGACATGTTAGCCATATGCTCACGGACAGAGGCCTGGGCGCGATACGTACGTCGAGTCGCGTATGTCATTTGGCGAAGTCGTTGTTTTGCGCCTCGGTTTCTTCACAGGAGCCGGCGCGTCGTCGTCTGATTTCAGAGTCTCGGTGACTTTCTCAGCGATGGTCTTCTTCGTGGGCGATCGTGAGCTGCCGCCCAAGCGCTTGTAGTACTCGCTCAATGAAGGATCTTTGCTGTATGTGGTTGAGTTGGCGCGCAGGTGCTCGTCAAGGGCGACTTCGAGCTCGGCTTTCTTCAGATGCGCATAACTGTGGTCGCGCACAAGTTAGCAACAATGCGCGACACAATGCGACACAGAATGAGCGCGTGCAAGGGTGGTGCAGTAAGGGCGGTACATACTCGGCCAACTTGGTCGTTTCTGCGAATTCGGTGAGGTCGCTTTTGCGAAGTTTTTGTAGATATGGAAGACCTGACATGGTGGCAGAAGTGGTGCGTCTCCGCGACGTGCTCGTAGATATGTTGAACAGTGTGTTGTTGTGAGGACGGGACCAATGCGGTAGTGTTATCACGGGAAACTGTAACTGTCCAAGATGAAGAGCGGGCGGTGGTGGAGGAGGCTGGGATGGTGGAAGGGCACCTAAGCAGATCCGGGAGATAAATGCAAGTGGCTGGGGGAGCAGCTGCCGGCGTCCCTAACAGCTCGCCCAAGGAAGCCTAGCCCAGGCGTGTATGTAAACAACGTCCCCCAATCTGGCCTTAGCTCGTCACCACGGTCACCACGGTCGCCAACTTGGGAGGCTATGGAGCGTGATTGGTCGTGCACAGATTGAGAAGAGATGTGTGTGAGCTGTTGGAGTAGAACGCGCCTCGTACCCGGCTAGGCTTGGAATGAACGAGAAGTGAGGCTCGAGTGAGCCCGTCAACAGTCGCGGGGTGCGCGGTGCACCTGGATCACGGTGAAGCTCGAAGCTTTCGAGATGCAAGACACAGCACCCGCCTGATGACGTAGTGAGGGCCTGACAACTCCCACCCAACCCCGAGATGACTCCCTCCATAGCAATCCCGAAGTAAGAAGAGCCGTATGAATACCTTGATGTGTACGGAGTGCTCCATAGGCACATTCGTTTTGGACTTCCAAGGGATGGTTTTCACTGAGAGATTTCCGGGTCTGACTCGTTCCCAGCCGTTTGCACATAACTCCTACGAGGTACAATGTAGCTGAGTGAGGAGCCGAATGACGCAGCCTTGCCTCCGCCAACGCTTACTCTAGAGTTGCACACCAAGCCGACATTCGAATCCGTCACCTTTGAGCATAATATTCAGCACCTAGACACGAACATGATGTGGCCCTGGATAATCCCTCTCACATTTTGAATCATCTCCATCCGTTCAGCTGCATCTCGCCAAGCATCGTGACTTTGTTTTCTGGTCAGCTGCCAGCGGTCATGCCTGATCTGTGCCTCGCCCTCTTCCTCACCTTGCCGTTCCTGCATACTCGTACCCATCCATATTTGCCTTTGGCCTGACCAATCGCACTGTCATATGGTTCGAAGTAAATATCGTTCCTGCCTTTGCCGCTCTTTGAGTCCTTTTATTTCATATCATGGCTCCGCCAGACCTGAACTCCCTCCCTCCTTCAAGATCAACTTCTTCCTCTCCCATGCAACCCCGCTCGATGCAGACCGCAAGCCTCCCACCAAACCGCAACCAGACTCCCTCACCGCGGAGCTCGTCCATATCCCTTGCGGCCGCCGCTGCGACAAATGCAGCGAATGAATCACGGCGCTCTTCTCTGAGCAATAGAGGCTCACCCCGGCTAGGCCGTATGCCGTCCGATCGCCGTCGCTCACAGGTCGCCATGAACATCAGCCTGAACGACCCTACCATCCCGAGTCCGGGCGAACTATCAAGCAGCGACTCCCGGGCTGGTCTTGGTCACAGCTACGCCTTAGCGAGCCCTCCCACTATCGGCGGAAGATCAGCCATCGCGACTGGCGACCCTCACCACCAACGACAGCCTAGTCTGGGTGAAATCCACAATGAGCTGGAACAAGAGCAGGAAGCACAGGTGAACCGCATGCTACAGATGATCCGAGACCAACAGCTCCAACTTGAGGCTCTACGAAGCAGTCAAGGTCAGAATGGCACTCACTCTCGACAACCGTCACAGCCAAACTCCGCTTTGCCCGGTAACAACAATACAGCCGTCGTGGACGACGAGACTCCTGCGTCCGAACGATCGTTATCTTTCCCTTCGATCCATCCCGCCGTACCAGCCGTCCCGCCACTGACTCGACGCATCTCTCGTGGCCCTTCGAGCGCCAGCCGTTCGCCAGCTTTGCGGCCGATGCTAGGCCAGGAGTCCAGCATCAGCACCGCCGTTAGCGGCGACTGGCCTCCCTCGCCTGTGGAGAGTGTCAGCACCGCCCGCAGGAACAGTTTCCGCGACGAAACCGCCTACTACCAAGCAGAAACCGCAAACCTTACCCGTGAGAATCAAATGCTCAGAATGCGGATACGGGATTTGGAGCGGCAGATTAGTGATTTGAGTGCCTCACCCAGGAACACTCCGGCTACTCCGTCAAATTTGGCCACGAGCCCGCCAGTCCAGGGCTCTGACGTAGCCGACGCAGAGGCTTCTGCAGCAGCTGCGGTGGCGAGAATGACTGCCGAGCCGGAGAAGATTTGAAGTGGACGTGACATGGGATTCCGTTGTTTCGAGCATTGCCGGTTTTCTGGGATTGTATGATCTATGTACCACTACGAACAAAGTGCACTGCACGGACACTCCAAAATGACGGAAAGGGAGGATACCGTTTCTGCAGGGCAGGCGCACTGGCAGACTCCAGCACGACCAGATGTGCAACGGTCGGGAATACCAGGTCTTCGGAATAAGTGATGGGAACGGCGTTCCAGGCAGGGGCCAGCATGGGATGGCGTTATCGGGAACAGTAACCAGCCCAGCGGCTATGAAATTCGGGGCATGGCTGGCTGGCTAACTCTTATTCCTACCGTCATTGATATTATCACCCCTTTTTCTTTTCTACAAAGCGATCAGCGCCGTGCGCTTTTAAGCCGACCGACGATTCCAAGGCAGCATGATCAATTTTCTTTGGTGGCGAGAAACAAGGCTGAACCTCTCAACCGGTTGAAGGCGAACCAAGAGCGTGTCTATCTCCCGCTTCCCGAAGAAAGGGCGGAATGCGTCAGAGTTGGACGGCACCCTCCTTCTGCAGTTGACGTTTCATCCCAATTGAGCTCAACAGAGTAGCTGATTCACGCCCTACTTCCCACAACCATGCGAAAGCCCGCCCCGAGTTGCCCCCGAGTCAGGCCCCTCAGGCCCCTGTTCCAGTAATTTGTAACCAGCCGCTCGACAACCTATCCGACAGTGCTGGGTGAAACGAAAAAAAAGGTCAATTCTGTAAATCTCTCAAGAAGAGACACGTCCGAGAGTGATACCTAAAAGACAAAAAAAGTCAGTTCTGTAAATCTCTCAAGAAGAGACACGTCCGACAGTGATACCTGAAAGAAAAAGTCAATTCTGTAGTTCGCTCAAGATGAGACGCCTCTATATGCTCATGATCTAATTTCCTTGGACCCAGAATTGTCAAAACCTCGAAATGTCAGTCGGCGGATCGTGACAAGGTAAAAACCACGATCGGGAAAAACCACACGCTTCACCATCACGCGGTTCTCTCGTGACCACTCCTACCTTCCTTGCCTTTCCTCTTGTGCACCTGGTTCTCATGCCAAATGCTCCATCCACAACAGACCACGCCCAGCACCGCCGCGCCGAACGTAACCCAATAAGCCGACCTATAGCACTGGTTCCCCAAAAGACACTCCATGTGCCCCGCATCGTCGTTCTTTACGGAGTGGGCGTCATAGATCTTGCCATAAAGCAGGTTAAACACGTTGCCGGACACGACGGGCGCAAGGGTCATGGTGCCCCAGTTCTGGGACAGGCCGTGGACGCCAAAGCAGTGGGCCACCAAGGAAGGGTACACGCCAAAGAGGATGCCGTAGGCGAGCCCCGTCAGGCTCGACACCAGTACGAGGTAGTATGGGTGTGTGACGGCCGTGGCGACGATCTGGGTGACGCAGAAGATCAGGGCCGACGCGAACAGGCACCAGAAGCGGGAGCGGTTGAGCTTCGAGACGAGCATGTCGGAGCCGATGCCGGAGAGGAGGCGGCCGCTGAAACTGCAGAAGGAGAGGATCGAGACGTGCATTGCTTGGCGGGATTCGATGAAGGAGGAGGGCGTGCTGGGGTCGGCGTGTTTCCAGAGGGCGAGGGCGTCGTTGCCGATATTGCTATATGGAGTCCCTCGTTAGTAAATGGTCATGAGAGATCGCGTTGAAGGAAGGGGAAGTATTGGGCGATTCTGCACGTCGAGGACGCGAGGCTCCGAAGCCGGTACATACTTGATGGTCATTAGCCCGACGCCAGTCAGCAGACCCATCATGATGAATAACTGCCAGAACTCAGGGTGCGGGAGCAGAGCGAAGCCTCGGACGTCTAGATGCGGGTGCTCGTGGTTTCTATCAGATTCGAGATGCTTTGAAGCTTCGAGGTCTTCGGCGGCTTGTTCTTGGGTGGAGGTTTTGGAAAGGAGCGACGCTTCTTCATCCCCAGTATGGTGCGACTCGGGCTCAGAGGAAAAGGACTCGTCGTCCCGGTGGGCGTCTGAGGAATGGGTCTTGGGCGCACCTGGTTCTTCGTAGTGACTCCCCGATGGTCTGGTCCGGTGGAGGACTTGGTGTTCATGTTCAGGGACGTGTTGGTAGGTGTGGTGTGGAATGACGCGGACGAACGGGAAGGAGAGCAGAGGCAGCAAGACGGTGCCCGTCGCGAGGAGGATGAGGAAGTTGTATGTGCCGCCGGGGAGTATTTGCGCAAGTGCGGCGAAGAACAAGGCACTCAGCCCGAAAGCAGCCAGGGGGAAGGCCGTTGCTGTTCCTCTCGACTCGGGATAGTTGAGGGCGGCAGCTTTGATGGAGGCCGTGAATGCTGAACAACTGCCCGCACCGGTGAGGAAGGAGAACACACATATTACCGGAATGCTGTATTGCCCCGGCCCCGCCTCATAAGCTAGAATCCAGTCAGCTGGAGGCCCGGTCATCCCCAGATCCAATGGTACCTTTGGCAATGGGATAGTAGCCGGCAGCGAACAGTACGATGCCCAGCGTCAGACCCCATCGTGGCCCTTTCGCGTCGACCATCATGCCTGAGGGTATCCCAAAGGCATACATGCCAAAATTCCCCAGATTGCCCTGCGTTCATGCGTATATCAGTACCTCATCCTTCTCTTGCAGTTGCATCGGAACTTGCATACAATGAGGTTGCTGTCTGTAGCGGTCAACTTGAGCCGGGATGCGAAGCTGGGGCCCCATATCGAGTAGCCATACTAGGTCCGAGTCAGTGCCAGTTCTCAGTAGCGGGAGGGGTGGGTGAGCGAGCGGACATACATTGGAACCACAAGCCAGTGCGGTGACGGTACAGGCGACCACGGTTATGATGCGGGCCTTCTTGAGGTCTGAGGGCATCAAGATCATTTTGACTCTGTCCGGTGGGAGACCGGTATGGTCACCTCGTCATGTTGGATATAAAGACGAGCGAAGATAACGGCCGGGGAGAGGCCATTGAAGTGGGTGGATGAGATGATATTGGATATCGGCATTTGATCCGATCGCGAAACATTCGACAATCCGCAGCTCACCCTCACCACCCACTCACTGTGGCTTCAGCCAATCGGGATCCGGTGTCGTCACTGGCCGCAGCCGACGTTCCGCCATAAACAGGCGGCGTCCTGCGCCTGCGTTTCGGTTCCTGCCTTTGCCATCAACAACAACCCAGACTCAGTATCCTGCAATACAGCATAACTCTTTGAATAGAGGCCGACGGGCTCTGGCAGCTGTGCGCGGTATCGACTTCATCTGACGACAACCAGCGACGAGCACGACACCTCCGCAACCAGCCCCTCCTCAACCGCCGACATGGGCGCAGTCCTGGCGATTCCAGCCCTGCTGCTCCCTTCGGCTGCGACCTTGTGGTCGGTGGGAGCGTCGTGCTGTGGTGCTGCATCATGCTCGATGCTGTGCGGCCCTTGCGGCATGTCCAAGTTTCGATCCTCGATCGCCACCAGAATCGCATATGCCATGATTTTGCTGGTCAACAGCATCATTGCATGGATAATGCTCACACCGTGGGCCATCAAAAAGCTGGAACATCTCACCCTGGACTATATGACCTTTAAGTGCGGCTCCTCCAATTGTTACGGGTATTTCGCCGTCCAGCGCATCAACTTCGCCTTGGCACTCTTCCACCTGATCCTCGCCATCCTCCTGATTGGCGTACGGAGCACAAAAGACACTCGGGCGGGTTTACAGAATGGCTTCTGGGGTCCGAAATTGCTGGCTTGGGTTGCGTTTGTCGTCGTATCCTTCTTCATCCCGGAAGGCTTCTTTCTCTTCTGGGGAAATTACGTCGCCTACCTCGGAGCCATGCTCTTCGTGCTCCTCGGTCTTATTCTCCTGGTCGACCTTGCGCATACCTGGGCAGAGCTATGCCAGGACAAGATTGATGAAGGAGACGGCCCGAATTATCGCGTGTGGCAAGTTTTGCTTATGGGGTCAAGCTTGGGCATGTATCTGGCTGCCTTTGCCATGACCATTGTCATGTACATCTTCTTCGCCAGCAGTGGGTGCAGCATGAACATATCCGCCATCACAATCAACCTGATTCTCCTTTTCGCCATCACACTGCTCAGTGTTCAACCGACAATTCAAGACGCCAACCCAAAGGCAGGCTTGGCCCAGTCGGCCATGGTCGCGGTCTACTGCACGTACCTTACTTTCTCCGCCGTGGCAATGGAGCCTGACGACAAGCATTGCAACCCTTTGATCCGGGCCCGAGGTGCACGCACAACCACTGTGGTGCTGGGTGCCATTGTCACGATGCTCACCATCGCGTACACCACCACACGAGCGGCCACTCAAGGATTTGCCATGGGGAACAGCACCAAGAAGAACAGCTACGCTCAGCTCACGCAAGATGAATACGAGCATGGCCTGGTCAGTCAGCAACCAGCTTCACGCCGAGAGATTATGCAGGCAGCCGTGGAGAGTGGAGCACTTCCGGCCTCGGCCCTGGACGACGATTCGGACGAGGAGGAAGCGACCGAGGTCAGCTCCAAGGACGACGAACGTCAAGGGACCCAGTACAACTACACCTTGTTCCATGTCATCTTCCTCATGGCCACTTGCTGGGTCGCAACACTGTTGACGCAGAAGATGGACCCGGAGAGCTCAACTGACTTCACACCTGTCGGTCGGACGTACTGGGCCAGCTGGATCAAAATCATCAGTGCATGGGTGTGTTACGCCATCTATAGCTGGAGTTTGGTTGCACCGGTTGTGCTGGAGGGCCGAGACTTTTCTTAAGGGCCGCTGACTGGAGCCGTGTACGCCTTTTATGCTGTGAAGTGACTCATGTCCGGGATTTCCTGTTCGAGCAGTAGGTATCTCGTATAGCGGTTTTATAGGTATGGTCGAGTTAGCCAGTGTATGGCCTGCATTAGCAAACACGTTTGTGGGCTGCTTATGAACAATCCACTTCCACCGATACACACTGGTTCCACAGACCGTCTTGGCTACTTCAGGCTCTATTTGGCAAGTATACACCTTGTACGATCATAGATGCATCATGGCAGGTCGATTGCCTGCCCCTTGCGACGAGTGGGTCAACCATGGAGCATGTTGGCCCTCTGACGACCTCTGATAACCTTGGTATGGAGCGAGCTTCAAACTTTGCTAGGTACAAGTAGCTTGGACGGGCGCTTTGACTACGGAGAGGCGAAGTTCAGGGTGTGCGCACTGCTTACTTGGTAAGGCTCTGTATAAATGTGTTGCATGGTTCATACCTTTGACCTCTTCCCACGCCCTTTTAACAGCCGGCAATGATGACAAGAGCGAGCAACCGTCGTCATTACCTCTATATATGAGCAGTACAGCCGACCATCCACGTTGCAACGCTCTGGATCAGCAAACAGAAGCCTTCTATCACTTAACGCTACGGCTACGGAGCCAGCATTGGCGAATTCCTGTTGACATTGACACTGGCAGCAGGCGGCAGTTCCTTCTCCAAGCCTCGCAGACGCGCCTTCCGTCTCTAGCTGGATGTCAGCGAAGCTTCAAGAGTCGGACCTGCCATTCCAACGACGCATCACCGTCCCCTCAGAGAAAATTGACAGTGACACCTCCCCTCTGTTGCATGCAATGTATGAGCCATGTCTCCGACTACTTCAAGATGCCATACCCCATCCAGTTCGCCTCATCCTTTGTCCACTCGTTGCATTGCTACCGATCAATCAAGGAAGCAAAATGCCATTGTGACCGCGCTGAGTGAGAGTGGACAACGCTCAGAAGGGGATTCTCAGCTTCGCTTCATCGTCATGCGGTACCTAGAGCTCGAGTATACTCCAAAGTCCATCACACAAAAACACAAGAAGCAGCTCGAGAAGCTCGATCCTCCTTAGACACCTCCTGCCCGTCAATGGCATGACATTTCCCCGAAAGTTCTTTGCATTGTCGGCTCGCGTGACCGAGTCGATTGTTTGCTTGAGCATCATCGTCAGGAGTTTTGCGGTTCAACTCCTTCCCTTGTGGCAAGGAAGACCTCCAGCGGATGACAGGTCTTAGCCGTCTGGCGGCACTGCGAAGAGCTCGGGAAGCGACCCCGGACCAGCACGACCACTCATGTTTAGACTGTGATGGTCATGGCTGAAGCATGCGAGGAGGACCTTCTGTTGTCGCCTATCGCCAATAAACTGCTGATGGACCTGCTCGAATCGACCGCCGGAAACGAATTGAGGCGCTGCATCTCTCGGAGACTGGGCAATTTTGAAGGGATTCCTACAGGCATGTCTCTAAAGTCACGACTTGCCGCAGAAGTGGAAACGCGTGTGGACGTCAGCTTGCAGAGACTCCGCTGCCCATTAACTGAAAGTACTCATGCTCATCCTCGTAGCAGCTACGATGATCACGAATGAGGCACACCCGTAGAAGCTCGCCGCCTTGCAACCCCTTTGTACGGCGTCGGCGAACCTCGATCGCCGTTGCTCAAGATCGCCAGGAGTTTGATCTCCGATTGGCCGCGGGCTCGTGGCTGGGGTTGTCGCGATCGGACGACAGTGCTTCGTGAATCCCTCAACAGACGACCAGATCACTCCGTTCTCGACCGCGGACATCTCGCTCTATACTCCTCATAGGAAGAGCCTCGCATCACTTCATGCGGCGCGGGTCCGCCTCCTCCCCGCTGCAGCAAGGGACACGAAGACGCCGTGTGTCCGATTCTCCATACAAAGAAGCTGCATATCGACGCCCGGTGTGGCCCCCACAAAGTGGAGCTTGATCAACCCCTGCCGTGCAACAAGGCTGTCCGACACAACACGGCATTGGACCCTTTCAACATCACCTCGTCGTGTCTCAAGGACCTTACCAAGTTCTGGTAGACGCTATTTCAAATCCTTTGCCCAAAACACCCGGTTTTCTTACCTGCCGAGCAGATCGTCGTTGGCATCCAGCCCTCCCTGGTTCGTGGCGCAGCGGCGTCTCTCGGTTTTGAAGCACATCCATACACCGACACTTTGCTGGCCCCTGGCTGCCATTAAGAAGCACCGCAACGGAGTCGTCGAGGGGAGGCCGTGGGAAAGGATCCCATCTGGCTGGTAATCACCTAATGCGTCATGACCGTTTCGTCGGTGTCCCTGCCGCATAGCTGCACAGTCCGAGTTCCGGGATGGTCGCCCTCGCACATTCCCCCGGTCGAGGGTCTGAAGGTCTGGGCCAATCAACCGACCTGTCCTGTGCTGTCCAGTGACGTGCCCGTCCTGCAACAGAACGTCAACCGAGTTTAGTGAGCTTGACGGGCCGTTACCGAATACTCGGTTCTCCGCTTCACCCTTATGCACACTACTCGTACGAGGTACTCGGGCGAGGCAGCCGCAGGAGGACATCCAAGACATCCCTGACGCTGATCCCCCGCGACGTTGCCAATCCATCACCGCCTCTCGGTAAAAGACCAGTGCCAGCAACGCAGGGCGACCGGAGTGAACCACATACCTACATTGCTAATACGAGTGCCCCTCAAGAACCGGGGACAACTCTGTACGTGTATCGCCTCGGCCATGTAGGGCACCCGTGTATGCAAGGGCCATGGATCAAGCTCGAGCCCCTTCACAGGGACCTGAAGTCTTCTCCTGAGCCCTGCAGACTATGAGGTACACGGTTGTCGATGAGCGGCAGAATCGGCAAAGCATACAGTACAATCAACCTTTCAGGGACAACAAGATCTGCCAGCGCGGCTGTACCTAACTGGTATGAACGGGGTGGACGTCGCCGTGGTGGGTCCATGTATGCTCAACGCAACAATGGGGTTGTGGATGGCGAATGTGTCATGGTGGGATATCCCTCGGGTGGTACTCCAGGTGAACAAGCGGAGACAAAGGACTGTGTGTGTAGGATCCAGGCAGAAGCGAGTCTGGAGATACAGCACGTTTGTTTGGTAGCCTGTCTCGTCGCCAGGAAAAGTGGGTAGGGAAGGGAACAAAGAAAGGTAATTGATCCCGGCAGAATAGGAACTCGGCTAAACGACATTCCGCGACAGAAGGTACTTTAGCATAGTGTCGCTGTGTTTGATGCTGAGAAAGCTCAAAGCCAAGATCTATGAGAGTCTGCCGCCATTGCCACTGCCGTGAGGCGTCGGGTGCTGGTTCCCGTTCTCTGCTGTCTGCGTAGTTCCCTGAATAGACTGTACCTCCCATAGCTAGGTCTTGTAGGAAACCCCCCGCCAGCGCCGCGTGAACACCTAATAGCATCGTCTATGAGCCCTTCATCCGTTTCGTTGTCGTTGTCATTGTCGTTGCTGTCATCATCGATTCCAGTTCGCCGCCGAGTGTGTGCAGCCGTCAATGGCTTGAAGGCTATCCGGGCAAAGGCCGATGGACCGGTAAGGGCGTGCTAGTTATGTTAGCCATAACTCTAGGCTTGAGACTGGCGTCAATGTGACTTATCAGCAGAATGGTAGTGCTCGGCATCAAAGCAGCACAAGAGTAACAGAGTACCCGGACATGTATACAATCCTGGTTCACCACTCAAGAACGTCAATCATGGTTCACCACTCCGCGACGTCAACGGTAGTTGCGCCCCTGGGTCGCGTTACCGCCGGTCCGCTGCCTGCTGTAGTTGAAGCACGACGGGCATAGATTGTGCCCACACAGCTTGCACTGGTGGATCACGACAACGGTCGCTCTGCATTTCTGGCACGTCCATATAATGTCCGGACCATGGGGTGAATTCGCGATGATCCCGTACTGATGCCCAGGGCACTGGTCATATCGGTAACGGAAATTGATTCGGGTATTGGCTGGCTAGATGAGCGTGAAGAGCACGGGTGAGCAAAAGACTCCCAAGTGGAACGGACATATGCTGCCCGGGGAAGGGGGGACTAGAATCAGACTCACATCGGTGCTGGGTCTAGGCATCTTCGCGCTTGCTAGAGTTGTTGGGCAAGATATATTCTGATATTCGTATGGATCGATGTTTCGGTAGAGGAACGATTGCGGAAAGCTGCTGTGGTAGCGTATGCAAGAGTCTGATCTTTCCCATTGATCGACCGACGACCTGTACTTATAGCACTCTTCCCCGTTTGTCTCGAGTAGATGAGGCTCAACGACAACCATGGTGATTCATGGATGGTTGACACACATGGTGGTTGTTCACTCCATCATGGTAAACGGGGAAAGCACCGACACTCCTGTCACCTGGTCAAGAGAGTGGTAAGGTGGAATTGTGACTGCTGTGAATCGAATGAGCAAGGGGAAAGAGAATATCGAGGTGGTGACATTGTCGGGGCAAGATCCTTGACATAAAAACTTCTTCAGCGGTTTGATCGCCATTTGCAAGGGATCTTGGCCTCCAGCGGTGCACGGCCGCTATCAACTGCAATTGACCAGTTGACTGGGCAATCTCTTTCACTTTGTGACGCGAAGGGAAAGTTCGAGGGCACCATGACGAAGCGGGACTAATTCCACCCGCAGTCTAGGACGAACTCAACTCATTTTCGCTTCGAGCAGGCCTGTAGTGACGCGAGGCGGTCAGGGATCCGATCCTAAGAGATCCAGGTGTCGCGGGACAACCCGAGGTGCTGGATCAATAAGAGCCTTTTGGCATCTAGGATAAGTTTGACGCTCATTCGACAAGGCGCTGGAATAGCCGAAGTAGATGTCTCTCGTGAACGCCCACTCAAGGCGTAGCTGCGTGGGACGGTATTGTACAGAGTGCTGTGTACGGAGTGAGCTGGAGCCATTTCCGGGCGGGATGTTGTGGGGCGTCAACAAAAGCCCGTGCGATCCAACGTTCGATACTCCGACCGCTGCCATTTCGGGGAGCACAATTAAGAATTTCCAGATGCCAGCGAGAGAAGATCTGGTCGTGCGTGGCGCACCGTCACGAATTGAATCGGGGTTTCAGAGCTTCTTGGAGGAGCAAGCCGCTGAGGGGACCCAGCTGTGCCATCGTGAGGCGAGACAAGCTGCAGGCGCTAAACCCGAAGACCATAGACAGTGTAGCGAATGTCAGGCTACGAGAGCATTCCGATGATCCGGTGACGAGGGTGCGCAGGTAGCGTCGATCTTTTACCGAGAGATTCCAAGATCGAACCCTTGTGCTGGGTCCTTTAGTGCTGCCCTACTGGAAGTCAAAATCTGCCAAAAGCAAAAGCATCCTTCAGGCCCGGGAACACCTTGTCAAATATGTGCATGCGGTCCGTCTCGACGCGCAAGCTATTGATCGTGCAGCTGTGATCTTTAGCAAGCATCAAGCTGGATGTTGCGCATGGCTGCATTGTTCTTCACCCCGCTAGGGGTTCGGAGTGGCTCGAATTGCTTAAGCGCTCTACGAAGAGGTAGGCCGTGGGGGCGTCGGGGTTCAACCGGAAAACACGGCCGCTTGGATACGAGGCGCGATTCGCTCTTAGCACTGTGGTGAAGGAATTTATCCACTTCGTTTGGTCTGTGACCTCAGCAATCAGCGTCGGAGGGGAAGGAACATTTCGAGTCGACGCTGTCATATATCACGCCCAGTCGCCCTCCAAGCGGGAGGTAGACTATGGAGTATTAAAGTGCAGTGGTGGTGTTCCGGGAACTCCTGGAAAATCCCAGGTTGTTTTTCGGTTTTGTGTTACCGTGGCCGCAGCACTGATTGGAGGATCCGAAAATGAAGAACGGTCTCCTGCTTTGACGATGGGCCCCGACCGGCTGGCGGTGGCAGTGGCTAAAAGAAATCCGAGATTGGGATATGACAAGGCTGCACATACGACTTCCCTGCATTCAGCAAGCACTGCAGTGCGTCATGACATGTCAACGTTCGAGAGAGGCCAATCAAGGTCCCCTGTTCTTGAGGTGTGGCACCGAGGCGTATGCGCAAGTCGAACACAGACATATTGTCAGTCCCTTGCTCGCAAGGACCGAGATCCGCCCGTGTGGTTGCGTTGTGCAGGTTGGTAGGCATCCGTGATGGCAAGATGCGAGCCTTGCTCTTTGCGATTGTCGACGAAACGCACGGAACGATCATTCTGGATGCGGGATCGAAAGCCTGTTACAGGGGTTGACTAGAGCTCGTGGCTTGACAAATCTCTCATTTAAGAGGGTCTCACGCATGAGCGAAGAGCGCTGACATGTCCTCTGGATTCGAGTCAGCTTCAATTTCTCCCAGAGGATGTCTCTGTACCTACCACCGTGGTGATTTCGTCGGATTGCTTCAGCTAGCAGATTAGAAAGGTCGATCATGATCAGCTTCCTCGAGGCACGGACACGCTCAGGGCATATCGGAAAGGTATTTGTCACAACAATGTAATCTATGCAGTCGCATGCTTCCAGCTCTTCTAAAGAGTCCTCGCCGAATAAAGCGTGAATTGCGATGCAGTACACCTTTTTGGCGTGGCCGATCTTCACACAAGTTTCCGCAGCGGCAATCCATGAACCAGATCGATCAATGATGTCGTCCATCATGAGAACGGTCTTATCCTTGACGTTACCTACTAGGGTGATGGTATGTTCCAGATCAGGGTTCTTGATTCCCTCTTCTTCCTCGTCAGATGTTGCAGCGGCATCCATGCTACCGCCCAGGGCATGCTCCGGTTGAAAAGACGACGCATTCGACATGAAGGAGGAGGTCATTGGGTCGTTGCCGGGATTGTCCACTCCGTCCTGCAGATGACGGTCGGCTGCAAGGTTAGCAAGAGAGGCTGACATGCTCGACATGGCCGATGATGGATGGTCGTCGTCCACCAGGTGCCCTTGGACAATCCGACCCACAAGGACATCGCGTGCCCGCTGGTCATTGTGTGCTTCACTGGCTTCATATTCGGAGGGTCTGCGGGCGTTTGGAGCGGTTTCGACACGGGATAGCCGGTCAGGCGACGAGGGAGGGGAAGTGGACTCCACCCTCGCTGTCCGAACAAGGGGGCTGGATGCTATGGTTACCGCTTTCGGCCTTCCAAGACCAGGGCGACTGATGCCCGTAGTTGCGTGGACTTTTCCTCGGTGAGACAATTCTCGGTTGTGTGACTTCTCGGACTCGCTGTCGGCATCCTGTCCGTCATCTCCATCCAGCAGGCGTTCGCGGTAGCGCATCGACTGTGGCTCAATGGCATCAAAGAACACGGTGCTGTCTGCTAGGCTGGTTTGGTGGTGTGAATGTCTAGACCGATCCCGGTCGGTGGACACAAGAGCGAAGCTCAGTTTGAGGGCATCTGCCAAGGAAGTGACTCGTTTGGTACCGCCTACATTCTTGCTTACTACAACTGCATCCCGCCAGCAGGGCACATTGCCTTTGATCCATCTTGCGATGATTGGTTCAGCAAAGAGGTTGTCGACAGGCTTCCCAAAGAATCCCTGCATTTGCGAGGCGTGAAGGTCAACTGTGATAATGTGGTCCACTCCAGCAACAACCATGAGATTCGCAACCATTTTTGCAGTAATGGCACCTCGGTGGCTTTTCTTCTTGGACTGGCGGGAGTAAGGGAAGTAAGGCATGACTGCCGTGATGGACTTGGCCGATCCTCCTTTGCATGCAGCTACCATGATGAGCATTTCCATGACGCTGTCGTTGATGTGAGGACTCCCGCTCTGGACGATGAAGACATCTTCGTTTCTAATTGAAGTGCCGATTTGGACGCTGATTTCGCCATTTGCGAAGTTGCCCAAGTCGCACTTGGCTGGTGAGGAGCCTAGACGCTCGCATATCGCCTCGACAAGGGTGGGATGGGATCTGCCTGAGAAGACCTTGACGCCTCTCATCTTGATATCTGAGAGTAGAGATCTGCGGTTAACTGCAGATTGAGATTGGGAGGAGGCCTATCTTCTCGGACAATCCACTGATTGATTTGAGTGGGTCAGACACTGAATCCCATGTCCAAGTCTGTCATTTTGAAAAGTGTGAGTAATTGTAGGAGGCAAGCACTAGCACGCGGCGGATTTGAGGCGGGTGGAACTTTTCTGGTTGCTCTGACAGCAAGAAGCCAGTGAAGGGAGTCTGAGCTGAAAGTGAACTAGAGGTAAGGGAATTACGGCCGAGCGTAACTTGATTTGACGCAATTGCTATCGCAGCTCCGCGTGCTCCGTGGCGACTCGCTTATCGCGTAGCATTCCAGCGGTGGTCGTCATTTTCAGTCCCTGACCCCAGTTCCTGGCGGTGGATTTGCCTCTATGGCATTTCTTGCAATTATCGCTATGTGCCAAACATGCCTCCTCAGTTCCCAGAGATCCAGGGCGGAGGCTCCTTGATTCTCGCATGGCAAATCAAGGGCAAGGAGGTGCTCGTGGTCGGTGGTGGCGAAGTAAGTTTCTACCATCTCAGCATGTCCGCTGGGGTTGCAGCTCACACGCCGTCTAGGTGGCCGCCGGCCGAATCGTCAACCTACTCAATGCCGATGCCACAGTCACGGTTGTGTGTCCGCGCAGCGGCCTGAATGAGGAGGTAGCATATCGCGTAGGGCAGAAGCAGGTCAAGCACGTGGACCGCATATTTCTGCCTCTCGATCTCGAGCCCGAGAAGAATGTCGCGATGGTACTTACTGCTGTTGACGACCCCGAAGCCTCGACTCGGATATGGCAATACTGCAAGAAGTTGAAGATTCCTGCGAACATCGCCGATGTGCCTCCGGAATGCGACTTCTACTTCGGCAGCGTCCACCGCGATGGCCCTCTACAAATCATGGTCTCAACGAATGGAAATGGACCCAGGATGGCGGCCGCCATTCGGCGACAGATTGGCGACATGCTTCCGGAGGGCACTGGAGACAGCATTAAGAAAGTCGGGCAGCTCAGGAGGAAACTTCGGAAAGTCGCGCCAGGCAAGCGCACACGCGACATCAGCAAGAGAATGGGTTGGATGAGTGACGTTTGTGACAAATGGACGACTGAAAACTTCAATGCAATGGATGAGGAGGATATGGACAAGTTGGTGCAATACTATGAGGAGGGTACAGTCCCTAGTTTTGAAGAGATACGCCTTGGGTACCGAGGGGATGTTGTATGGGAGTTCGATGGTTCTTTTGGGTGGATGTAACAACAATCGTTGCTTCTAAGCGGAGCTTTTTCTACTACATAAGGAGTCGAGATCATACGAGTTACCAGAGTCCGCAGATAATCTACGAATACACTGGCTATTGCGATTAGACCGGGCTGCAGCCTCGTGCCAACCAGACAGCCTTGCAGGTCGGTCCCTGAGAGCAAGCTTTTCCAAGAAAGAGACGTGCAATCCTGCCCCGTCATCATCTTGGCACCTGTTAGCGAGAGTTCACCAGCTGGTTGTCCTGCAGAAATACACGGCTAAGACGGATGCAAAGTTTGTACTGGCACGTAGGCGCCGTGTAATTGGTCTCTGTGCAATACGGAGTACATGAGCAGAGAACCGGTTACTGGTAGCACCTGAATCTGGGACGAGCGATGACGTATGCAACTGGCTAGATTGACCTGAGGTGGGTTGACGGGCACCAGCGAGCGGGCGTCTGATAGAGTTCACGAGGACGAGTCCTCGCACAGGCGCCGACTCGAGTTTCGTGCTGGAAGTGGAGTGTCCATGCGAAGTATGATCCGGCTTCATATTTGCTGAGGCAAGAGATCATTTCTGCACACTCTCGCGTCTCACTCCCTCCTCTACAAGCCACCCTTTCACTAGTGGGTGCTATTGACTGGAAATCCGCTCGCTTCTCAGGCGACTCGCTTCGTACACTCGGTTGACCTATCTCAAGTCACGGCGCTAGGTCGCGCCATTGCAACTTCGCTGTTCCTCAGCCAGTCGGGCTAGCGTGGACGGCCAGGCGCAATGCAGTCGCTCAAAGACAAGCTCAAAGGTCAGGACTTCTCGCTCCATTGACGGGACAGGCCAATGATACCCTACAGATACCAAGCTGCACGACGCCAAAGTCGAGGCAATTCACTTCAAGCACAAGATCGGCAAGCTCAAGAACCTCGTCAACAAGAATCATCGCCATGACGAGGAGCACGAGCAGGAGACCGACCGCAAGAGGACGGCGGCTTGCGAATCACATCGCTTCCAATCCTTCTTCCCAGAGCGTGACAGCAACAAGATCAAATGGTACGTCGATGGTCGCGACTACTTTCATGCCGTGTCAGTTGCCCTCGAGAATGCCAAAGAGACCATCTACATTGAGGATTGGTGGCTGTCTCCCGAGCTCTTTCTGCGCCGACCGCCTTTCTTCAACCAGGAATGGCGTCTGGATCAGATCATCAAGCGTGCCGCAGAACGTGGCGTTCAAGTATACGTGATCGTGTACAAAGAGGTCCAGCAAGCTCTGACCTGCAATTCGGCTCACACGAAGCACGCTTTGCGCGCTTTGTGTCCGGAAGGGAGTCCTGGCCATGGGAACATCCACGTCTTGCGACATCCGGACCACAATGTCTTCGAGAACTTCGGTGACATGACTTTCTATTGGGCCCACCACGAGAAGTTCATTGTCATCGACTACCACTTGGCGTTTATTGGCGGGCTGGACCTGTGTTATGGTAGATGGGACGTCCGGCAGCACATCCTGGCCGATGTGCATCCTTCCGGAGTCGTCAACGAAATCTTCCCGGGCCAGGACTTCAATAACAACAGGTAAGTCATCCTCCTCCTCCTCCCCTCCTCATTTGGACTTCCTGACCGATTACCACAGAATCATGGACTTCCAGACCGTGGAAGACTGGTCGCACAACGAACTTAACAAGACCGACTACGGCAGAATGCCGTGGCACGACGTCGCCATGGCCGTGATAGGCGAATGTGTGATCGACATTGCCGAGCACTTTGTGCTCAGGTGGAATTTCGTCAAGAGAGACAAATACAAGCGCGATGAAGGCGTCGACTACTTATGCATGACCACTCGATCAAGGGCAGATGGGTCAAACCCTGACGAAGACCTCATCGCTATCCAGAGGCCCAAACACCCTGTGGGCAAGTATATCGAGCACCCTCTAAGCCCGCTCGAGGGCAAGGGGCTCCAGAATCCGGGCTCCGTACACGCCCAGATCGTTCGAAGCAGCGACGACTGGAGCAGCGGCATCCTCGTCGACCATAGTATTCAAAACGCGTATAAAGAGGTGATCGAAAACGCCCAGCACTACGTCTACATTGAAAATCAATTCTTCATCACATCCACCGGCGAGCATCAATCGCCCATCCACAACACCGTCGGACGCGCAATTGTCAACGCCTGCATCAGGGCTGCGAAAGAAAACCGCAAGTTCCGAGTCATCATCCTCATCCCGGCCATCCCGGGCTTTGCGGGCGACCTTCGCGATGACGCCGCCGTCGGCACCCGCGCCATCATGGACTACCAATACAAGAGCATCAACCGTGGCGAACACTCCATCCACGGCCAACTGAAAGCCGCGGGCATCGACCCGGCGGAGTATATCTTTGTGTTCAACCTGCGCGCGTACGACCGCATCGACAAGACGCCCACGCTCATCCAGCAGGAGAAAGAATCCGGCATCTCGTACCAAGAGCTTCAACGCGCCGAAGCCGAAGAGATCATGGGCAGCGGCATCCACGGCTACGAAGGGGAGAAAAGCGAGGCCGATTCGCGCGGCAAGAACAAAGGTTCCGGGATCAACGAGGACGAGCAACACCGCATCATCGACCGCAAACGCCGCTTCGAAGCCGCGCGCAAGGACCTCGACGTCAGAGACCCAGTCACATCGGCGGAGTCCATCGCCGAGGACGCCATGGCCCGGGGCGGCCTGGTCAGCGAAGAACCGTGGGAAGGCGACCCGGAGGCCGAGAAGGAGAACTTTGTCCAAGAAGAGCTGTACATCCACGCGAAGCTGCTCATCGCCGACGACAAGACCGTCATCTGCGGGTCGAGCAACATCAACGACCGCTCCCTGCTCGGCTCCCACGACTCGGAACTCGCCATCGTCATGACCGACACGCAGCCCCTCGAGACGACGATGGACGGCAAACCCTACACGGCAGGCCACCACGCAGCGACTCTCCGACGCCACCTGTGGCGCGAACATCTCGGCCTCATCGAAGCCCAAGGGCTGGACGGCAAGGACGACCCCAACGCGCAACCACCCACGGTGTGCATGAACGACAGCTACTCGGGCGAGGAGTGGGAGTTTGTCGCCGATCCGCTCGCCGACCGCGTGTGGGATCTCTGGATCAAACAGGCGACGACCAATACGGACATTTATCGCCACTTGTTCCGCGCCGACCCGGACAACAACATCAAGTCGTGGAAGGACTACGACGCGTTTGCGCCCCGCAAGACGATCAAGCAGGGCCATTTGCACGACCCGCACATGCCGGTCGAGGTGGTCAGGAAGGAGCTGGACAAGATTCGCGGCCATCTGGTCTGGATGCCGTTGGACTTCCTCTGCGACGAGGAGATGGCCGAGCGCGGGCTGCAGGTTAATGCTTATACTGAGGTCAGTGTCTTCCCGTCTTGTGGCTGCCAGGATGACGTGCTAACGGTTAAAATTTGCAGAGTGTGTATACGTGATTGACCTGGAACGAGGATAGATTGTGTGGAAAGGAGGGACTTGTAGGACAGATTTGTCTATGTGGGCGAGGGTCCTGGTAAGGGAACCAGTGTTTCCATGGTCAAGTTCATGAAGGGGTTATTTGCAGGGGTGGGATGGACGATTGACGCTTCGCCCTGAAGCACGTATGGAAAGAGCCCGGGTGGTTGATGGATTTATGGGACAGGTAGGCCTACCTACTGTACTGGCACGTTGAATCGCTTATTGATTGATGCCCCGTGCGCTGGACGTCTGGGTCGTTATTCCCAAGGCAACTGCAGCTGTCAAGCGAACAAAAGTCCCGCCTGTTTCTCCGGTACTGGCTCGCGTATCCTTTCCTGCGCTCTGGAATATCGCTGATGAGACATGCCGTCGTCCCAATAAATCACCACGCCGCTATCAGCCTCCGTCTTTGTGCCTGGAGCAGCCGTCTTGACGAGTGGTGTCTGACTTAACACCACCCGCGAAAGCATCCTCTGCAGAAGCCGTGGCGTGATCTCATGTCGTCGACCCATTCCCTTGAGCCTGGAACCAAAACTAGGACCCTCGAGAAGCAAGCTGGACTGTTTTTGGAGGGATTCCCGCAGATCATCCTCAGCGCTCAGCCGTGCAGACGTCCGTCTCGGGATGGGCGCCGGGAATTCCGTCCTTCCCGTCACAAGATTGTGGACTTCCCAGTATGCTGCCTCTGATTCTAGAGGAGGTAATGCTGCTTGCATATTATGTTTGTACCATTTTATCCTCTGGTTCTTGTACCGCGAGAAAGGCAGGGGCTTGCCCCAGATCGTATGCGTTGGTGGGGAGAACCTCAGTCTCACACGTCGAGAAGAACCCACGCGGGTAAAATGAGGTTGTTCATGGGATTGGGAGACCAGCAGGGCTTGCAGGCGGGGAGGAACATCGAGTTTCCAGCTGGGAGGTTTCTCTTCGACGGGCGGATCGGGTACTTTGGCCTCTTTGTAGAAGGTTGTGAAGGCGGTGGTGGAAACTGTCGGGCAGAGCGAAGGGTATAGAGTATCTTTCTCTGGTGTTGAGCCGGCGTCTTCGGCGGCTTCTTCGTCTTCTAGCAGTTCTTCCAGTCCATCGTCACCACCAGGGTCGTTCAAGACCTTTTCTCCATCCTCCTCCTCACCATCGGGTTCCATTAGTAGCGTTGACCGCCCACCAGCAGTATCCGCACTGGGATTTAGAAACTTTGCTAGAAGTTTGTACTTGTGGGGTCCCACTCTGCCATAGGTCATCCGCAGGACTTTCTGCAATTGAGGAGTATGTCCATGGTTCGCATGTCTGAGAACGGCCGCATATTTCCTCGCGAGCCTGAGTAGATGGGTGACCGTCTCTGGAGCGAGCACTGGGGCATTTCCCGGATTGTTCTTTCTGCCGGGCTTATTTCTGCCCGATCGTCTCGGTATGAAACTACGGAACTTTTCGATCGTGAATTTGCGCATGTAAGAGCGACATTGTGGAAGCGGGAGGTAGCTGCATTCGCGAAGGCACGCGCGGTAGATGTGTAGTGGGTTGGATTCTGGAGGAGGCATTCACATTGTCGGTCCCGGCTGTGTGAAGAGTGAAAGCCAGCGGACAAGTGAGTGGAAGCTGAGCGACAGGTGAATGATGGATGATTGAATGAGTGGAGAACGAAACTCTTGTGAAAGGCCGCGCAAAACGCGCTAAAAGGGACGCGAGTTTGGCAGACACTCCAGTGAATCCCCCGCTCCACACGCTGCCAAAAGACGTGACCAATTTCGACGGCACCCTGTAACCGAGAGGAAGGATAGACGACGACTGCACCAACCACCCTCACAGAGATCATAGCTGCGTAGAGCACAGCTGTCTATTTCCCAGCAGCAGTGACGATACCGACAGCAGCAGATCTAAGGACTGCCTTGATTGACTGCCCGACAGCGTCAATAGGCCGAGATTGTCCCCCTGCTCCGTGCAACATCGCTCAGCCGAATTCGAGACTCGATCCGTGCTCTGCGCTCACTTCCACTTACCCCACGAGAGTTCGTCGCATACGTCTAGTGTTGAGAGGTCCGGCCTCTTGAGTTACGCCGGCCACTATCGCAGGAGAAAGAAGTTGGCGAGGAAACTGCATTCGGAGAACCCCTGGGCGCAGCTCATCAGCAGAATCGATATCTCACTTGCGCCGATATGCTCTGACCGGGCCCATCAAACACCACTCTCGCGACAAACGCTTTTGCCGAAGCGATCTGACTAGCTTGCGCATTCATCATGGCATCAGGCGGTATTTATGCACCACCACCTCCGTCATTCCCCCAGCACGGCCATTCTAATTCTATGAACGCCCCATTTCCCCAAGACCCTTCGTCTATGGGGCCGTACGAAGCTCAGTCGGTCGCTTCCACACCCGCGCCCACCCCTCTTCCTCCGAGACCAGCATCTCAGCATCACCAACAAGGTCAGGTACAGCAGCAGCAACTGGCGTACAGCACGAATGGAGGCATGATGGCCGCCCCAAACAGTTTTGGCGGATACGCCGAGGCAAACATGTTTGCGCAGCCAAACCTATACTCGAATGGCGCGAAGCCGCAGATCTATACGGCTGTATACTCCAATGTCTCCGTTTTTGAGATGGAGGTAAACGGTGTTGCGGTCATGCGGCGGCGAGCGGACTCTTGGCTGAATGCCACTCAGATACTCAAGGTTGCAGGAGTTGATAAAGGGAAGAGAACGAAGGTGCTTGAGAAAGAAATCACCGGCGAGCATGAAAAGGTCCAAGGCGGCTACGGCAAATACCAAGGCACTTGGGTCAACTATCAGCGTGGTCGCGAGTTCTGCAGACAATATGGTGTCGAACAGCTCCTGCTTCCACTGCTGGAGTACGAGATCGGCTCGGACGGCATGCCGGGCGCGTCGCAGGGTATTGAAACGCCCACAAAAGAACAAGCCATGGCCGCTCAGAGAAAGCGGATGTATGGTGGAGACGGTCGACCTTCCGGACAGTCAGTTGGCGGCACATTTTTCAAGAACATGTCCAGTACAGCAGCAAATGCCATTCATGCACTCAACAGAACACGCTTGGACTCCCCGAATATGGATGGACGCCGCTCGGCCGGGCCTCGAAGACCATCTCAACAGTTCAACTATAGCCAGGAACCCATGTACGGGAGCCAGCAGAGTATGCCCAGTATGACGACCCAGGACAGCTTCGGCACGAATGGCGGCATCATGAGCCAGGGCGCAAGTTTTGCAGAGTTTCCGAACACCGACGGACAAGAGCCGCCGCGAAAGCGCATTCGTCCTTCACCTCAGTCCTCTTTCCTCTATGATGGTGCGATTGATCTCAGCATGCAGGACGGTACTCCCACAGAGCCGAATGTCTCTTTTTTCTCACAGCCCAGTCAATCTTTCATAGCCTCGGATCCTCTACACCATGGACTTGAGCCACTCCCGCACCCCTCGGGTCCCTTGGAGGAGCAGAAAAAAGATCTTCTCCTTGAACTATTTATCGACCCCGAAAGAACAGACTTTGACGACCACCCCGCTTTTCTGCGCCTGAGTGGGGACGAGTTTGAGATGCCCATCGATGGATCATGTAACACTGCGTTGCACTGGGCGGCGACTCTGGCACGCATAGCCCTAGTTCGGAAGTTGCTCGACAAGGGTTTCAACATGCGGCGGGCCAACAGTGGAGGGGAAACAGCACTGATAGCTGCATGTCAAGCACGAAACAATCTGGATCGCAACAGCTTTCCAGCTCTACTCGAGCTTCTTGGACCCAGCATTGAAGTCAGAGACGGGCGTGGACGGACCCTTCTGCATCATATTGCTGTATCTTCCGCAATGAAGGGCAGAGCGTCTGTGGGAAAATACTACCTGGAGTCGCTGCTAGAGTACGTGATCCGGCAAGGAACGGCGTCGCAGCCGATCATGTCGTTCGATGCTATGAACGGGGTCAACGCCCAGAGTCAAGCGAATCCGATGACTTTGGCAAGGTTCATGTCAGATATAGTCAATGCGCAAGACAAGGCGGGAGACACAGCACTCAACCTGGCCGCGAGGACCAGTACGACCGCCATTATCGATCAGTTGATTGAAGTCGGAGCCGATGCAAGCATCGCCAATCGTGGCGGGCTTGCTCCTGTGGACTTTGGAGTGCAAGGCCAGGCAACTGGTGGCATCACTGACCCCAATTTGACTAACCTGTTTGAGCAACCTTCGATAGCTAACGGATCTCCTCAGAAGTCCTTCGAGGATGCTCAAGAGGGACTCATGACTTGTAAGAGCCAGAGCCATTGCTCACATGATGCCTTGGAGACGCTAACAGAGACTGCAGCGATCAGAGAAGTTCTCTCACAGTCTGAAGCTGACTTTGCAGCGGAAATGAAAGAAAAGAAGGACATACTGGACAAGACCAATGCAGCGCTCAAGGAATCCGGCAACTCGCTCGCAGAGGAGCGACGTCGCCTGGAAGACGCACGCGCCAAGGTCCGAGAAAAGGACGAACTGGAGCAGAAGATAGCCAATCTGCGGCAGGCGACCGCCAAACTGCGCGCAGAACTCAGTGCGATGGATCCCCCAGCGACGATACAGGAGCACGTCGCCGTGGGCGAGGCGGACAAAGGTCTCGACCTGGACGGGCAGCTGCCGGTAATAGCACAACTGTTGCAGAATGGAGAAGCTGACCCCAGCAATGTGGCCTTGAACCAGGAGCAAGGCAATCTCCTGGCCAGCCTGGAAAGAGCGGAGGTCATGTCTGGACGTGCCAAGGTGTATCAGCGGCACAATCAACAACTGGAGCAGACGGCCAAGACGCTCAAGGCTCGCAGTAGCGAGTTGGAAGAGCGGTACAAGAAGATCGTCAGCTTGTGCACTGGCGCAGATGAAGACAAGGTCGATGAGCTGCTGGATAACCTGGTGCAGGCCGTCATCAGTGAGCAGAAGGAGATGAGCAACAACTCACAGTTACCGCGAGTCAGGGAGTTTTTACGTCTGGTGCAAGGGTCGGGGAATTAAAGAGAGGTGTGCGATCCAATAGGCGATATCGCCGAGATGTGCGAGTACATGTGCGCGTGTCCTGAACATGGCCTCGGTGGTATTGCAGCAATTTCCCAGGACTTGCAATTGTGAATGTTTAATGAGCAACGCAGTCTCTGGCTCCAGAATCTTGAGCAATGATGAGAGCACGCGCCGCGGCCAGCCTCGTTGTCAATAATAACAATTGTCTTTTGCCCCCAGCCTCGCATGCGCGCGGATAGTCAAGAATAGCCACGGCGGCCGGTCTGGTCGCGAAGAAATGTTTTGATGCCCTTGAAATTGCCATTGTGGGTGGTTGGACCAGAGCTGCTCATATGCTGAATTGGTTTCCATGCGCGGCGGCTCTGCTTGGGCCCGAAACAAGGCGCGATCGAAAATTCAGACGCCCAGAGCGAATGGATAGGGAGCCTCGGGAGCACAACGACGGACAGGGGCGCGGATAAGCGTGGGTTTCAAGATCGAGCCTGAGACGATAGGCGGAGGAGCCTCCCTTTATTTGGCCCTGGCGCGCCAATGACGGAGCCCCGTCCCTGCCCCTGCCTGCATTTAGGTGCGCGCCATTGTGTCGAATCTGCCGGCAAAGCAGCCACTTCCGAGACGCCATTCCTTCGCCTGCGCATCCTGCGTCGTTCGGGGCAGGACCACACGACCGCATCCCAGATTTACCAGCAGCACATGCGCAACGAAGGAGAGCAGCAGGCCAGCGATTCGCTTGTGTGTTCTGACGCCGCGGTCTTTACGCTGGTCGCGCCCCATGCAACCCCTCTTGCGACATCCCACTTGGACCATGCCGAGTTGGAGCGTCGATCTGCTCGAGCCTTGTCCATGTTTCATGCCAGCCTCCACTTGGGGCCTCGCCGTCGTCGTACTCAAACCGTGTCGTTGCACCTCCTGTGTGCGTACTCCGTTCACTACAGTGTACGCGATGGCCGGCTCGGTGGAAGACCCCACAGGCCGAGTCTCCCTCTGGGTCCACCAGCATGTGTCAAGTGAACGTGATGGAAGGGAATCCCGTACGCCAAATGTTTTATACTGATTCCTCCCCGTCTTGGGTTGTGATACACCCCTTCAAACCACATTCTTTGCACAGGCCAGGAACACTCTCCTTTCTTCCTTTCCTCTCAACTCCATTCTTTCCCCATCATCGCGTGCTCGTGGGCAGGTCTCCTACTCCCTTCTCTTCGAGCAGTTCCATTCTTTTCTGGCAGTCGCTGGCCGTGCCTACATACCTTTTGAACAAGCAGTGCTTGGTCTGATCAACAGTCTCGACGACTCGTTTTGAACTTCGAACCACCAACTACGCACATATACACTCTGAAAAGCAACAGGAAACAAAACAAGATGCATTTTACAAGCATTGTAGCCTCAGCATTGTTGCTGTTGGCCGAAGCCGACGTTATCTCCGCCAAAGCAATCCTCCACCTACCCAACGCCTTCCGAAGGAGAAATCACCTCGAGGAGGGAATGAAGAGGGATGTCAACAAAATTTTCCGACGAGCGCCCCAGATGTCATCGAACGGAAATCTGTCTGTGACGGCACCCGATGCCGCGATGAACCAGTCAATTGCGGACGCCTGTGTCAGCAGTCTCGGCAAGCTCACCTCCGTGGAGAATGCTGCTGGGATGGCGGCCTGCTACAATATCATCCAGTTCGACATGACGGCTGGCGCCTTTGAGGCGGATCTCCGGCTTTACCAGATGTTCACGCCCAGTGAGGAGTTTGCAGACGTGCCTGTGAATGATATCATGATCAGCTTGACCTATCCCACCAGCACCATATTTCAGTCGCTGACCAAGCGGAGAAAGCGAGACCTGGAGCCGCGACAGAGCAGCATGCAAGAGGTTCAGCAGTACACTCTTTTCGGTACCTTCGAGTCGAACCTCGACCTGACAAAGCTGAACGACACCCAAGTCATGTCGTTGATGCTCCCGGATGTCAAGATCAATGCTGCCATTGACTCGTCGCAGCCTATCATGGCCAACCTCAGTGCCACGGACGGCGCGTGGTTCGTGGTCGGACAGTTCAAGGATGAATTTGTGAATGGGCTTGTGACGCCCACGGCAGCCACCGCCGCCATTGCAGCTGCAGCGCCGTTTGTGCTGCCTGGAACAACATTGGGCATTTTCCCAACTGGATTGATCGTCACGTGCGCTTGGACGGTGCTGTTCTTCCTGGCGTACGGACTTGGCACGATCGGCCGCATTCAATATAGAAGTGCGTTTAGAAAGCGAAAGGCGGCTCAGGCCGGCCGAACTGGAAAGCGGATATAGAGAAAAGCCGTTCGAACGGGACGCAGAATTCTGCCTTTCCAAACCACAATTGAAGGAAGCACCATTTTGGTGGTGACATGTGGACCAATTTTTACATCTTCTGTGAGATACCCTCGTTTATACGGAGTACATGGGGTGTGGGAGTGCGACGTATCGACAGTTGCGCCGAAAACACATTCTACTGTACCCAGGATGCTCGGTAGAAGGTATGTGTGTGGGTGTGTGTATGAGAAATGAATCCCATTTGAGCGAGACTTGACTTTTGGGTATGCACTTTTTTCATCTCCACCTTCGTTTCTGTATTTCCCCGCTTTGCGAGCGACACCTGAGGTGATGCGCGCACAAAGAAAAGACTCACGCCAGCAGCAGTTCGGCAAGTCAATCGACGCAACACACCTTTCTCGCCTCACCCTGATTCGCCACAAGTCCACTGCACGGCTTCACTCACTCTGACACCAGGCGGCGGCTGCCCGGCTTGGCTACTGTAATGTTGTGTCGTGCGCATATATGCAAAGCTGAACTACAACTTGTGAATACAATCATTCCATAGGATCATTTCCTCGCGTCTCGATTGCTCAATTTCCTTGAGGCTAGATCGAGGCAGTCACCTATCAGTCAGCCAGTCACCCAGTCAGTGCCTATTCAAAAATTTTCGGCGACCAATGATTCTTCCGCTACGGGACAAATAGGTGGTACTAGGCCACGATCTTTGCCCCGTGGCTCCAAGCAAGAATATCTGCCACCCCAGGGCCCCGTGAACAGCACGACAATGGAGCACCTCTTCCCGTACCCCAAGATGGGGACGTCGTTCCTCGAAGTCCTCCACGACACCCTGACCCGCAAGCTACTCGGCTTTGATGCCACGCACGCCGAACCCACGCCCTTTATCGGCGGCGTCACCTCGCGGCTGAAGTTCCTGCTCAACGACGCCACGCAGCAGCTCTCGATCCTCAAGCTCGGATACACGGCGCTCGAGGCCTTCTTGCAAGCCAACTGCACGGGCCCGCCCCTCGACTTTGACCCGGAACAAGTCATCTTCCCGAGGACGTATCGTGGAGGGGACGGGGACCTGACGGCGCTCAGGGAGGGCTTGTTCCAGCACCTATCTGTCGACGGGTGTCGGCCTTACCCCTTGACACCGCACATTGAGCTGTTCTGGCTAGCCAAGGTCATCTTGTCGACGACCACGCTGGCCGAAGCGGGCTTCAACGGTCGGAGGGCGCGCATGCGTGTCAACTTCTGGCACCAAAAATTACTCTCAGAGGAGTCCCCCAGTTTGAGGGATGTCATCTACTCGGATGCGGGCGTCCTGGAACAGCAGCTCTCTGCGCGGTTGGCCTTTGGCGGGTCCGCCGCCGAGGAACATTACGTCGAGTTCATGGTCGAGCGGGCCGTCATACGGACGTACTACGGAGATGATGCGCTCGCGAGGACAGATCTCGCCAGGGCGGCATCGACGCGCGATTTCCACTTCGTCCTGACCGGTGCGTTGGGCAAGAGGACGAAGTTCCAGGATAGGGACACCAGTCAGCTGGTCGTGCTGGCGAAGAGTAGAGACCGTGAACCCCAGCCGTACAGCAGTCGGAAAAATAGTAAGGCCGAGGGTCCCGCAGTTGCGGACGCTGAAACGGCATCGTCTTCGACACCCCACCGAACAGTGACACCGATATCGACGGCGACATCGACGGGCCCTCATAACCACAATGAACCTACATCTGCACCAATTCAACCCGAGAATGTCCTACTTAACGATGATACGCTTCTCGAAAGCATCCACTTCAAGTCAGCATCCTCGGCGCACTCCCCCTCCGTGTCGGTAGACACCATGACACGCGTGGCTTCCTCCCCGTCGTCCTTGCCACCAGACCTCGCGGCGCTCGACCCGGCAGACCAACCGCTCCTCTTCCCCATGGACAGCGCCATCCTGTTAGCCACGGCCAGCAGCATCACCAACACCTCGCCCGAGGACGGTCTGGTGCGCGAGGAAACGCTCCCCTACGCCACGAGGGTCCTGGACGGCGGCTCGTCCAATTGGCAGGTCTATACACAAGCCTTGCTCGTCCGCAGCCGGATAGAAGGCTATCGCGCCAGGACGGCCGAGCGGGGCCTTCTACAGCTACAAGCGCTAGTCGACCAAGTCATTGCCGAGACGTCGCACAGCGTTCCGCCATCGAAAGCAGAGTCTGCCAGCACACCCGCGGACACAGGAACCACTACATTCCTACCGAAGCCCAACCCCTCGGAATCCGCCTCGGTGGCCGAACGCCTCAAGTACATCTACCAGCTGTCGCCGCCCCTCCGGTGGGAGCTCGAGGCGGAACTCGCCCAGCGCTGGACATCGATGGGCGGTCTCAAGACCGCGCTGGAGATCTACGAACGCCTGCAAATGCACGCCGAAGTGGCATTGTGTCTCGCGGCGACGGACCAAGAAGCCAAAGCCGTGGAATTGCTCAAGAATCTTCTTTTCGACGACGCCGCTGCACAAAAACCTATCGCCCCGGGCAAAGAGAAGCTCAGATCGCCGCTACCGGCAGACGCGCCGCGCCTGCTCTGCATCCTAGGCGACATTCTCTCCCAACCAGACTACTACGTTCTTTCGTGGACCGTGTCGTCGTCTCGATACGCCCGCGCCCAACGTTCTCTTGGCAGGTACTTCCTCACCAAGCAACGCAACTACCAGCGCGCAGCCGAGGCGTATCGTCTCGCGCTGAACATCTCGCGCCTCGACCGAGCGAGTTGGTTCTCTTTGGGGTGTATCCAGCTTGAACAGGAAGCGTGGACGTCCGCGGTGGAATCCTTCACGCGGTGCGTCCAGCTGGAGGACCAGGACGCCGAGAGTTGGTCCAACCTCGCCGTCGCGCTACTTAGCATGCCGAAGCCGGTGGCGCCGCCGACAGAGGAGGGTCAGAAACTAGACCCAGACCGGGACGGAGACCAAGACCAGGATCAGAGCCAGACCGATGGCATGCCAGAGAGAAAAGTAGACCCCTACCGCCACGTGAGGGACGCTCTCCGTGCCCTCCGCCGCGCCGCAATGCTCAAGCGGGACGACCCGCGCATCTGGGACAATTACCTTACCGTTGCGGCAAGCATCCCACCCAGTGCGGGCACACCGTGGGCGGAAATCATCCAGGCGATGAGCCGGGTGATTGAACTGCGCGGCAAAAGGGAAGGAGAAGGCTGTGTGGACCTAGGGATTCTGAAAGTGTTGACCGAGTATGTGATTGAGCATTGGACGTATCCGGGAGCGGACGAGGCCGAGGCCGAGGCGAAGGACGGGAACGAGGACGGGAACGAGGACGAGGAGCCAAAGGAGGCAGACCAAGCCGGACAGCCGCAAGTAGAAGCGGGTGTGGCGGTTGTTGAGCAAAAGCCGGCTCCCGAAGAGAAACCCGGGGGAGCGGAAGCGGGAGCGCCAGGACGACCAAAAGTGGCATCTGGTTTCAAACTCCCCTACACCCCCCGTTCCTTCCTCGCGCTGATCGACAAACAAATCACACCCCTCGCCACGTCCTCACCAGAATTATACACCACGTTATGCCTCATCTCCGAGTGGCGCCGCCGGCCACACAATGCCCTCACGCAAGCCGAAAAGGCGTGGCTCAACACCCTCACCACCGCCTCTGCAAGCGCTTCTGCAACGGGTACCGCAGAAGACTTCACAAACATCTCAGTGACCCAATGGACCGAGATCGTGAACAAGACGCTCTGGATGATGCAGCGGTACGCGGAACTGGGTCCACAACAGAGGGAGCGGACAGGCGGGGAAGTCGAGCCCAAGTGGCGGTTCAAGGCGAGGAGTGCGGCGCGGAGGGTCCTCGGACGGGGGAAGGCGTGGGAGGAGAGTCGGGAGGAGGGGGCGGTGCGGTTGAGGAGGGCGATGGAGGAGTTGTGAATAGGGGGGGCTGGGAGATATGTGTGAGCGGTGAGGTATGTGTGAGTGATGCATGAGCTGCAAGCGAGATTCTGCGCTTCAGTAATAGTATGTACCTTACCTTGCGTGCAGGTACACGGACAGGTTCAGTCAATGGCTCATTGGCTGTGATTCCCGAGAGCACTCGCACTCGCACTCGGGGAGGCAGCGGCCAAGCAGAGTTCAAGGGCACTTGCTTGCCTTGTGGTAAGTAGCTTGGTTTGGATAAAAGTGCATAGGTGGGAAGGACTCTGTCGGAGAGCCAACAGATGCTACCAGCCTGGGAGAGCAGTTTGGACGAGGCGATGGAGGGGAGTTACCCTTGTCCAAGCAGGGACTTGTTCTCCGTTTGACTTTGAACATCGCGCGCCGTATAAGCGGATTCGACGGGTCGACAGCACAGGAAAGACCTCAGCATTTCAGGGTGAAGACTCAGACCCCTGAAATATGGTGAGAGCAGGGCCTTGGCCCCGATGTCAAAGTACCACTTGCGTTCATCACAGATGCAGACTGCATATCAAAGGCGGAAGAATGGTTGTGACATTTTCTGTATCCTCGGCCAAGCACGTCCACCACTATTGCTATTCCATTGTTCATGACGCCCCTTTATATGTTTCCCAAGGTGGCCTCTCCCCGCCCGGATACGCCGCTCTGCTGAAATAGCACAAAACTCCGACTATGCATACCCTGCCCATCGCTATGCTTGCATTTCCATGAATGTCGTCCCTCATAACCTCTTTCTCGTTATGTCGTCGCTCCTCCAAGCAGAGCACTGTATGCGATGTACCACGTTAGAGATGCTCCGCCGTCGATCCAGCCCCAGTCAAAGTTCGGCTGAGTAAAGAAGTTGTATGCTGCTGACGGGTTAATGTTCGCAAGATTCGCGTATACAATACCTGCAGATCAGTCAGCATTGCGAAACCAACCGCAAGGCAAGTATTCTCACCTTTCCAGCCACCGTCAATATCAATGGCTTGTCGGACGGCACCGTCGGCAAAGTATGTCAGCCATTCCTCGTGCACAAATTGCTCTGTCACCAAATGGTCAGTAATGTGCGGCAGTAACTGAAACATTCGACTTACGCGTTCGGGTCAGTGTCGAGAATGGCATGATCGGGATCATGTGGATTCTAGTCAAAGTCAGTGGAGATCCAAGGGGAAACCAGAGTGGCTGCACGCACCCCTGGACATAGCTCAGATCAGCGCCAAAATAGGTCACGTGGTCGGCTTTGTTTTCGAAAAGGATCCCGGTGACCTTGTTGCCAATGAAATCGGCAGGCTGGTTGGTGTTGTCCGATGTAATCAGGAAGTAGTTCTGGAGGCTGCGTGAAAGTACCGAGAGCATCAGATTGCCTCGAGCTTCCATAGAGGCGTCACCAACGGTCTTGCCCCACATCTTCAGTCCGTATGCAAACATGGCGTCCTCGGAAGACGATTCCTCGTCTTTTCCATCGCCAGACTCGAACAGTCCTTTAGCCCAGGAATGTCCATGATACCAGTCAAAAGATCTGAAGACGGGGAACCACTGGTCCAGAGAGCTTGGGTTTGACACATCACGGACCAGCGCATTGACATAGTCTTTGTTGGCAACAAGCCAGGTTGGATCGAGATATCCAATAACGGCGGCAGCATGGAGGAAGTACCCATAGTGGAAGTGGTGATCGTTATAATACGAGTTGCCAAAGTCGACTCCAGGGTCTCCCGTCACATAGCTGGCAGAAGACACCAGCCCTTTCCAGTCCGTGTCGTAGAGCAGAGGGAATTGCTGGCGATTAGTCGAGAAGACTTCGAAGCAGCTTTCCAGCTCTAGCAAGGCGGCTTTGGCCAACTCTTGCTGATCGAGGAGATCATGCATTGTGTAAACGAGCTGTGCGAACTTGCTGAGAGCCTTCCCACTGTAGTACATGCTGTTGAGGTTCGACTGGGCTGACATGTTCTGGGAGGCCTCGATTGCAGAGATGTTTTGGATGAGGGAGAGTGCAGCCTGAGAAAGCGTTAGCGACCCTTGAGCATCCGTGGCATCCTCTGGCCGCCATGGTGCAAACCCCATCGATACGGGGAGGCTGGTCTCTTCCAACACCCAGAAGTCGCCGACGACTGCCGTGGCGTTGCCTTTGGTCGTCGTAGCCAGTGTCAGGTTGGTCATGTTGCTTCTTGTACTCGATTCAAAAGAGTCACAGTGGTGAGGTAAAGCAAACATGAGAAGCGTGGTGTTGGCCGAATAAGCCCCTCCTTTGGACCAAGACAAGCTGTACTGAGCCGTCGTATTGTGAGCAGAACCAGCAATGTGGCCAGCTGTTGGATAAGCGCCGGCAGCGTTGTCATATATTGACTCCGAGGAGTCATCCGGAAGCTTCGCAATTTGGATATCACCGTACCAGTTTGGCAATCCCCGAAGCAGAGTACTGGATACAAGCTGGAAGTTTGGCGTCAACCCATTGACTGGTATGGCATAGATCAGCCAGATCTTTCCGTCTTCCAAAGTAACTCTGTACTTGTAAATGCCCGGCGCCGGCTGTCCAGCAGCGGCAATGCTTCTGAAGAAGACACTGCTTTGTATGGCCGGTTGAAGATTGACGTACTGTCCAGTCACAAAGGACATTCCTTGCACCACGGGCATAGTGAGTACCGAACCTGAACCAAATGAGGGCTGAAGATGTACATTGACGGAAAACGGCAACAAGGAGTCAGTGGTCAGGGCAGTATTTTGGCCAAATTCTGCTGCTGACAGGATAAGTGACTGGATGCCGAGGGCGTTGATATAGTACCCTGCAGGTGCATTTGGTATGTCAGCGTTGCTGGGCCCAAAGACTTTCTGCGACTCATCAAGATGAGAGATAGCCATTCCCCAGCTCAGAGCATTGCCGCTGCCCTTGGCCCATGTCAATGTATACGGCATCACAAAGCTGGGAGAACCCTGTGACCCCAAAACGAAGTTTTGGTAGAATTTGTTGGTCTCCAGTGGCCCGCCCGGATCTGAGATTCCCAAACGCGGAACTGGGTGGCCGTCACGCAAGCCGATGCTGTTCGGAGGTTCCCCGAGCGCGACAGGTTGGAAAATGTCCTGCCCGTAGCAGCCCATGCTCAACAAGCAGGTCGAGGTTGCCGTGGGGAGACTTGAGATCGAGCCTAGTTCCGTTGTAAGAGTGGTTGCCACCGTTTCAATAACAGTCGAGAATGCAGCCAGTATAGTCTCGACAAGGACTGTCCCAGTCGTGTTCACAACCGTTGTGCCTGCGACCGAAGTGGCTACAACAGACCCGTCGGCAGTTATTGTTGTGGGAAGGACTGTGACTGCAGTGATCACCGCTGTTGTTTCAACCGGCACACTGGTGGCTATTTGTGTCGTGACGACATTCTCGAAAGTCGATACTGGGAGAGTAATAGTCCCTGTTACCGGACTCAGCGTACTCGCGGCCGTTGCATTGCCGAAAAGAACGCTGCTGCCTAGAGGCTGCAAGGTAGCTGAGGTGACGCTCGGCACGCTTGTGGGGAAAGGCTGCACAGGGGGGTTGCCTTCTGTCTCGAGGGTGGTTATGAGCGACTGGCCCGATTAGCTATTGCATAGTAGAATCGCTCCAAGAGGCTCACTCCTGTCGTGTCCGGAAACTTCTGATTTGCCGAGGTCACTGTAGGCACCTGTGAAGCAGGTAGATTGGTGATATTGACGGTTTGAATGTTAAGGTGGGGATCGGTAAAGGTGACGGCAGACGTGTAGCTCGGCGAAGCTGCGTTACTCGAGTCTTGATATATGTGTCAATGCGAGTTCTTGTGTCTGCGGACGAAGGACAAACAAACCTGACTGTATCGCCGTTACATCGGGAGAGAATGAACTCGATGGAGCGGGTGCGGGAGGACCGTCATTGGAAGACGAGGCCGAGTCGACCGAGCTGTCAACGGGTGAAGCTGCTGCAGTGCCTGGTATGAACGAAGAAGATGTTAGTAGCGCATTCTGGTCTGGTCCTGGGACTTCAGGGTCGCAGTCGGGATCTCGATGTCTTGACGGACCGGAAAACAAAGGGGCAGGTAACGCTGCGGCGAGGAATGCCTGTGACACTGTTAGTATAGCTAGACTCGATGTGTAATGCATGAGATCGAGGGTTGAAAGGGAGTTGTATCTTGCTCAGCGGGCAAGGATAGTCTGGAAGGCTTCAGCTGTTCTCCAAGTTCTTGATGCGGCAGAGCTCTGAAGTCTTGTTGACGAGCAGTTTTCCACGACTGTCCTCAGGCGCTCTGATCCTTGGTTCGAAGAGCTGGAGAGACATCCAGAAAACAGCACAGTGATAGAGCTTTGTCCTTTGGATGGGCAGTGGGGCAATCCAAGCCACGTAATCTTTCAACGGCGGCTTATTGAAGTATGCTCCTTTGGGCCTGACATATGACAACAAACTTCCATATTGGGGGGGGGGGGGGGGGGGGGTGGATAGATAGAGGAGTACTGAAGGAGAGAGTCCACGCATACCAGAGAGAGACCTGACGGCTTTGGCGCGTACATGCACGGCGACTGTGGCGGTCCGTGTGGCCAGCGAGGACGGCTCGAGCTCGACGCGTAACGGCGGCGAGACCTAGGGATGAATAGATATACAACAGGGATTTCTAATAGTCAGAAATGACAAGGAAAGACGGATAGATGGATTCTAGGGTATGAGGGTATGAGAGTGGGTGGATGCAGGAATGCAACTCGGGAACGGTTCGTGTAGAAAAGACCGTCCCTGCATGGGAGTGGTCGGCGTACTGCCAGCGGACCATCGTTGCTTCCTGCATAAGACCTGCCTGCGGTGAACTTCTTTCGTCGCGTGTCAGCTCGAGAAGAGAAAGGAAGGCGAGCACGGAGTACGGAGTGTTCTCTTGCGCGAAGGCGCGAGTGGTAGCACGCTCAGCAGGGAAACGGCTCGATTGGGCAATCGACGTTGCCAAAATGACGACCTAATCCTCATAGCGAGTCGCAAACATATTCGAGCCCACGATCACGGCAGTCAGCGCGCTGTAAAAAGATTGATGACGTGCGTGGTTCGACTTCACAGCGCAATGTCAAATTGGTGTCGCGTGGTGAGAAGGAATATCGAGAAATGTTGTTTATGGTTAGCGCAGGCTTTGTTATGGCGGCGGGCTACCCAACACCGAGTGGAGTTTAGTCTGCCCTCCTGGTGACTCGGCCGATTATTATCACTCCGTACGAATACGAGCTGTACGCAAACCGGATATAGTGCGATAGCGGTAGGGAGGCGATGTGCCGCCGTGATCAGAGGTAGGAAGGGGACAGGGATCAACTGACACCCACTGACGAGGGAAGTGCTACGGCCAGGGCCAGCCAGCAACGACCTCCGCTGAGGACGCACAGAAATTCGGTCTCTTCTCCAAAACCCTGCACAAGGTAAGAAATAGTGATGAAAAGAAGTATTGCTCGGTCTACACAGAAGCATGAAGCCGAAGACACGAGCGTGGAGAACAAAGATTGATGTTCAGGCGAGAATGTAGGCCTGGTGACGACTTGCCAGTTGTCTGGTTTGTGAACAAACATTGGCGAAGCCGGCGGAGTGTAAAGCCATGCGACGCGTGAGGACAGATACAGAGCTGTCGTGGATAAGAATAGCGAGGATAATAATATCCGAGGTAAGGATATGAGAGGTAAGGATATGAGAGGTAAGGATATGAGAGGTAAGGATATGAGAGGTAAG